TAAATAAAAAACAAACTCGAGCCCCGCTACGCCGCAAACGACAGTTGTTTCGTACATTGTTAAAATTCGCACCTATCGAGCGGCACGATATGTAAATCCAGAAAGCTTTGACATTAAAAACCAACGGTCGAAAAACTCGCCCGGCCAGATAACTATGCAAATAAATGGGAAAATATTTACATATCGCCTTCCCCATTTTCTTTTTTCGCCTTCGTCGCCTCCGTTAACCCGCCGGGCATCCGGATTAACGAGAGAGAGAGGGCGTATGCGTCGCGTGTATATTTGGTTGCCGGCATTTAACGAGTGTCACGGTCGCAATTGGTAGCGTCCGTCCTAGAGATCCTGATGATTGAAAATATTCTTTTTTTCAATATACCGGGTGATCTTAATTATTATAGAGAAATTTTAACAGCTGATTTAGCTGATAAAAATAATTGAAAAAGTTTTTTTTCTTTTTATTAAAAAAGCTCTTCTAAATTTTGCTTTCATAGTTGGCAAGTACAATTTATATTAAATTATTATAATTTTTTGAATTATTACGTAAATAAGAGCAAATTTAAATTATCTTTATTATCGGCGTGGCACTTTTTTATTATTTAAATCAACTAAAGCGGCTTGACGAACGCCCCTGGTTAAGTTACCTACCAAGTTTGAAAGCGAAGATAAAAAGAAAAGAAAAGTATGTTTTAAAGTAAAAAAAAGATTTTAAAATTAATTATAATTATTTTATATGTACTTGAAAACTCCGGGGTTCCAAATTAAAAAAAAAAAATACAGGCAGTACTTTCTGAAATATCGCACAAGGTTAGTCAAAAATTCTGCAACGGCCAATAATATCAGAGCCTGGAATTTTTGTGAGTTTCGAAATATGCTTGATTCAATAAATTTAAGTTTATAATCGGTTTGCCGGGGTTCCGAAGTGTCTTATTTCAAAAGAAAGAGGCAAATTTGTATTTAATTTTTAATTTGCCCGCATCTGAAAAATGTCTGGATATCTAAGAAAAAAGTATACACCTGGCAACGCCTATATTAACTTTCACTTTTGATGTCAAGCTCTTATCTTAAATATAACAACATATTTGTAAACGATGATCTAACATGAACAATAAAAACTACAATGCAAACTATTAAGAGAAAAATATTTAACTAAACATCAGGAAAAAATAACATATAAAATTAACAGTTTCATTTGAATGCAAATGCCCCTGAGTGTGAATTGCTAAGATTCTTCTTCTTCTTGCTTCTTCTTCTTCCTGCTTGTCTGGTTCCCGCTGAATTGAATCTCTTGCTAGTCTGTCGCAGTTCGTATGTGTTACATGTTGTTTTCTTTCTTTATACTTTCGATTTTGTGGGTATCCATATCTATCAGTATCTCTCTGGTCTTCGAATGTTTCCGTTCTATATCCAATGCTTTCTGATCGGTTTTACGGGCTTAATCCCTTTTAACGGGGCAGGTCGCTAGCCTCACCTCGAACCCTTCTCTTTTATCCGAGCTTGGGAGCGGCTACACCCCTATTGACTTACTGAGTTCATCCAAAAATAGCGCAGGCAGAGTTATTGCTAGCATTATAGCTTTGCTGCTTCTCTCGGAAGTTGTAGTAAATTTTGAACTTCTGTAGAAAGTTTCACCATTTTTTTTTTAAATAAAATGTTGTGATTTCCGTTTCTGTAACACGTGTAGATAAAAAGAAAAAAGGAACCAACCAATTTTTTCCTATGACTAAAAGAAGCAGCCGGTTTAACGCTATTAAAAAAATAAATGTTTACTGAGTAATAAGTATATAGAAACTTAGTGGAATTCAGGAACATAACTATCTAAACGTCATTGTTAGAGTTATTTACTTTATTTTTCCGTCTATTACTTATGAAAATCGCTTGCGAAAAATATTATAACGTGTTAAAATACATTGCAATACATGCTTAATAACGCAGAGTTAACAAATATTGTTATATTTAAATTCCAGAGCACACGCGATTTTTTGATTTTCGATCATTTTTATGCGTAGGCCGCTCCTCGCCAGGGGGCGATTTAAGAGAAAATCAATTTAAAAAAAAACTGAGCCGAAAACAAAGAAAACTGTTTTAATACACCACGTGCAATTCGAGGCCGCTTCTCGGATTAGGCAACTTGATTTTACGGCTCGTTCGTATACCGATGAGTCGGCGTTTTCACGTTTAAGTGGTCTGTGACCACGAAATCGGGGGTAAATTATAGTCAGTTGCACTTCGAAGCCGGCCATGGAATCCAGTTCGATAACAAACTTTAACTCCATTTTTCGGGATCGTCAGCGCCGGAAAGTCGACGCTAATGAAGAACGATGACGCGACGTGGCGATATCGAGGGCGGCCGGCGTGAAATGTCATTCGCGTTATCAAAATAAATTGATTGTCTATCTTCGTTCCGATAGCGCGATGACCCGATTAGGAAAGCGTAAGAATCTGATAACGGACACGCATTTCGTCGGTGCGTAGGTGGTTGTCTAATGTTCCGGGCGGTTTATTAAATAAAAACTCCGAACATGGAATTTTGCTGCGGATATATTCGATTGTCATCGATAAGATACGCTCGTAGTATAATGGCAACCGTATTAATTTTGTTGGAAACATATTGGGATTTTTCCGATAAGCATTGAACGAGATTAATCGTGCGGAAAAACTCCGGGAAACTCGCGGGTTATTTGTCATGATAAAAGTGAGACGGGCAACTTTCATCCCCGACGGCGTTTTCTATAAAGGGTTCGGCGAAGTTGCCGCGTTTATAATTAAATAAGGCTGCAGCATATTTTTTTAAAACATCCTTTTTGGAACGCGCGAATTATCAAAAACCCGTAATTTAAAACTTGCCGCACGGCCGTCGCGTAAATCTAGCAGGCCGCGTATGTATCTGCGGCATGCACATTTTTAATTAAAAATTCCCGTGTTTATATATATACGCGCGAATACTGACCCGGTTTTTATTGCCGCGTCTGCTACTACGTAGGTTAGGGAAGATTATTTATTGCGCTGGCAAATTGTGGTTACGACGGAAATGGACTACCCAACTTCTTGTGAAACGCAAAAGAAGAAGAAGTTATCTATGTCGGGGCACAGACCATGGAGTTCATAAGTTTTATTATTCTATGGTTGTCGATTTGGGTTCCACAACTCTTTATTGGATTATATTATGTAATTTGAATAACGCCCTGTATACCGCCGCAATTACCATAAAACGAGGTAACCGGGGAGAAAGAAAATCTCTTCTCTTTTTTTTCGTCGACTTTTAAATTATTACATTCTCTTACCACCGGTTCGTCCTTTATCTTTTTTCTTCTCGGGGATCCCGCCATTATATCCTTTCTTGCGTTCGGGAATATTGCATATTTATGCAAATTCCGGAATAACGTTACGGCGTTAATAAAAATCGCGCGGATTTAAAAATGGCTGCGGCCACCGCGCCGTCTCGAATTATGCGAAGACGACTTTATTTCAGGTGGGCACACAATAAAACTGAATTATGTACCTTGTTCGTTGCGAGTTACGCATTAAATTGGGTACTTTGTAGGGGTGGGGTTTTAGTATTTTTATCGTCGACTGGCTAAAAGCTTTCGGCGATGTAGGTTGCCACCCTTTTTAAGTGCCCATCTTAATAATGACATCCCCACGTAGTACAGTTATTTAGTTATTCGACTAGTTAACCGGCGACGATTTCGCTCAACGAACTCAAGCGCGCAGTTAAAACAACAAATAAACCACACGACTTTTTAGATACCTGAAACTGTGGAATTTAAAAACTGGTGGCGTCATCCAGGAGCAAGTACGCGAAGCATTCGCTCAGTTGTTCGTTATTCCGTGGTTCGTAAACAAGGACCCTTGTTTAATTTCTATTGGGAGAATTAGCGATTGAGGTTTTTGCAGTGCTTTTTGTTGTCAAAACTAAGAAACTACAGTGATTCATGTTGTATGAAGTGGAATCTGTTTTAACGTACAACAACGTGTTTTTTTTTTCGGTATTACTTTGCTGTAATGTAAAGGCAAGCATTTCCCTACATTGTAATTTTCTGGCTGAATGTGTCGAGTTTCGTTTTACATATTGGATTTATTATAAACTGTGATCGCTTTTGTGGTTACACGTCAAGGATCAACACGAATTAAACCTTTAGGTACTTCCATTTATAATCCTTATTCGAACTTCTGAAGCTGGCTTCTAATTCAATCCTGCTCTAACAAAAATTTACTTAATTCCAACTTCTTGACAAGCAAGTCGGGGAACATTAAATAAATATAACTCTCCCCCTCTATATATATACGAACATAGAGACACAAGCTGAGCTGCAAGACTTCCAACGTGAACTAAGCCTGGGATTATCCAACTTCGTATTCTTAATTCTTAAACCTATTTGTAATTTTAATGATTGTCTTTAAAGTTTAATTCTTGATCGCGCAACTTTAGTTTTGGTAAAAAAAAGTGTGTATCTAATTAATTTTATTTAGTCGCGTTTCTAAAGAAAGAAGTAACATTAGATTATGCAATATTCTAAGCACACTACCAACGTAAATTTTTGTTCGTACTAACGTGAGGAATAAAAAAACGAACGTCAATTGTCACTGTCTCAACATTTTCGGAACATGGTTCCCGGATCAAATCGATCGCGATCTTCAAAGCATGATTCGAACCATAGTAAAAATTATATAAGATGACAATTACGTCACATCATAAATTGCAGGAACTACTAAATGGTGATAGGGTGAGTAAGGTCACGAGGTTATGTTATGACCGATGATGACAGGGGTTAGTAGCTTGATTTCAGGTTAATGTTTACTTTAATAATTTTTAGTTTCCTTATATTTCGTGATTTTATAGCATTCTGTACTAAATAAGCTTATCTTAAAGGTTTTTCTAGTCACATGAGCAGCTATAACAATAGTCTAAAAACGAAAAAAGGTGAGATCCTTGTAGCATTACCTCTCATTGATAAATTTCTTTTAGGGCGAAAAGCTTTTATTATCATTATCCAAGATTTGTGAGTTATTTGTTGCAGATTCGCAGTTATGATAGAATATTTTTGGTTAATAGAAATTGGCTAATCTTAGGCTTAGTTTAACTTAGATATTTAAATAAAAAGCACAATAACAAACATTTATTACGAATTTTAACACAAGATACAAAGGACAATTTATTTTAAGACACAATTTGATTCTCAAAGTCTCAAATAGATGAATATAAATTTTATGAAATTATATAAAAGCAAAATATGTTGTGTTAAGTTTACGTAGAAATCTCAGGACATTGTTTCTAAAAAATATTTTATTAACTTTAGTTAGTAGGTACCAAATGAACTAATTTGTTCTAAATGAGAGCCTGTCATTTTGTTCATTTGAAGTTCAGTCACTAAGTTCACTTTCAGTATCACTTTCTGAATCCAGTGAAATTATTATGGGCTCTATTTCATTAAAAATGGTTTTGTTACACCATCTAAAATAATTTTATTGGTATGTTCCACACAGTTTTTCCAAACCTCGGATGTAATTGGTAATGGAGTATCATTCGACGTAGCTAAAACATTTTCATCCATATGACTCTCTCTTCCGATATGTCTATTTAGCACGAGACCATATTAACTCAATAGCATTTAATTCACACTGGTAAGAAGGGTTACAAAGTGCTTCAGGCACACCAAGCTTGCTTCATCCATAAATCACTTCCCTTGAAAGCCCAGTGGTCTTCTTACACTTTTTATGGAATTATATTGGCCAAGGCTGTTTTGCATTCCCTTTGGAAAATATCCATGTTTCATCCATAAAAATAACCTGACGAGAGGAAGCGTTGACATACTCATAACTTCTTAAAAATCTAGTTCAAAGTAATGAAACATTGGTGTGCTCCACAAGATACCGTCGATAATCATCTTTTTTGAATTTAACACGAATGCGCTGGGCAATACTCAATGTCTGCCAAAGAACTATTGCTGATAAAAATAAGTTTTTGTTCTTTAAGCCTGCTATTTAAAGTTGCTAATGTGACATGTTTTTTCTAAAAAAAACAATGGAATTAATCGTAATAGTAATCATAATAATCATCTTGCATGGTTATAAATGATGTCTTTCACTATACGCCATGTCTCGTATATTATATTTAACTACATCAATTAAATGAGTCGTCTTTGTCTTTTTTAGAGGTCTCTTCTTTCCTGGTGATTTTATTACGTTTTCATTAGATTTTAAACGATTTTTTATTCTAAACTAATATTTAGTGCCTGTACCACCCGCTGCAAAATTAGGAGGGATTACTAATCAAATGATATCCACAATTTAATTAGTTATACAAACCCCTTGCGGACAGCGGTAACAAAAGTCCTCCGTTATCCTTTTCTTGTTGAATAAAATTTTAGCAAAGATACCACTAGACCCAGTGATTCAAAGTTAAAGGTCTTATCTTTCATAGCAAATACTTCTTTAACTAAAAATTAAAAACAACGGTCAGTTTAAAACCAGGCTTTTACACGCATATCTTTTAAGGCGCAACAATTATGCACATTTCTACTGTACCAATCCTGCTATAAATCTCAGGATACTAAAGGACACATTAAAATACAAATGGTGTCAAAAAATGGCGCAGAAAGTATGGGCACTAAAATTTAATATTTTGACCATAAAAGAGCTTCCTCAGGTACATTTGGCGATTGTTTTGACGATATTTATATTTTAATATATCTTTAAGCTTTTCTTAAGGATTTATAGAACAAATATGTTTAAATATTTGAGAAGTAAAACAATATTGAGCGTATTTACTTGATTATTATGCTGACCAAGAATTTTTGTTTAACAAAAAGATAGCAGTTAAACTTGATTTTGCAAATTCGTCCATGACAACAAAATTGGCTATTGTCTTTTTCTAATACATTAAAAGTTATGAATGTATTGTCTTTACTAGAAGATGATATACTGACGAAATTGTCTTTTTTCGTGATTTACGGAGTAGTTACGAGAGTAAATAAAACATATTTATAGGTTATGTCTATCATTTGACAGCGAAAACGGTCTTGAAATCAATGGCGACAAAAAAAAATCCACAATTAAAAAACATTTTTATTAAAAAAAAAACTTTCTTCTTAAAGAATAACACAAATTGAGCGACGAACCGGACATATTGCTAAAATAACTGACGTTAAAGGACCGAAGGGCTACCGAGATTGGACACGCGGCACCGGTCAAAATCGTTGGAGAAGCTCTGCAGGTGCTGAACAAAACTCGGCACGTCCTACAAAGGTAACCATCTCTAACTTCGCAAAAAATCGACGCTACGAGCTTACCCGATCGTTAGTCGGATTAAAATTCGCGAGCAACAACTCGTATTGCTGGGGAAGAAGTTCCTTCAAGTCTTGGATATACTGCGGCAGGAATTTCGTAAAGAACCCTTCGAAACTGACCTCGGCCATGCTGTAGACGACCAAACCGATTTCCTCGCACGACAGCCCGTGCCTCTTGTAGAGCAACGCGTTCAACAGGACCCTCAACAATTCCGGCAGCAAGGTCGATCGAAATATGGCCTTAAAAAAATGATGAGCGTTAATTAGTGAGGTTAGATGCGTCGGACGTGCACCTTGTGGAACAGCTGCTTGTTGTGGTTGAGATCCTGCAAAATGACCAAGCTCCTGCGGAAGATATTGACGTCCTCGTGGAGCAGAGCCTCGCAAAACACCTTCAGCATGGCGAGGAGCTGTTCCGGTCGTTTGGGACTGTCCGGGCCGGCGGTCTCGTCGCCGACAGGCGAGTAACCGGCCATCACTTGGGAGTTGTAGAAGTAGAGCCATCGAAAGTTCAGAATGCTAAAGAGGGGTAGTGGAGTGAGAAGGATTTCACGTAATCCAGACCTACCTGTACAGTAGGTCCAGGAAACTGACGAAAACGTCGGGATATTCGATCGACCGTGGCAATAGTAAGGGGTAGATGTTCTCCATGCAGAGGTGCAAAATGTCCGGCAGGAAGGCCTTGCTGGAGGGCTCGCGCACCACTATGCAGAATATGTCGAGCAAACGCTGCAGCCCCCCGAAATTATTTGAGTGTTGTTCGCTGGAAGACGGACGGCAAAATGACATTTATTCTGCGATTTAACTGAGAAAGGAAGTGCTCCGACATTTTCAATGCCGTATTCCGGTAGGCAAGATAACATGATAATAATTAGCAAACGCCTTGGGATGAACTTATTCACTACAATATCGTCACCCAAAAAAGATACTTATATTCCGCTGCAAAAATTTAAAAACAATATGTAATAAGACAAGACATAAAAAATAAAATCTCCTTCACTCCTACATTCCCTCAGCAATCATTTACCTATTCTCCCAGTTGATTTGAAAGAACTACTCCGAGAGGTATATTGTTTTACTCACTAATAACTTTTTAGTGAGTTTTTAAATTTGGTTTCGTTAGTAGTAAGTCCAATACAATCTCCTAAGTGATCATAAATTTTAATAGACATTACATAGCTGCTTCTTATGGTACAAGTAAACGTATGCTATGGAACTCGCGAGTTATTAGGTGAAGTAATATAACTGTAAACTGTGGAAGTTGTTAAAAAGCTCTGTAGTTTTTTTTTACACAAATGGTACAATAGAAAACATAATGAAATCACAGTGAGTATGTTTAGCACCCCTCTCTTATTGGAAAGATGGCTAGTAACCAATATTAAATGATTTCTATTCTGTGGAGGAACATCAAAACCAAGCAGCACCACTAAGCTTTCGCAAAAAAATGCCTCTTGCAAGCAAAACAAAAACCGCATATCCCGTCAGTACTAGAACCTAACGAAATCGCTCATCCCCACTACCTGTGATAGCTTCTGGTGACCGGTGGGCGGGATCTGATATCACGCCTTACTTGGTCTTCGCGCACCTTTAGATCATGACGAGACAACACTATTTTTTTGTTTAACCAAAACCAAATTTAAAAAAACTAATAGTGCCTTGTGCCCCAAGTTTTATGACTGACCATCAGTTTACAGAGCCGAAAAACTACCTCAGCCTGAGTGACTGAACTCATAATGAACATTGGCTCTTCTCTCTAATAATTTCCGCATTAGAGATTCCGTCACAAAATACACGTCGCCGCAAGCGTCCGAAAACAATGAGTCTGACAGCAACCTCACACTTGCTACGGCGGTCTCCTTTCATTCAAACCACATATCATGAGTTTTTAAAAAATAGCGATTTACAGATTTACCACTGGTCCAAAAATCCGTCCAAGACAAAATTCCGTTTGAGATTTGCCAGGAGTTTACAGCATTCCATGCATATACGGCAAAGAACACGAATAAGCCTTAAGACTACGAAAAATAAACTAATAAGCAGTTACAGAACACAATCACGAAACCCGACATCAAATTCTTCTTCTCCCAATGAAAAATCTATAGAAATCAATAAGCAATCAAACAATATTAACTGCGACTCGGGTCGAGACAATGTTCAGGCGCCCTCATTCAGCTCCACCCACCTTAAACAATATATAAGTAAGTATGATCCAAAAACCAGCGAAGCAGGAGGAATCCAAACTTAGCACCGCACCATATATACTTAGTGGATACTAAGTTGTTCGACGATCGTGGCCTGCCACATCGATAAAATAGTCTGTGCCTCCTCCTTAAAGAACTTACCTGATAGCGACCTGGAGGAACACCTGTATGGCGTTCTTGGTGAACTCGAGCCCGATCTGCGCCTGCAGATTCTTCAGTGCCGCGATGAAAAAATGCGAAAACTCCTCGTGGACAGTCGCGTACTTGACGTACGTCGGGAATAGGCTCAACGCGTGGTCCAACGTCGGCTGAAACCGACCGCGTAAACACCGAACGACACGGGGGCGGAGTTGGGACTCACCCCGAGTGCGCACGTCAGCTCGCCCTTCGCCGCCACCGAAAATCCGCGGCAATACTCGACGACGTGCGCGAGCGACGGAAGGAGGCGGCGCACCACGTCACCCAGCCTGTTTTCGGGCGTGGTCGGCGTCAGCAGCCTAAAATCGCCCGTAAAATCGTTGAAGAAAGCCGCGATGACCGCTCGTTTCGCCTCGATCCCGACCTTGTCGGTTGACTTCAACGGTTTCAGCAAAACCTCGCAAACCACCGAGCATACGGTGTTGCCGGTGTCCCTGTCGGCGTATCTTAGATTGGGCGCCGCCCGGATAAACCTCGCGACGCCTGGGTGGCCCGCGACCGCGTTCGGTTTCCTAGCAATTTCCAGCAGGAGGTGGGCGGCCGAACGGCCTATCTTGACCGGCACCCTCGCGCCGTCCTCGAGGAGCGGCAACACCGCGTCCAAGATGACGTCGTGACCGGCGGTCACGTGGTTTTTGCCGCCTTCGATCCAACCGAGCCACGTCTTGAGCGACGCGAGCAGCTCGCTGTGCCTGCAAGAGGTCACGAGGTAAGATCGGATCGGGAGCGGTGGGGCGTGGCACTCACGCGTCAACGAAGCACTGGGTCAGGCGCGCATCCGCCACCTTCAGCTCGTAATACCGCACCGTGGCGGACTTGGAGGCACTTTGCAAGATATGGTCTATCAAAATGTATACCGTCGACGCCGCTGTCCTCTGCAGCTGTTCATCGTCTGTACGTAACAAATAAGTGTAAAACAACTATACCAAAAGACTATCCAAAAAGATGCCTAATGAAAGTCAAATAAATTGACACCTGAACTAACACTGATTCGAAAAAACATTTTTACCGACAATTTGGCGCTGTACGGGCGTAATATAAACGAATTTTTGCGCCGATTCATCACGACACTACTGAAAATAAGGAAGAGTCAAAACTTTGGGTTGCAAAAGGGAAACCAACTCTAAAGAAGGCTAAAACAATTTTATCGGCAAACAAGGTTGTGGCTACGGTTTTTTGGGATGCGAGAGGAATTATATACATTGATTACCTTGAAAAGGGTAAGACACTGGTTGAATTGATGCCGCAACCCCCTCCTCTCCAAACTTAGCCCCCAGCGACTATTACCTGTTTCCCAAAAAATAGCTTGGCGGTAAAAGATTTAACGGCAAGGAAGAAGTTGTCGATGCTGTAAATCAGTACTTTGCGGAGCTTGACGAATCTACGTTTAAAACTGGTATAACCAAATTAGAACACCGTTATGAGACATGTATCAGTGTTGATGGAGATTACGTTGAAAAATAAAGCAACAAAAATTAAAAAACATCGTTTTTAACAGTCGACGGCTGTCCGGCCTCTTACCTTGGTCAAGGTGTGCTCGGGATTGCTACTTAACTGCCGAAAAAGATCGATAAGACTGGCGGAATATAATTCTGGCAATCTGGTATGGGTACACTCTTATTGACAGCAACGAAATGGCAGAGAAGCTCAACCGGATCAGTTCGTTGGAATAACAGATAGAGGGAAGACATGTGGGAGTAGGTCTGAATGCAGTGCCCTAGGCACAAAAGACAAGGACGCACCACATATGGAAAACTAATAGGAAACCCAAAGCTTTCAAGATCGAAGGGCTTTCCATTTTTCATATTATACCAGGAAATGACCGTGTAGAGTGTTATCTACACATTATTTAACAATAATACATATTTTACAATAACCAAAAACCCTCTTCAAGGAATACCCGAATACGTTACTTTCTCCATTTAGTTCTCAGAACGACGCGATGGCGACGTAATGCAGAATATAAATAAACATAAATTTTGACACAAAAAAAAATTGACCGGACAATTCCACAACCCTTGGTTAACGCAAGAAGAAACCCGTAAAGTAACGAAAAGTAACTACTAACAATAATTTTCCAAATATCAAAATGGACGCTTTTTAGAGGTCCCTTTAACACAAAAATTATAACACTTGCAATTTTCACTTACCGGTGGTGTAAAAATGGTGGGCGAGGCTCCCCAGTGTAAAGCACGTGGTAGAAAAGTCCCTAAGTATATAATACAGTTGCTCAGTCTCAGAAGTTTCGAAGTTCAAGGCGCGCGTGCGCGCGTCCGCCGCGTTCTCCAGCTGCCGGTAGACGGCGTTGCACGCGTTCCAACCGTTTAACTGCGCAAGCGCGAAAACAAATGAACAACGGCTCCGTTTCACCCCACCCGCCCCCTACTCACAGCTTGGTTGAAGAGGTCGAGGAAGGCGTAATGCGCTGCCCGCGATATTATGTCGATGGACGCGTCGAGGAAGCGCTGCCAGTCCGTCTTGTCCTGCAAAAAAATAAGGCAATTAACAGGAAATCCGATAGGCTAAAACCCGCCCCATACGTCCTCGTCAGGTTCGGTGGTGTTGATCTCGATCAGCTGGGCGCAATTGTAGGTAAACTGGATCTTCTTGATCAAGGCACTACCCAGTCCAAGAAATACTTCCGAGTATCTGCAAAAAGTACAGTTACAGAGGGCGCCACTTGGAAGTGGCAAAATGTCGCACTTTTGCGCGTTTTCCGGTTTGATCTGCTTGAAAAAAGCCGTCCACACCGTCAGGCAGCGCAGGTAACACGGCACCGACGGTAGATGCATTGTGTATTGGAAAAACAAGGAGAGGAACTCAAGGGAGGAGAACGTTGGGTCCTTCTCGTACCTCCACAGGTGCTGTTCGATTATCAGCACCAGCAGCTCGCATAATTTCTTCACGAACCTACAAGCGCGCCATATCTTAATAGAAGGACGCCTTTTATGGTAATGTAAGATTTTCAGGTTATGGTGTACCAATGAGAATGATCTTTAAAAAAAAAACTGATCTCTCTTACCAATGTTGAAAATGCAACAAGAATAGTAAGAAAAAGTTAAAGAGGGTAAATTGAACTATTAGAGGGGAAGAAGTTACCACAAACGTTTCTCATTCAACAGAAAATATAATATTAGCATATGCAAAAGAGCATAAATAGGATAAATATAATTGAACGTTTTCAGCCTATACTTGGTGAAAATTAAACTCCATAATGGTTTTTAGAAAACAAAATGTAACTACCTCACAAAACCCACATAAACAGAAAATCTATAATCATTAAATCTAGATCATTTATAAAGGACGCAAAATTCCAGCTGGGCAATTAATAAATAAATTGATGAGTTATTAAGATGTAATTGATTATTTAAAAGGTCACTTCAATGTTTTAATTTACAAAGCCCGAAGTAAGTTTAATTTGTGCCGCCTACTTTTAAAATTTGAGAATCTAATCAAAATTTTCAATGATGACTGAATTATGATGTCCTTCCTGTTTGACCTATATTCTTTTTGGGATAAGTAGTACAAGTAAAGTTATATTCCCCTGATAGTAATAATTCTTTAGGAAAATTAAAAAAAGTGCTTTAAAAAAAAGTTAAAGAAAACATTAGAAGTATCACAATCCAATAAATAAAACGTAAAAATAAAATTTCAAATATCTATCTCTTTTTCAATTTATAAAATTATAAAAAAAGAATAGAAAAAGAATAGTAAGTAGTTGTAAGTTATTTTAAGGCCAACCTATCTAGGGGCAGTATTAGACCCCAATAGGTCTTTTACTATAAAAGATTTTTATGTAAAAGGAATTTTTGGCAATATAAATATTATTATTGTTATTTATTAGATAAAACACGCGACTTTTAGCCATTTCCATAGTTAGAACATAAATAAAAATCACCGGAGTTACGATTGCTGCGAAACTGGAAAAGCGCAATTTAAGGTTAGGAAACGCGAAAGCCTTACGTCTCGTCATAACTGTCGATACGGTAGGAACAAGAGTTGGCGAGGTTCCTCAGCAACTCGATCACGTGATCGTAAATCTCTTTAAAAAACGTCTCGCTGCCTGGCGGGCTGCATTTTCGGTAAAATATTTCGTTTATCGTCGACATCGCGCACACGCAAAGGTCGTCGTCGTCCTGGGAGTAAGTCGATACGTTAGTGAAGCAAAATATGGCCCTGATGATGCGAGCGGGCACGCTCTCGATCGGTACCCACGCGAACATGAATTGTACAGTGTTCAAGACCTCTTGGCTGAGGGCCTTGACGTCTGGTCGGAAAGTGGCAGTGGCGAGTTGCTGTTCCAGGCTCGGGCTGGTCGTCGGGTGCGTCGGTGAAGGCGGTGGCGTAGCCGTGGCAGCATGACGGGAGTTGGTGCCTTGGAAACGTCAACTCGCTAACCGAGCGGGGCCTAAATTTAGTGAACAGTCTTACCAAACTTCTCCAAAATATTGGTTAGTAGCATGAAAACGCCTGGAATGTAACCGTGCAGCAGTCTTGTTAGTTCTTTTTTTCTAGGACAGTTTTCAAACGTCGTATTAAAGCCGATTATCTCCTCGCAGGCGGTCCTTAGCATGATCAACCCGATGAGTTGATTTTGCTCAGTCGATTTTAAAAGCTGAAACGTTCGTGTCGGCGTAAGCATCGACTGGCGCGCGCGAATACAATTACCTCCAGTATATTAACAAAAAACTCCGGATATTTGGTCGGCCAATCGTACTTGGCAATTTCGACCAGGAGCTTGGCGTACTTGTGCTTTAAAAAGTGTGGGGTGTTGTGGCTTTTGAATATAAGATTCGTCTGCAAGGTGGACTTGATCTCCTCCTGCGTCGGCCAATCGGTATTGTTCCAATTTAGTTTTATCACAGACTAAAAAAATAGAGCAGTCACGCGGCATTTTTCAGAAGCGCTAGCCGTCTACCTCCAAAGTTTGTAAGGCAAACATCGTCACGTATTGACTAGACGTATGAGAAATGAAGTAAAGGCAGAGGCCGCACAGATGGGGCGTCGTTTTGAAAGAGTTAAGCTGTGCCTCGATATCATGTTTTCGGCCGTTGCTCGTGTACGGACTAAAGAATTCCTCGAGCAGTTTCTCCACCGCGAGCAGGGACCCGTTTTCGTTAAGGTCCTGCGCCAACAAACGCGACATTTATTAAACTTTCCGTTTGGAAAAAGTGCGAACGCGAATCGAAAACTGAGGTTATATAAATGTAAATCGCGATTTTCATGGGTGCAACGCCGTTGCGAGGGTTATACTTGCCATAGTTTTACGCGCGACGAATTGTTATTGGCATGACTCGCGGAATTTTTCGAATTTTAAAAGAATTTGTTAGAAAAATTTAGTAAAATATGAACATTTTGACGTTTCCGTTCGTTTCTTTGGGTACACCGTTGTGGTCGATGCGTGGCCTCTGTCGTCCGTGGAACCGAAACTCCACGATCTTTGGTCTACACCAAGAATCGGCAATATTTTTCGGATGGCAGACCATGCTCATAGTAAAACTTTTTATGCGGGCCCAACACCCAAATGTGTATATCATATACGAGTGTAAATATTAAAAATAAATATTAGAAAAATATATTTTTTGTTGACATATAACAATAATGCCAGGGCATAAAAATGTTAAAATTCTTTAATAAAGGAAACATAAAAAGAATATACAATCTCAATTACATGTATATTGTTGGAATACAATACTTTGCGTGTTAGGTACATTTATTTGTATAAGTAATATGCAATACATATTGCGTTTACGTCTCTTTATCTTTGCCTCTCAGTACCGTAGATATTTTGATTCTCTTGTCTCTGTACTTGACTGTCGTGTGCGCGTCTTGTAAAATATTGTGTGTTGTAACTTCTGTATAATAAACGGCCGGTTATTTTGTACGTACTTATTTTATTGGCAAACGTTGATACACGTAACGAATTCCGCTTGTGCTTATCGCCCTGCAACAGGTTATGGGCCCAGGGCTTTGAACTATTGCGTTGCCAATTTTTTTTTGTCGTTTGTGTCGTTTATTCAAAATGGCTGCCGATGTAGGTTCCGCATTTTCTGCGATCGAAAAATTGAAAGGTCGAGAAAATTATAGCGACTGGCGATTTCAAATCACTGCTCTGTTGAAACATGATGGTCTTTGGGAATGTGTGATGGGGCAGATGGTTACTTTCGCGACTATTGACGAAGCTCCAGCAGCGGTTGCAGCACGCCGGGAGGCAGCACGTAAGGAAGAAAAAGCGTTATCCAAAATAATTCTTTCCTTGGACAAGTCAACGTACCCGCACGTGATGCAGGCGAAAACATCGATAGAAGCTTGGAAGGCTCTCGAAAAAGCCTTTGAAGACAAGGGACTTCATCGACGTCTGCGCCTTTTAAGGAATCTGTGTTCCATTAAGTTGAGTAATTATGATACAATGGAGGATTATGTTAATGAAATTATGTCTCTCTCGCAACAACTTAATTCGATGGGTAGACCTATTGATGATGAGTTTTTAGGTGTTGTTATGCTCCAAGGGCTCACTGAAGATTATGACCCGATGCTGATGGCACTTGAAAGTTCTGGAACTGACATAACCTCAGATTTTGTAAAGACCAAGCTCCTGCAAGATAAAAAATGGCAGAATGGTAAATGCTCAAATGGAGGCACAGCACTGATATCAAAAACAGGTAAAAGGACTCCTTGGTTCTGGAGATGTCGCTCTAAGGGGCACTATAAAAATCAGTGTACCCAGAAACAATATAACCATCAAAATAACTTTCATCATGCAAAAGTTAAAAACATGAATAGCGACAAAGCTTTGTTTGCAGCTTTTAATATAAGTGAAAGACATGTTTTACCAAATGTATGGTATATTGATAGTGGAGCTACTTCTCATATGACTGGTAATAGTGCATTGCTACCTGTGCTGTCTGACAAAAATAAAGGACAGGAAATTATAGTTGCTGACAATGCTAGGTTGTCTGTTGCCGGAACGGGAGATGCAGTTGTCAAGTTGCAGCAAAATGGCAGCGAAAGACGCATTTCGGATATAAAATATGTTCCTAACCTGGCTGTGAATCTATTAAGTGTTAATTCACTAATTTCAAAGGGTTTTAGTGTATCTTTTGATTCGCAGGGTTGCCGAATATTTAATTGCAAATAATTCACCAACAGGGAAGAGTTGATAGCAACAGCAAGTAATGTGGATGGTTTGTACAGACTTGATACAATACCAGAAAGTGACATCTGTGCAAATACTGCAGAAGTCATGGAATCGCAAATGCTGTGGCACAAAAGGTTAGGTCATCTTAATCATTTTAGCATGAAGTTGTTGAAAGAAGGTTTGGCCTCAGGAATTAGCTATTGTGATACTCGACCTCCATCCTTGTGTGAAAGTTGCATTAAAGGTAAGCATTCGAAGAAACCGTTCCCCAAAAATAAAAATAATGGGGTTGCTGCGAATAAATTAGACTTAATCCACTCAGATGTAATGGGACCTATAGAAATAAAGTCCTGGAGTGGTGCTAGATATATTTTTACACTAATTGACGATAACACAAGAAAAGTTTTCTGTTATTTTCTTAAAAGTAAAGATGAAGTTGCAGATTGCTTTAAAGAGTTTTGTGTTCAAGTCGAAAATGAAACAGAAAGAAAAATAAAAATATTACGAACTGATAATGGTGGTGAATACTGCAATCAGAATTTGGACAAGTTTTTAAAACAAAGAGGTATAAAACATGAGCTGACGGTTCCTTATACACCGGAACAAAATGGTGTAGCCGAACGTTACAACCGCACAATAATGGATAAGGTGCGCTCAATGATGTTTGATACAAATTGTCCAAGCCAGATGTGGGCGGAGGCGGCGAACACGGCTGTCTATCTTATAAATAGATCACCAACTAAAAGGATCAAGGGAGAAACTCCAGAAGAAAGATGGACAGGCAAGAAGGTTGATCTTGGTCACCTTAAAGTGTTTGGCTGTACAGCCTTTGTTCGTGTCCCTGATGGAAAACGAGGGAAACTGGAACAGAAAAGCAAGAAATATATATTTGTTGGCTATTCTGATGTAACTGCAGGATATAGATTAATTGACCCCATTACTCACAAACTTCGAATTGCAAGAGATGTGATATTTTTGGAACAGAAAACTGTGAGTTTAGAACATCAAGCAAGTTCTCAGAACATCGGCGTTATTACCATGCCACTGGAGGGTGCAGAAGTTGGAATGGACCGCAAAAATGGTAATGTAGAACTTCTTCGGCAGACTAATGATGCGGCAAGTGATGTTTCCGAGAGCGAACTTTTTGAAGATGCAGAGAGAACTCTAGTTGACAAAGAAGACAGTTCTTCAGCAAGTTCCCCAGAAAAATTGGAGGAAAATGGTGTACCGTATGATGACGGGACAGTTGCTGTAATTGGACAGGCAGGTGCTATGGAACGGCGAATGAGTGATGTGCAACAGGTTCCTGATAGTGATGTGAATGTTACTGAGGACCGAAGGTACCCAAAAAGAATCTCTCGTAAGCCGACGTTTTTTAACGAATATGTTTTGACCGACTCATCTGATTCAGATATTGATTTTGCTATGTTATCTTTAAATGTAGAGTCAGAGCCAGAGACTGTTTCCGGAGCATTGTCTGCACCAAATAAAGATCAATGGATTCTAGCTATCCAAAGGGAGCTTAGTGCTTTTAGACAGAATAATGCTTGGGAATTAGTTGATAGGCCTGCTAACACCAATATTGTTAGAAATAAGTGGGTGTTTAAAATAAAAAGAGATCACAGCGGCCAAATTGCAACATATAGAGCTCGTTTGGTGGCAAAGGGGTTTACTCAAAAATATGGAGTTGATTATACTGAAACCTTTTCCCCTGTTGTCCGGTTTTCTAGTTTGAGACTTTTGTTTGCAATGGCAGCTGAATTGAATCTTGAAGCTGATCATCTTGACGTTGAAACTGCATTCCTTAATGGTGACCTGAATGAAACAATATATATGTGTCAACCTGATGGCTTCGAGGAGCCTGGTTTAGAAAATAAAGTTTACTTGTTAAAGAAAGCTATTTATGGACTCATGCAATCATCTCGTTTGTGGTATGAAAAAGCCAGTAGAGTTTTGAAAAAATTAAACTTTGTGCAGTCTGAGATTGAACCCTGTTTGTATTTTAAAGTTACAGATAACTCCATTGTCATTGTGGCTCTGTATGTTGACGATTTTTTCTTGTTCTATAATAATTTCGAAGAAATTAAAGTGCTAAAATCGGAATTGCATAAAAACTTTGAAATCAAAGACTTGGGGCCTATATCTTACTGTCTAGGCATGAAAATAGAAAGAAATCGTACCAAAAATGAATTAAAATTAAGTCAGGAGCAATATATAACTAAATTGCTTGAACGTTTTCAAATGACTGACTGTAGTACTGTGAGCACTCCTTTGGAGAAAAATAAAAAATTTTCTAATTGTAGAGACTACTATCATGCTCCCTATCAACAGTTGATCGGTTCTATTATGTATCTGGCTGTTTGTACTCGACCTGATATTTGTTTTCCTGTGTCTTATCTGAGTCAATTTAATATAAATCACACTAAGGAACATTGGCTAGCAGCTAAGAGGGTACTTAGGTATTTGAAAGGCACAAGGAATGTTGGTATCGTGTTTAGACAAAGCCGCACAGGTTTGTTAGGATTTGTTGATTCTGATTGGGCCAACGATAGTCTAGATCGTAAGTCATACTATGGTTATGTATTTTGTTTAACCAGTGGCCCAATATCGTGGGAAAGCAGGAAACAAAAGACTTTAGCTCTCAGCTCAACAGAGGCAGAATATATAGGTATGTGTGAGGCTACAAAAGAGGCATTGTATTTAAAATCTTTGATTCATGAGCTCTTCACTACTAATAGTGAGTGTCAATTTTTAAATGTATCACAGGCATGCAGAGTATATAATGACAATCAAAGTGCCATAAAATTAGCCCAAAATCAAATATTTCACAAGCGTACAAAACATATACATGTTAAATACCATTTCTTACGAGAAAAAGTTAGAGATGGTACTGTTACTTTTCTATACATGTCAACTAATGACTTGGTAGCCGACTTACTTACAAAAGGTCTGGCTAGTAATAAACACTTATATTTATGTGGTAAACTAAGCTTGCAATGATTTAGCTGTAATTTAGCTTAAAATGGGACTAAAATGTGGTATCTTATTGTACTCGCCTATGTAACGCAAATATTGAGGGAGAATGTTGGAATACAATACTTTGCGTGTTAGATAATCAAAAATTTCTTAAATTTTCACCCGTCAACCGCGTTCTATATTTTGATTTTATAAAATTCGGTGCTTGAAAAAATACAAAAAATATATTTTTTGGTAGATTTAAATAAAATGGAATTATTTTCATCAAAATCATTTACACATACACTGTTATCTGGTGCTATTACAATATAAAATTTTTAAGGATTTTTAAATATTAATATATGTTCATTTCTTTTGCATAAAAATCTTGAAACCGATGACAAAAATTTTCATCCGGTACTTTTAGTGACTCAATAAAAATATTCGAAGGACATTTTTTGTCGTTTTTGATTGAAAATGATCTTATTTTAAGCTGGAAACTTTTGATTTCTGTAAATAGCTCGTTGATTGGCTTTCCTTTGTCTGGTAATGTAAGTCTACAATAAAAGCTAACTCGCTTATTTATCCATTTAAAATTTGATAATTCTGGAATATCTGGCCTTTTTCTGTCAAAAACATTTCAATCTCGTCTTTCATCTCGAAAAATCTTTTTATAACTTTTCCACACCTGAGCCAACTTATTTCAGAAAAATAAATGTTATTTTCATATTCTGCGTCAATTTAATTTAAAAAATTACGGAATTTTCGATGGTTCATACCGTTTTTGCGAATATAATTGATCGATTTTATTACAATATTAATAACATTTTCCAAATTTACAACTTTTGCGCAAAGTGCATGTTGATGGATAATACGTTGAAGTTGTAAAGGACAGTGTGTAAAACTTTTTATTAATCAAACCCATCAAGGGAATATTGTGACCCGCCATATTCTTTTTCTACTCCCGTCTGTAAAATACCTAATTACGCACCGATCTAGCGTGCGGGAAGCGTCGCTTTACCACGTCAGTTTCGTTTCCCACGAATCCGAGCCACTTCGGACGTTTCCGGGATTTTACCGCACGGGTTTTGGAGCAAGCTTTGAATTTTGACGTTTCTCAATTCTGACGGTCACGTCAGTGAATGTATTCGTGTTGTTTTGCGAAAATGGACCCAAAAACTAACGGTCGTAGAAAAAGTATAGTATGCAACGCGTTCGGTAAACTTTTCAAGTCACTCGTTTAATAAACACTCGCTTCGCTGCGCTCCGTTCGTGTGAAATAGACTCTTGAGTCGAATGCCGTTTACCGCACTTGTTGCATAATATACTGTTACACCGTCAGTTGTCACATTTTTTTAATTTTTCCTACTTGAGATGGTACATATTTAAAAACATTTAATAGTTTAAAAAATAAAAAATAGCTCTTTATTGTAATTGTTAATAAAGAAATAATTAAAAGTCCACTTTTCATTAAATCCGCGTTGTTACTCATCAATTTTTGTTTTCTTTGGTATTTTATTCATTTTGTCTACGATGAAATATGAATTATTTTATTGATATATGACCCCATGGTATAAACCATAATCTATTTTCACGCTTCCGTGTGGCATGACGGAATCGCAATTTTAATACATTATTAACAATGGAATACCGCGTTTGCGTGGGTCAAGCTTTTACGCCGACCGATTCGGACCCGGCCGTTTTCTCAGATGGCGCGCGTTAAAAAATTTTTCCAATTTCAAATTGTTCACGTAATAATCTAATTTGATTGATGCAGGGGAATCCGACAGCTAACATATTGTCCGGTTCCTTAATGTCAAAATTGGATGTAGGTGCATTTATACGACATTTTTACGACCCTGAGTATATCCATCTGGTTCGATTAGAAGTTCAAATACGGTCTCGGGGGACAAGTGAAATATTATGACAAATATTCCTCGACTTGTAATACCTTAATATCGTGTCTGGGGTCATTTTTCCTATCGGGACAATAAATAAAAACCGCCCAAATTGAACCTATCAATTACGTCAATTTTCGAAACACACATTTTGACGCGACAGCGTTTCGGCGCGTAATTCGCCCTTCGAACATGATCCGAGCGGTCGTCGCACTTATCGCCGTCTACGGGAGGTGCGTGGCCTCCACCACCGACTTGAAGGACTTCCTAGTGTACACGTCCAGGTCGTCTAACGACGCGATCGTAGTGCGCGAGGACGCGAAATGCGAAAACCTAACCGACTGGTTCATCCGCAGCGCCTCTCCCACGTCGACGAAGATCATCATCGTCGACGAGAACGACCTAGACGTCGCCGTCACCGATGCGACGCGCGTCGTCGTCTTCGCCGACGACGACCGCGATCTCTCGACGGTCTTCGTTAATTTAGCCACGGCACCGTTTTTCCGCACCTATTGCGAGTTCGTGTTTGTGCTCTGCGACGAAGTCGTCCAAGACGACGAGCTACTCGCCCGCATCTTCGACGAGCTCTGGGACAAGAGAGTGATCAAATTCGTCCTGGTGTACCGTCGTCGCGACGGCGACGACGTCCAGGTGGTATCGTACAGCCCCTACGCGGAAGGTTCGAAGCTGCTAAATTTCAGCGGCGCTCAGAAATACGGCCCCCTTTTCCCCCAAAAACTGAACAACCTCCACGGCTACGCCGTCAATGCAGTCATCTTCGATGTCATCACGGGGAAGAGCGTCGACAGTACCCACGCTGACGAGCGCATGCTGTTCACGTTGATCGAATCGCTCAACGGTACCATCAACATGACGCACCTGGCCGGTAATCAGGGCCAGTCGACTAAAGCTATAATGCTCATCGCCAGCGGCGAGGTAGAGTTCTGCCCCATCATGGTGCCCATGTTGTTCTCGCTCACGCCATCGCTCGAGTTTTCGTATCCCAACACCTACAATGACATCGTGGTCCTGGTGCCCAGACCCCGCCTCGCGACCAGCTGGAAGTATATACTCGCGCTGCTGACAAAAAAGATTTTCCTCTCCTCCATTGCCATGATGGTCGCGATGACAGCGCTCGATTTCGCGTTATTTAATAATCGAAACGTTATCGACACTTTGCTCATGTACTACGGCAGTTTCATGACGATGCCGTTCAAAGAATTCGACCGTCGAAAATCGCCGATCGCATTCGGTTGGTTCGCTTACGTCATCGTCGTGGGCGCGGCCTTGCGCTCGATGATGATGACGGACATTTTGACGCCGCAATACGAGAACCCCATCGAGACGATCGACGATCTCGACGCTAGTGGGTTGGCGATTTATTCAATGATCGACGCGCAGATATTCCCGGAACCGCTTCGCGACCAACTCGTCATCGTCGACGGTAAGCAGCTCGGGGATAGCGTCCTCGCGCAGGTGCCCGGCGCATCATTCGTCGTCCCCGAGAGCTTCGCGAAAAAATTTTTCACGTATCACCGCGACCAGCGCAAGGAATTCCCTTACGAGATTATGCCAGAGCCGGTCATGCCGACGTTCGGCGGGTTCATTTTTCGCAGGAATTCGCCGTTCTTGGGGAATTTTCAGAGGATTTACCTGCTGAGCGCGCAGTCGGGTGACGTCGACAACGATCACACCGTTGACAAGTTTAAGGCGCAGTTCGCAGAAGTCAAGGTCGTGTTTACCGTACGTCACCTCGCCGGACAATTCGCGCTGCTCGTTGTGGGCTGGCTCGTTTCGTTCGTCACGTTGTTGATCGAGCTGGGGATATCGAAGAAAACCGCGCCTAACAAACACCAATAAAGTTGCTTTTTACCGACTATTTTTCTGCACTGCCCTTGTCCTTTACGTTTAACGGGAAAAGATGAGAATATACTTGGCCGTTGTCATTTGACTTCGTCTTTCTGTGACCAGTATAAACTTTAGTGTTCTCTGATTAGAAAAAAAATTCTTTAAACAAGAAAATGTCCTTAGCCGCGGGGAAAGCGGCGAATATACGCCTCACTTTGCAAAATATAATCCAGTCGGGAGGTTCGCACAAGGACCAAGCGGAGAAGTACGCTTTTACCATTTTCCGTGTCATTTCAATAAATTTATTTTCGCAGATACCGGCTTACGCTGGAATCGATCCTGAGGGGTCACGGCGACGAGCTCATTGAGTGTTTGCAAGGGTTTATCGAAGCCAGTAAGTTTTGTCGCCGATAAAACGCTATCTAACTTAGCCCTTTCAGTCGTCAATGAAAATGTCAGTCTGGTGATATCGAGGCAAATCCTGACGGAAATTAGCAGTCATCTGATGAAGTTACCCGATGAAGTGTCAAAAGCCGTCTCACATTACATGTTGGAAAAAGTTCAGCCCAGAGTAATTTCGTTTGAGGAACAAGTGGCAAGCATTCGGCAGCATTTGGCGGACATTTACGAACGGAATCAACAGTGGCGCGAGGCGGCCGCAGTGTTAGTCGGGATTCCTCTCGAGACCGGCCAGAAACAATACTCGGTCGATTACAAACTGGAGACGTATCTCAAAATAGCCAGGTTGTACTTGGAGGATGACGATCCAGTACAAGCCGAGGCGTTCATTAATAGAGCGTCTCTTTTACAAGCGGAATCGAGAAACGAGCAGCTCCAAATATACTACAAGGTTTGTTACGCAAGAGTGCTCGATTACAGGCGGAAATTCATCGAAGCTGCGCAGAGATACAATGAATTGTCATACAGGAGCATCGTTCACGAAGACGAACGCATAACCGCACTGAGAAACGCTCTTATATGTACCGTGCTTGCTTCAGCAGGCCAGCAACGTTCCCGAATGCTCGCGATACTGTTCAAGGACGAACGTTGCCAGCAACTTCCGGCGTTTGGCATTCTGGAAAAAATGTACCTCGAAAGGATCATTCGCCGGTCGGAACTGAGAGATTTCGAGGCCCTGCTGCAGCCTCACCAGAAGGCGACGACCGTCGACGGATCGACCATTCTAGATCGCGCCGTGATCGAACATAACCTTCTATCGGCGAGCAAACTTTACAACAATATCAGTTTTGAGGAGTTGGGGGCGCTGCTCGAGATCAATCCGACGAAAGCGGAGAAAATCGCTAGTCAGATGATCACGGAGAGCCGTATGCACGGCTACATCGATCAGATTGACTCAATAGTGCACTTTGAAAGTAAGTAGTATATTTTATTTATAATCATATTTGGATATTTAAATTGTGACCCACAGGAAGTATGAGGAATTAAAAGTAGTGATGGGCATTTCAGTATTAGTATTCGATGGTATATTCTAAAATATATTTGAGTTGATTTTGATTATTTATTTATTGAAGCCCTGCAGCGATTTTTGTGTTGTTGCAGCCCGAGAAACCTTGCCGCAGTGGGATAAGCAAATTCAGTCGCTGTGCTATCAGGTTAATTCGATTATCGAGTCGATATCCAAGAGCCATCCCGACTGGATGCTCAAAGTCATGGAAGAACAAATGATTTCTTAAGTGTTGTTTAAAATGTATTTATCCCAACTCCGCAACGTGTTTTTATTCTCCGTTCCTTGTTTGAAATTAAAATGCCCGTTTTTACACCGCTACCTTGTTTTTTCATGTCTTTTTTCGAAAACACAAAATTTTGATTTTTTTTATCAACAAAGGAACTAAAATAAACTGTACGGTCTATGAGACAATCACAAAACTTTTTTAGTTTTCGTTGGACGGTCACAAAAATTTGTTAGATCGTAAAACCCAAACCAAAAAAACAAGATTGCTTCCGAAAAATCCTGGCTGTGCAAATCGTCTGCTCCATACTATGCGCTGCGGAGTGTATAAAGTCACTACGCAGCTTTGTATTTTAAAGACGGTTTGTCCTAGAGGGACGCATTGTTTTTCTATCGTGCTGCTGCAGACCCCTATGGAACTTTCGCAAAATCGATGTAATTTGATTTTGAATACACCCTGTATAAAGTCTCCTTCATATCTCGTCAGAGTTTTATTTTGTGTACTTCTGGTTTTAGATTTAGAACCGGGAATAAATTACGAAGTTACCTGGTCGATACCAATCCATTGCAGTATCATTAACATTTTTATGGATAAGCAATTAGTATTATTTCAATTTTTTGAAAGAAATATACATTTACTATTTATTTTGTAGGAATGAAAAATAAACAAATAGAATTTTGCTTTACATGAAATAATTTTGAAATTTATTTGGTTTGGCTTTCTAAACGCAAACTGAAATTTACATTTCATAAGTTAACAAACTTTTTATGAAATTTTGAAAAAAAAGTGCGAACATCGTAAAATTCGTCACTAAAAATTCACACTTTTGAAAGAATAGTTTCTAAATCAGTATATAGCTTTGATCTTCACTTTTCTCTATTGTTTCAATTTTGACTTTTTTTGATGTCTCTTGTTTTCTATTGAAATTCATGTAGCGGAGGCCAATTTCATTGCAGCGGGATATTGACAACACTGTAATTCGCAACGGAATAAATCGTAAACACCAATTTTCCGATCGTCATTGTGGGAAAATTATTACGTCGGGAAATTAATTACGTCAAAGAACCCACGCGACTCGAATCTCAATTTATCGCTGCGGAAAATAAGTAGTTGTTTGCTTCGAATTTCGGGTCGCATGCTGATTCCGGGAAAGTGTACACAATCAAATATGTTTTGAGGGCCTTTTTGGGATAAATGATAACGTGGAAACGATCATAAGTAAAGACGAGAATGTTTTGTAATTTTCAAAATTTGTTACTTGGAAATTAACGCGAAAAGTTACCACTTCAAATCAATTTTATAATATTTATATACTTGTATAATACGACCAAAAATATAGTGCATTTATTGACGTTTGAAGTATTTTACAGTAAATTAACCGGCGACCTTCGCAGGGCCGGCAGATGTTTATTATGCATTAGGTAGGACTTTATCCTGTACTCGACACACCAGGTACATCATTGAAAACATGCTGGAAAAAAACGTTTCCTGGTAAAAGAATTTTTCCAATAGAGTACATGGTTTTCGAGAAAATATATTTTTTATCTGAAACTGTGTGTGGGTGACGTTATCACTTCCAGACTAACCGCGCGCACAGTGATTTTCATATGGATTTTTTTTTGAAGAAATGGGCTATATTTTTTACGACTAATAAATTACTCTGGAAAAGAACAATTTTCAGGGTCTTAGGTCTTAGATTTAAATTCTGTCAAAATATGACAGATAAAATTTTTGATTGCAGAATCGGATGGTTTAGGAAGAATGCTCCAAATTTAGGAATTTAAACTTTATCGTAGCATCAATATTAACAAAGTTATCCATTTAGTAATTTATAATGGGACACCCTATACAATTTAAAAATATTTTCGCTTTTTAATGTCCACCTCCACACATTGGTCCTACACTTCTCCGCCATCTTAGTCGCAAAGAAGAATAAAAAGTGTGATATGTAACCTTATCTTGGATACACTGTAGCAAACGTGTCTTTTGAAGCTCGAAATTGTTACAAAAATAATAATTAATATCTAGTAAAGGTCATAACTAATTTTTTTAATCATTTTATGATAATATGACAAAATTTATTTTTTTGTGAAGACCTCTATAACAGTAATTTGTTTGTTGTATTAAATAATACGCACTCGCCGAGGTTGAAAAGAACTGAAATGGTAAGCGGACAAAAAATGTGATTGGGTATGTACAATAACACTGAAGGTTAGCACACAACCAGTGGAACTTTCGTTCGTAGTTAAGGGCTTCTTTCCTTTACCTAGTTGGTACGTAAATTTTTGCGCAAAAACGGCAATTTTCAGGGTCTTTTTAATTTTTTGCGCATAACCGACACCCTCTATATAATTGAACAAATGAAGGAAATAGAGGGCCCTGGATCTCCCACGATTCCTGGTTCAAGAATTTTTCCAATAGAGTAAGTCGTTTTCGATAAAATAATTTTTTTTTCTGGAACTATACAGTGCGAGTACTTTTTCAAGTTATGTGATAGACGCAAACCGTAAATACAAAAATTGTAGCTCTTGACGCGGCCTATAGTACTGTAGCAACCAATCAGCCATATTTTTTACCAATTTCGATTTACATGCATACTGGAATAGAACAGTTATCAGGGTCTTTTCGATTTTTGCCTGTTACTGAAAAACGCTTTACATAATCCAAAAAATGCTTGCTTTTATTGAGCTATGTGTCTCATGGACTGCTTAAAGGGAGCCAAATGTGAAAGTTGTGGCCCTTTAATGCAGCGTTCAGAGAAACGGAGAAACAGACAAAAAAATAAACACTTTTTTGTTTCGTTGCCAATCGATTTCATCGATTTTTCGACGAGGAAATAAAACGCGCCGAATCTTACAAAATATAGCGTTTATTCATTATCAAATAGTAATTCAGTATAAGATGAAAATGGAACGACAAAAAAAACATTTCTGGCACTTACAAAGAGTAAAAAATGTATTCGGAAAAAAATACTAACAAGTGTATATAAAAAAGGGTACAAAACAAAAAAAAACATACGCAGAACTCACGTGGACCACCTTCAGAAAGAGAACCCGCCGCTGGGCACGTGGGGGGCCGGGCTGGAGAACTGTATCTGGCCGTCTTCGGCTTGGGGCGCGGGCATGTCCTCCGCCTGGTTGTCGGAGAAAAAGTTCTCGATGATGCTGAGCGCCTTCTCGTAAATCTTCTCGTTGTCATGGGTCTGCAGGGCTTCGATGCTGTCCAGACCTCCGCACTCTTCGACCAATATCGCCACCTTCTCGACCTCGCCCGTTTTGTTCGCGGCCGTCAGGATGTTGTTGAGGCCGTCGAGGACGACGGCGACCGTTTTAAAGTCCTTCGAGTTGAGGAGGTTGCAGAGCGGTTTGATCGCGCCCATCTCCACGAGTCTGGCGAGTTGCCTGATAGTGCCGCCGCTCGTGTAGTTTGTCACCGCCCACGCGGCCTCCTTCTGACTTTTGTAGTCGCCGGTCTGCAGGACGTGGAGCAGTACGGGCATGATGTCCGCGTCGAGCACCTTTTGGATTTGTTCGCTATTGCCCGCGGTCACGTTCGAGATCGTCCACGCCGCCTCCTTGACGATGTTGAGGCGCGGATGCTGCAGTAGTTTGGGCATCGCGAGGAGCGCGCCCGCGTTTATCACCGCGTCCGTTTGGGTGTCGTTGCCCGTGACGATGTTGCCCACGGCCCGCAGGGCCGGCGTTAACACCGTGTTCTCCGCGCTATACAGCAGCTGGACTAGGCTACGAAGTAAAAAGAAAAATAGATCTTTTTTATTGCCGATTTAATAATCTATATCGGACTGATGTGGCTTTTTCTTGATGAAAATCTACAAACACAAATTAAATTGGAACAAAAAATGTTCAGATTTTTAGTTTTTAATACTTTATGACAGCTGTTTCGCCAACACCGTGCCTTTATCAAATACAAAATATTACCATATTCTCACAATTATGTATGTTGTACTCAATCGGCGAAAACGGTCACTACCCGAAATGTATAAAGTCTGTTCATAGATATAAGAAAGTGACTAACTGATACGAATTAAGGAAAGACCCGGGAGAGCTTGCATTGTCCATTACAATGCCGCTAATAAGAGGAATGTTTGGAACTAGTTTGTTTTTAAACCAACTTTCAAATAAATCAGCGTTGGTGTCTTAATGGTAATCCAGAGAAGAATCTTTAATATTTTATTTATCGATTGAGGCAGTACGAAGTCGGCCGGGTCAGCTAGCATATAAAAAGAATGGACATAAAGGCGTAATAATCCAGTAAAAATAAAGCCGAAATTTGCATAGAACTGAAAATTGGCAGAGACGTTAAATACACCATCATACTCTTACTTACTTAAATGACCAAAATCCTTTTTGATTCGACTTGGGCAAAAAAAAATATATTCAAGGTCAAACGCACAAAATTGAGTTTTTTTTCATTTTGTATAAAAATAAAAGTTCCGATTCTAACAATGCCATTCATTTAAATTCAGAAACAGACAAGTTTGAGGATAATTTGATGTTCTACATAATGAAACAAAAAGCAAATTGGACTTAAATGCTTATAAATTATATATATATATATATATATATATATATATATATATATATATATATATATATATATATATATATATATATATATATATATATCATCCGTTGGCACACAACACAATTCAACTGGCTTGACGACACTTCCATCTACCATCCTTAATAAGAGGAAGAAAGGTGTCTGGTGCCTTGAGTTTATATAAAATAATTAATTCTAACGAAGGCCTTGAGTTTATATAAAATAATTAATTCTAACTAAGGCCCTATCGTTGGTTCTTCTAAATATACCTCAGGTCAATCTACAATTCAGTAAAATTCTTGGCATTCCTTTTAGAAAAAAAATACTGTTATGTCCAATTGCAAGAAGTGCATGACAATTGCACGCACTGTTCAAGTTCAACAAAGCCTAAAAAGTCAACAGCTTGAATGAAGTTATTAATATTATGATTATTTATTTTTATAAGAATTTGTTACAAGCAATAATTGTAGCTTAATATCTTAACTTCAGTTATGGTTAGCTATATTTTTTATAATATTGTACATATAATCATCCATAAGATGATATGTACAATGTGTGCAAACGTGCAGTATCCCTCTGGATCACCAAATAAAAAATTGTAGAGGTTTTAATACAAAACAGTTTTGTATATGGCAGAGATTTCAGCTAAAAACTTAAGCAATAACCTAACTTAACCTAACCTAAATTATATTAAATTATTATTTTAATGTTAAATTTTATTGGGTCTATCAAGGGACCACTTCACCGATATGGTCCTTAATTTGTCGTTTTCCCGCCAAAAAGTAAAATCAAATAATTGTTACCGATTAATGAGCCCAGTGTCCAACACGGCCTGTATCTTCTCGTTGCTGCCATCGGTGAGGTAGGACAGCGCCCAACACGTGTCTGTCAGAACATCCTTGTCCGAATAGGCCAGCAATCTGGCCAGGGTGGGGAGGGCGGGGCGCACAAGCTCGAAATCCGGCGATGGATTCTTGTTCCGGCACAGGTTTGATATCGCCCAGATTGCGTTCCGTAACAGCGACACATTCGTATCGGGCTTGATCAGTTTGAGCACGTCCGGTAGCACTTTGCTAGCCAAAACCAGGTCCCGGGTGGAAGGACCATCGCCCGCGATATTCCCCAAAGCCCATACGGCCTGTTCAGCAACTTCCATCTTGGACGAGTTGAGCAGCAGCTGCAGCCGCGGGATAGCACCCTCTTGCACCACGGCCGCTGTCTGTTCTGACGTGCCCGACGCTATGTTGGTCAGCGCCCAGCAAGCCTCGAACTGTAAAGCTGGACTGCAAGGAAATCATTACCACCACCTTCCTTTGCAAGCTAAACGGCTATACTTATGATTTTTGGAGAGGAATTCCACACATCTCGGTACAACACCCAACCTGATCATGTGATCGATTGGCGGGTTTTTCTCCCTGCTCAAAATTTTCCTGCAGGCTTGAGTGGCCTTGAATTGGATGTCCTCGTCCTGATTAATCATCCCTGTGAAGCGGAAAACAACGCAATGGTCTACCCAGGCGCCCCGCCCAGTACTTACCGAACATGATTTCCTCTGCGGACATCGTTACCGGGGACGTGGAGTTGTTTTCCTGGAGCGGCGACACCGGCTCCTCGGTGGCGACGGAAATGTTACGCCGTTTGAGAAGCTGGTCGTCTTTCTTCGCCTTGCGGAGTTCCACCGCCTGACCTATTCGCCTCCTCCGCATTTCCTAATCGGATTTTCAGTTACTAAAACGAGAGAAATATGCAAGCAAAACGTACCTCCGTGTCTTTGCCTTTGTTCTTGAACGAACGGATCCTGTTCTCGTCTCCCATGACGCTAGATTTTATCGTTTAAAAACGTGGCCCGGCTACGAGATCGCGGCCGCAAAACAAAAAAAAAGCGATCCACCAAAAAAAAAAAAACGAAGGAAAAACGTGTTCGTCGAGCTACAACGGACGAGCGAAATGAGTTCTTGCGTGATATCGACTCTCGAAGCGCGATCGAACGTTTAAAACATAAATTAACGACTCTAAGCCACCGAAACACAAAACCTTTTTCGAAACTGTCCGTTGACTCTCGGAGCCCAAGGAAACTGACCGGCAATTTTTTATAGAAGTCACTTGTCATTCGGCGGCCAATCCGAATCGCGCATCCGCATTCTTTTTTTCCATTGGTCAACTTTAAACTTAGAACCGTAAGACTAATAATAAAATTATAGTTTTTTTATGAACCAAGAAATTTAAATACGGTATACCAATAAAATGGTTTCTATATTTTTAAATCGCGGACAGCACCTTCTAAGACATTGGCAAAGTATAATTCATTCTGTGACATAGGAACAACATGAGAACATAACCTACTGATAACGCATAACCTCAATACATATAAATAATTCATCATTACGCATCTAAATAGGTTGAAAGATTATTATGCAATCTAAATCAAACGCCTGCAGTGATGCGGGCGTGGAAGTGATCCTTCCGATCGCGAGTGGGGCCCCAAGTTGTCCCCACGGCCCCACTTTGTTGTTTTCAAAGTTTTGCGGTAACGAGAAGCGGAATTTTTTTGCGTGTTCCGCGTGCAGGGATAGAAAGCTGTGCGGCTTCTTCCTTTGGCAGGACGAGAAGGAAAAGGTGTCTGCGAGTAGGCAAAAGTTGTGGAACGAAAGCAATCTCAAGTTTTTAAAAAATATCAGGCGTCGAAAGTCAATTACGACATTAAGTAAGGTAAAGCGCGTGCCGTGCGATAAGCGAATCTACTGCCAGACGTGTTCAAGGTTTTTATTAAAATATGTACACGAGAGGCATGAAAACCATTCTGTTTTAACGAACATCACAGACCATCAACTGAACCATCCGTCGGAGATTCTGGTACCCCTAAATAATCCAAAACAGGAAGCGCAATACTTGTTTTCCAAAAAATCGGTTGCAGTGTTGGTAGACATTTTAAAACAACTGAAATTCGAGTATGTCATATGCATAGGCACGCCGAGAATACATGAACGTATTGGGTCGGAACCCTCGCTCATGAAAAGCATCCTGTTGGATTTTGATAGCAGGTTCCACAATTTTTTCGGTCCGTCGCAATTTTGTTGGTATAACTTTTTCAACCACCATTTCTTTTTCAAAAATAGTAAATCCGTGTTTGGGGAATTCCTGAGATCGACAGGGTTAGTGTACCCTTCTGGCGATGTTAGATAATTTCATTTTACGACCTTTCAGAGGCAACAAGACAGTGTTAATTACGGATCCACCGTTTGGAGGTAGGGTGGAACCTCTCGCGTTCACAGTTAAAAAAATCAATCGCCAATACAAAAAACTGACAGGCGCCACCAGTGACTTACCCGTTTTTTGGGTATTTCCGTATTTTATGGAACCCCAGATAATTAATTCGTTGCCAAATTACCGAATGTTAGACTACAAAGTTGAGTATGACAACCACCCGCTGTTTCAAAACGGCCCCAAGGGCAGGAAGCAGGGTTCCCCAGTTAGGATTTTTACGAACCTGGACCCAAGGTTTACATAGCCTTTTGGTTTGCGTTGGGAATACACTCCGATTCGTTTTAGCATTATCAAATTGCCTAGCGACGATTACAGGTACTGCAAAATTTGCAAAAAGTGGGTGGCCAAAGAAAACAAACACTGTCAGGACTGTGGGTCTTGCACTTCGCGAAACGGTGAAACGTACGTCCACTGCGATTTATGCGGGAGGTGCGTGAAACCCAAGTGGAAACATTGTCGAGAATGCAACAGATGCGCACAGATAATACACAACTGTCAACAAATTCCATTTACCAAGGTATTGTTATGATTTGGACCCACGTTCGATAGAAATTCGCGATTATTCTTCCAGGCCTGTTTTAATTGCAACCAGTTGGGTCACAAGAGAAGTGCCTGCCCAAATTTGGAAGTGGCTCCCAGTAAAAGAAAAAAACCTACTTATAAAGCGACCAAGAAAATAAAGTTATCCTGATGAACATTTCTAAGGCCTTTTATTTTCAATTCCTTATAACTAGCCCCAGATATTGATTTTCAAAAAACACATCCCTGATGCTTGAATTTTCTGTTACATATATGCGTCGGAACTCACGAAAACTATTAGTGGGGTGTTACATTACATGAACTAAAAGTTGATCTAACCTTATTCACATATATCCCCTTGGCGATGTGGCAAATTTTTAAGTTAAGACGTGCCAAGTATTCACAAGTTTTGCAAACTATTTGACAGAACGAAGTAGACTGTAAACCACATTCAAATATACTAAAATCACATTACATTGAAACTAAGATATACTTATATCTAACATTGTTGAGTAGTGAAAATTTTACCGTTGATGACCAGGTAGCGAATGAAAATATTTAAAAAAATCTTTAATCCTTTTATTCGCCATCTGAGTCAATCAAGAAACGATAAAAACTAACCAAAAAATAAATACTTTCCAATTCGGAATCCCAGTACAATATGCAATGTCAAATCACCCATTCGGCTGTTTTAAAATAGAACAAACCGCCAATTTATAGAAGTGGCAGTGACAAATGTTTTGCGTTTCATAACCTCAATTTCGTTAAACGTCAACAAGTTTGTTTCATTAAACAAATCAGATTATTTTGCTGGTATACGCAAAAAATGACTTCATTGTTCGATCAGTTCGAGCAGGCGGCGTTTAAAAAGATGAGCAACAACGTCAGTTCAGCTGAATTGGTAATAAACTACTCCGGATTCAGTTGAGCCCTCCTGAATAACTCTTTGTAGACTAACTTGGGTTACATTAATATGGCTCTCGATCAAGAGAAGCCGATATTCAGCAAATCGAAAAAAGATTTTACGCCAGCGGATAAAATTACCCACGTGGCAATCGCCAACAAGTATTTGGTGGCGGCTATGTGCAACGGGATGTTGTTCAGGATGAATCTGAAGAATCCCCAGGAAAGAAACGGTAGGGTCTAATTCCTATTTCCAGTCTCCTCCCGTTTGATTGTGGAATTTCAGAAATTACTTTATCAAAATACACCAGTGGCAAATTAACCAACCTGTTTTTGGATCCCACTGGGAACCATTTGCTCCTCACGTTCAGTTCGAAAAACAAAGGGGCCGACAGCTCGGAATTGATGTACTTGTCCAGAAAGTCTGACAAGTTAAAGTCGAGCACGAAATTTCGAGGATACGAGTTTACAGAAGTAGCTTGGAATTACCAAAACGAATCTGAAGTCACCACGGGCCCAATTTTATTGGGCACGTCCAAGGGATTGATATTTGAGACCGAAATCGTCCTGGAAGGCGACAAATTTTTCTCGTCCAGTTTGGAACAGTACTGGAGGCAGGTAAGGGGTTAGCTTTCAGCACTTCTGTATTTATTAAAATGGTATTTCAAGCTGCCTAATTACCTGCCCTTGTATGGCAATCGGGAGGTTGAGGGTTTGGTAAGAATAACAAATAATTATAATTAAAGAAACGAGTCCTGAAAATTAACGCCCTTTTGTGTAATTAGGTCTTCGATGTCGGTAAGAATACCAATACACCAATCACAGGTTTGGAATATTTTCAAGTTACGGGCTCTGATAGGTACGCGATTTTTGCCGCTACTCCCTCAAAATTATACTATTTTGTGGGCAAGGCGGACGGCGAGGAGAAGCCGCTGTTGCAACAGGTATTCAATAAATATTTGAATGTGCCGGAGTCGGAGACCTTCATAGGTGAGCGAATGAAAAAATTTGCAAACTGAAACGCTCACTGCGATCGCCATTTTAGAGTGCGAAAGTAACCTCAGGTATTCGCGTTTACAATTGTGGTCGGAGAATTTAGTTATGCCAAACACTTTCGCTTGGATTACCGAGAAGGGTATAACCTACGGTTCCGTAAGTAACGCAACCGCGACTTATAACCTACAAAATTGACGTGGCAATTAATTAAAACTGTATAAACGTGGTCCTCGATATAACTGTGAAATTTTTTATTTTTGTTATTTAAATGTTTCATCGTTGCCACGGCTGTCAGCATGTTAATACTGCGAGATTATTGCGCATGCGCATCTGTATTATCAAACAGACTTACGTGTGCCTCATATTATGAGGATTTTTCGGATCAAATTTATAGTTACACAAGAAACAGCGTCTAATGGAAGGCGTTTTCACAAACCACAAAAATCAAAACAAAAATGGCCACGGCCCATAAGTTTCAGCTGACAGCGCTGTTGCCAATAACTGCGAAAGTTATAAATATATAAAGTTCTAATTCAGAACTGTCAACCAAAAAAATAACTGAAAATCTTTATAAATACAAATTATTTCTGATTAAATAAGCCTGTGTTGCTTTACTGTAAACTATATCTATAGGAGTTTATAATTAATTACAGTCTCATTATATATAGTCCGGCGCAGACGCATTATTAAAAGCCAGACATGTAATTTTAATTGAGTGTGCTACATGAACCGGCAACTTAAAGGACATATTTCCAGTATGCCTCTAATCTAGCAAAACTTAAAGCTAATTGTTATTTAATATTTCTTGAGTGACATCCAACAACAGAGCAATAAAGGCAATGAATCGCGATTCCAAACGATCATTTTTTTAAACACTATCAACTCATTGAATTGTAAAATCCGTAATGGCTGTCAATATTTACAAACGTCGAATCATCAACGTTGCCAAACTAAATTTTAGTGCGCTCACAGACCCTTGTCATTTTTGGTGCAAGTAGCGGTCGATTTTGTCGGTTATAGGTGCGCGCGCAAACCTCAAATTTAACAACTCGTGCCGTATCGTAGATCGATCCGCGCGTCGACGATTCGATCGCTTCCATCAATACCAAAGCGAAACTAATCGGTTACCCTAAACCGTTGTACGAGGATTATTCCCAATCGCCAAAGTACCCGACTTCGATGGCGTTGACGCAATTCCACGTGATTTTGGCTTACGCGGACAGCACGAAAGGCGTGTGCCTTCTAAATCAGGAAATCGTCTACGAGGATCATTACAACGAGGCGTTCGGCAAACTAGTTAACGTAATCAAGGATCCTCGAACCGGCGACATATGGGCCGTGACCGAGTCCGCGGTGTTCCGCTTCAGGGTTTACCGTGAGGAAAGAAACATTTGGCAGATCTACTGCGAGAACAACGAGTTCGAACTGGCGAAAAAGTATTCCAGGAACAACGAGGCCTGTTACAATCAGGTTATTGCTTTCATCATTCATAAAATATATAGCTCTTAGACAATATAGTGATGGATCTAAGCATATTTTGAGAAAATACTTCCGCAAAAATGAATCCGAACTTATTAACGATCGGTCAGCGGTCATGTTGCTTGTTGAACACCGCCATATGGCACATGCGCATGTTTAATTTAATTTAACAAGTTAACAAGTACAAATATGTTCCAAGTCCAAGGAATTTTACACTTAATTTCTTCTTAAAAATAAGATAATAATTATGTTAACACGCGCTCTCTTACCCTATTATATAAACTAACATAGCGTAATGCAGTTCAGCCACCGTCCAACTAATCCAACAAAATAAACCAGTTAAAAACAACGCACTATAAAGTTCCCTATTTTCAAATATAAATTTACGAGTTCCGTTTTTAAATCTACCTATTTTATTCATCATTTTATTTTTAATGGAAGGCTATTTTATAATGAGGTCCCAAATATTGAAAATTATTTCTATAGAATTCACTTCTAGCCATCGGTACCTGTACTTGTCTATTCATTATTGTTAAATGTATAATGATCGAACATCACAAACCTTTTCTCTATTAAGACGATTTGTTGGATATAAGTGAAGTTTTGTAAATCACTTTAAGGATTCTATTCTGAACCACATTCAATGGTCTCAACGCAGTAGTGTACCTTCGGCCCAAACTATTATCCCATACCTCAAAATCGACTCAACGAGACTATATAGTATTAACAGAAGTTGCTGAGTTAGACATTGCATAAAATTTGAATATTAAATACCTTAGCTTTTTTGTTAATAAGTTAATGTGACTCTCCCACTTCAAATTTTCAAATATTAAATGCCCGAGTATTTTACAGTTTTTGCTTCCAAAATTTGTTCATTTAAATTTTCAACACGTATACTTTTAAAAGTAGGACGATCAACAATAGTTTTCGAAAAAGCCATATAGTTAGTTTTATCTACATTCAGAGAGAGTCTGTTGCAATGTAACCATTCTTTTAGCCTGTGAAGTTCGCCGGTTGCCTGGGCTATCACTCCTGAAGAGCAAAACAGTATCATCGGCGTATGGAACAACTCTGTCCTTTATATTATCAATGTTAGTCCCTTAGTATACAGATTGAAGAGTGTCGGTCCCAGTGCCGTGCCCTGCGGTATACCTATATGTATAATCTCAGGTTCGCTTATTGCATCTCGAATTCTTGTCTTTTGTACCCTACTTGCAGGTAGCTTTTAAAAACCCTCAACACAGTGCCTGTAATTCCATTGCGATCAAGAACATCCAATAGTCTCATGTGATCACAGCGATCTCATCAATCATATATAGCTCCCGCATTGCATCGCTGGTGCTATGTCCCTTAGTGAGCCCAAATTGGTTTTCTGAAAGGAGGTTATTGATTTTTAAAAACTTAGTTAAGTCGTTCATTTAAACATTTTTCGAAAATTTTCGCAATGTTGCTTCTCAAACTGTAATTTTTAACCAATTTGGGATCACCCGCCTTAAATATTGGTGTAATTGGTGTAATAATCGACACTTTAAATTGTGGAAATTTTATGTGTTTTGAAACATTTTAATATCTTAATATATATGCCGTCATAGCCGGGGGCACTATCGGGCTTTAAATTATTAGTTGATTTTTGACTATCTTCATTAGAAGCATCTGAAACTAATTAATATATTTTCTTAAGATTATTCTTTTCGTCGATTTTATGCTTATATTAGTTATTCTTTACATTAGACAAAAAGTTTATTTCTGTAGTTCTTATATTGATTCTCTTTAGCAATGCTGTAATTTTTCTGAAGTTTGTTTTTAGTTTGTCACGAGTTTTAATAAAGTTAATCAAGGCATTAGAAATCCAAGGCTTCAATTTATTACGTACTTTTATTTTAACTTCTGTTCTACATTGATTTAAATTTGTTACGCACTGATTCAACTCTGACTTTATACACACAAGCACTCCATCATTTCTATTATTCGGACTAAAATTATAATGCGTTTTGTAATTAGGAATATTAAAATGTGAAACAGATTCAAGCTGAAAACACTGACACACAAAAATGCATTTTAAATGTCTCTAAAAATATGAGTAACTCCTCAATTTTTTTTTAACGTTTCTCATGTTAAACTTTGTTCCTTTTATTGCACCTACTCCTTCTGAAATATCAGCTGCACCAATCACATGTCTTCACTTGTAATGTCAAACAACTCTGCTGAATGGACCTTCTCAAGATTTTTTTCATAGTCGCTTCATAGGTTCCCTTGGCCCCTCGCTATCATTTTTCTTTTAGAAAGGTGTTGGACGGTTATTGTAATCGAGAGTGGGTGCTTTTTGTCACAATTTGATTAGTGGTGTAAGCCATGAAATTATATTGTTGACAAATAAGGGTTATATTGTAAGTTCATGTATGATCGGCCTCTATATCTCTAGTAACTATAGGGTTGTCGGCATTCTCGCCGACGACTGTCAAAAGTCGAAACCCGGTCTGTTGCCAACCAAGACAACGGCGGGAATTTTGAAAGGCGCACACGTCAGACGTCGCCTACTACTTTCAGGTGCTGATAAAAGAGGCGGACGTTTTGTTCGATGAGAAAAAGTACGAGCTCAGCGCTCAAAGGTACGCCGAAACGCAGTCGAGCTTCGAGGAGATCTGTTTAAAGTTCATCCAGGTGAACCAGGCGGATTCGTTAAAAATTTTCTTGAGGAATAAACTAGGTAGGTTGGCAATAAATTCGTGTCCCGCGGCTTATTTTCTGGGTTTTAAGACGCCCTCGGGCCCCAAGACAAGACCCAAATCACGATGGTGGTGATTTGGCTTGTCGAGCTGTACCTGTCGAAATTGGAGGAGATCCGGCTGAGGGGGTTGGAGAAGAGCGCCACTTACGACGACATCCAGAAAGAGTTCGAGACGTTTTTGGCACTGCGCGAAGTCGCGGATTGCGTGCGCAACAACAAGGGAACGATGTACGAGCTGATGGCCAGTCACGGCGACAAAACTAACCTCATCAAACTGACCATCGTCAATAAAGATTTCGAACAAGTAGGGGGGAGAACAATCGCTCCGAGGGCTTTTCCTTCTTTTTGCATTTCAGTTGATCCGGCAGCACATCTTCAAAAACAACTTCCACGAGGCGCTGGACGTGCTCAAAAGTCAAAACAACCTCGAACTGTACTACCAGTTCGCGCCGATCCTCGTCCAGGAGGTGCCCAAGTACGCGGTCAAAATGCTGATCGACAAAGGCAAGAAATTGGTCCCGCTGAGGCTACTGCCGGCTCTCGTCACCTGCAACGGCGACATGCACGCCCTCGAGGTTATTAGGTAAGGGGGTGCTGTTAGTATACCGATCATCAACTTAAGCCGTAACGCCTTAGATACTTAGAATTTTGTGTGGACAAGCTCAAAAACACGGACAAGGCGGTGCACAATTTTCTTTTGTCGCTCTACGCGAAGCACGAGCCCCGCAAACTGATGGATTATATCGCCAGCCAGGGCCAGGAGGCCAGCCTGGTGAGTTGCGCTTCAAACCGTCTCCCTTTATTTCCAATGGAATCATAAAACATGACCAGGAAACGTCAGCGAGGCATCAGGCATTACAAAGAAATAGCAAAACTTTATACATACTAAAAAAACTAAGCAATTGACAAAATCCAATTCTAGTAAAAGCATTTGCGATTTTAATGTTGGGATCATCACTCGTTTAAATTTCTCTTTGCAACTCTACCTACGTTGCAAGGCAAAGACTGATGCCCAAAGTGTCAGAATACGGTTTGCAGGAATTCTTTTCTGGGTTGATTGCATACTTGAAAAGATCTCAGAAAAGTATGAAGTGTGAGACTGGACGCAAGCAATATTAAACGAAATAACCTAATAGCATAAGATCACAAAAAGAAATAGCAAAATTGTATACATACTAAGAAAACAGGACAATTGACGATATGCGTACCATTAAAATTCAACATTCAAAAAGTAAAAGCGTTTGTGATGTTATTATTAGTATCACCACTCGTTTAAATTTCTCTTTGCAACTCTACCTAAGCTGCAAGACAAAGACTAATGCCCAAAGCGTCAGCATATGCTTTGCAGGAATAATTCATTTCTGAGTTGATTGCATACCTACTTGAAAAGACCTCAGAAAAGTATGAAGTGTGAGACTGGACACAAACAATATTAAAATAGCATAAGATTACACAAAGAAATAGCAAAATTGTATACATACTAAGAAAACAGGACAATTGACAATATGCATACCATTAAAATTCAAAGAGTAAAACCGTTGTATTCCTCCTGCCAATCATCCTGTTGGCTTCTTCAGAGCTTCACTGAAACTGAACTGAAACTGTTTCAGTTCTTCTTCAGGGCTTAACTGAAACAGTCTCAGTTTCAGACTCCTCGAACTGAAGATCGGTTCATCAACAACTGCCGGAGGAGGAACTCAGAAGATTTGTAAATAATATATAGAGTAATTCTTAAAAACAATGCGATCTGTCTTATCTGTGTTCAACTTCAGATAGTTTTGCTTGCGCCTCACCACGAAAAGAGAGCGGATTATTCGCGAAAAATGTCGGCACTTAACCACACTTTAACACCGTTAAAATGTAAAAATTCTACCGTATATTGAAATGTGTTATAAAACGCATGCACATTCGAACTTGAGTTTTCGCAATGACAGAAAAGAATTTCGGTGAGCGTTGCCAACTTTGGCAATCAAATTACTTATCCTATTGCGAAATAAAAAAGGTTTCTAAAACCAAGCCAAATTACGTGATTATATTGTTAGGTAACTGGGTTCAATTTAAGTCATCGTCGTAAACTTTTTTTTTACACAATTTACGCGATTCACTTTATTAACTGTCGCGTCGAATTGTCACTTCTAAGCGGTCCGTGATCGGCCGTAAACGTGACAACGCCGGCCGTACAAATGTCACTCGACAAGTGCATGGAATATAGACTGCTTCGAAATTTACGCGTGTCTTTTCCGTTTCGAGGTAAACTACGACGTGTACTTCGCGCTGCGGCTATGCCACGAGCTCGATCTGAAAGAAGCGTGCGTCCAGCTCTCTGCTTTGCTCGGTCTGTGGGAGTCCGCGGTCGAATTGGCGCTGAAGGTGGACCTCGATCTCGCGAAGAAAATCGCCGACATGCCTCCCGAGAACGAGGTCGAGTTGCGTAAAAAACTGTGGCTAAAAATCGGTGAGGTTACCGTGCGTGTGAGGTTCGTGCGCATGCGAACGCAGTTTTTTCAGCCGAGCATGTGATCAGCGGCAAGGACGACATCGAGCTGGCGATGTCGTTCCTGAGGCGGCGCAGTGACCTCATCAAGATCGAGGACGTGTTGCCGTTTTTCTCCGATTTCGTGACGATCGATCACTTCAAGGGAGCCGTATGCGATTCGTTGAAGGTGAGTGGGTGCCCGAAGTGTGTAATTGGTATATAACGCTTATAAGATGCACCAAATAACAATTTTTGACATCTCATAAACAAAACTACAAACTTCGCAAGATACCCCGTAAGTCTCTTCTTGAACACTCTTGGGCAAGGCGCGCCGTTAATATTATCCGGCAGTTTTCTGTAAATTTGTTGTTTTTACTATACAAACATTGAAGTGCTGATTGGAACGTATATTATACTGATAAAAGTTTTACCTTTTTTCCAACCATAATTTAAGATAGCCTGGTTGGTGATCGTGCGCAATTCCATAAACCAACATTATACTTACTTTTCTAATGAACTGCCCGACATTTAGCCAATTTAGCTGGTCTAACCTACTCTTTATACGAGTATATCTATCACAGTTCAGGATGATTTCATAACCCTATTTTGTTGTAACTGTAACTTATTTAAATCTTCTTTTGTGCAAGATATAAGCAATGAACAAACATATGAAAAATGAGGCAAAATTATACTATTATACACTAATATCCTAGTCCACTGCGATAAAAACCGCGATACACGGTTAAAAACCCCTATTTTCTTACCAATTTTTTTGCATAGATATTCAACATGATTACTAAAGCATAATTGTGGATCCAAGATCACCCCTAAATATTTAATTTCGGAAACAAACTCAAATGCACCAAGTTCTATCAAAAACTAATAGAGAAGCGAATCTGGGGACTCATTGTACCGGCCCTTGCTTTAATTTCGGTTTTCCCTTTAAGCGACCACGCCTCCTAAACGCCCAATATTTGATTCCCCAATTGTTCATTTTAAATTTTTCAAAGAAACATCGACAGTACGTTTACAAAACCTCTGGATTCCTACAGAAGTTTTGTAAATAGCGTTGAACACTGTTGATGTAATTGGGGCAACCAATGGCGATCAATATTCTAGTTTAAGGCGGCAGAGGTCTGAGGACCATGTGTTTCGTTTCAGGAATACAACAGCTACATCCAAACGCTCAAGGAGGAAATGGAGGAGGCGACCCGGAGCGCCGAACAGGTGCGCGAGGAGATCCAGTCGTTTCGCAATTGCTACGCGTACGTCCGAAGCGGAGACGCGTGCGAGATCTGCGGCCTCGCCCTCCTGGCGCGTCCGTTTTACCTTTTCCCGTGCCACCACAGGTTCCACTCGGACTGTCTGCTCGCCGAGCTCGCTCCTCATTTGGGGCCCCCGCGTCGCAACCGACTCGCCGATCTCGAACGTCAGTTGAAAGGGCTGACCGCGCGGGCCGACAACGTCAGCACCGGATCGGGGGGCGTGTCCACCCGAGATCAAGTCAAGACCGAGATCGACAACATTATAGCATCCGAGTGTTTGTACTGCGGCGAGAACATGATTCGGAACATCGACAAACCGTTCGTCGAAGATCGGGACTACGAGAGAGTGATGAAGGAGTGGGAGTAGACGTGAAGTGTACGCGTAGTGACGGTGAAGTTTGTGAAACGTTTGCAGGGTGTTTTAGTGTGCCGCTCTACGGATCTGGGATTAAGTGCCATCCGTTTCGAAAAAAACTCCCGTTGTGATTATTGGCTGCAAGTTTCTTTCCATTATCTTAATCAGAAGTTAAATATCGCAGATGTACCGAATTTTTGAGTCCTTATTACCCCTCCCAGCATCGCGTTGTTGTGTTGTGTGGTTTGATACTGCGATATAATCGTTAGCGACGATAAGAGAACCACGAACTTTAATCCGCTTTGATTGTTTGGTAATACAAATGTACAAATGAATATTAGTTTTCTTCGTTACGTTTGAACGTCTTATATTCAAAGAAAGTTAGTAGCGCTAAGCGAGAGCGCTTTAAACGGACGAAAAATTGACCTGGGACTCTGGGATAGTGTAAAGAGAGAGTGCGGGTGCTGAAAAATGAAGTGGACAAGCTACAAGCCGATTGAACAGGAGCCGTCTCTTGAAATTGCGGACAGTGTACTGAAGAGCGAGCTGCTGGGAAGTTTAGTTTTGTCTCCATTACGAGAGTTAACTAGATCTGAGACAGTCTAGGGTTCTACAGGACGCTGCCGTCTAAAAGGGCACTTCTAAATCGTGCATGTTGTCGACGGCAACAAATGTAGGCTGTATTGAGAAAAGTAGGAAACCCAACCATTAATTGGACAGGAGCCGTCTCTTGAAATTGCGGATAGTATACTGAAGAGCGAGCTGTTGGGAAGATTAGTTTTGTCTCCATTGCGAGTGTTTGCCTGGTCCGAGAGAGCCTAGGGTCCTACAGGACACTGCCATCGAAAAGGGCACCTCTAAATCGTGCATGTTGTGGATGGCAATAAATGTAGGCTGTATTTAGAAAAGCAGGAAACCAACCAATCATTGAACAGGAGCAGTCTCTTGAAATTGCGGACAGTATACTGAAGAGCGAGCTGCTGAGAAGATTAGTTTTGTCTTCATTGCGAGAGTTTGCCAGGTCCGAGACAGTCGAGAGTCGTACAGGACACTGCCATCTAAAAGGGCACCTCTAAATCGTGCATGTTTTCGACGGCAACAAATGTAGGCTGTATTTCGAAAAGCAGGAAGGCTTTAATTCATCGTCTAAGCGGCACGTTTCATTAAGACCTAGCCGAAAAAGTCCATCACAAGTGTCCAGGATTTTAGTGTTGTGTTATTTCCTTAAAAACTTACGTTATCGGCTTACCGGAAATAAAACAACGTACAACGAACTAAACCGCATTTACTCATAATCCAACAATAAAAAAAACAGTTTGCATGAGATCTCGCGATCGATACGAATCGATACCCGCGCGACACAGGAAAACTTAACAAAGGCCCGACCACCAAGGCCGGAAATATGGCAACGCAGCTTCTTCGTACAAATAAATGTTAATAGCAGTCCATGTCGTTTACGTCGGCGCCGTCGTTATAGTCGCGTAAAATGTCGTCCAACAATGACCCGAACTCGTCTAGACTGCTCAGCCATTGGGCTCTGTCTTCGACGTGCGTGTCCACATCCTTGTATGCGAACTCTATAAACTCGCCGGGTGATAAAACCCGCCTGGTCCTCATCGAGACCGTTCCTCCAATGCCGGCCTAAAAACACACAGCTACATGACCTATGACCGCGCGCGCGAGTGAGCGTGTCTTCAGTTTACCCGCTGATCACTAGGGTCGTATATGCTCTGCAACAAATTGATGTCGTTGGCGTTCACGATGTCGTCCAAAGCAGCGGGGTTCGAAGGTACGGCGAACCCGTTTGCGTAGAGGCTAGTCTCGTCGGAAAACTCCGGGGTAGACCCGACCCCCGGAGAATTAGAGTCCGACGAGACCGAAGGATGCGGGTCGAGGTTCAGCGAGGGACTTATGGGCGGTGCGCATTCTGGACTCACCGGCTCGAAAAATGAGCTCAACGTTGAGTGGGGCGTCACCTATAATGGAAAATCCGTTTTTACCCAGGACTGGATAAAACCCTGTAACTAGAGGGCAAAAACTCCATCGAACTAAAAGGTTAATGTTCGCATTACCGTACAAACTTCACATTACGGGACGTAACTTGATTTCCCCGACCCCAAATTCTGAAAATTACTTAAAAAAAATTACTCTACGGCTTATGTGTAGGGCAAGAGTACCTGAAGAGTGCATAGATCACCAACAATAACACCAAATCTCGAAGTATACGGTAGGAATTGGTCATTAACTTAACCAAGCTACGCAACATACCTCCAGTTCCATATCGGGTGACACGTCGGTTGGGGTACCATCGGACGACGTCATCGGCGCGCTGGCACCGCTCCAACAGTTCGGTGATGTCACGTTCGTAAGCCCGTTCGAGTTGACGTTCTCGACGGATACCTCGTACTGTTTAAGTAATGTGACGAACTTTCCTGCGATCCTGGTGGCCGTTCTCGACACCTCCAGGTCGCAGTCGTCTTGTATGGCGGCTACGAATACCGCGAGGCACCCGTTCGCGCTCAGTACGTCCAACGTTTTAACGAGGCGCCTGCGCACTTCGGCCGCGTTCAGCGTCACTATTTTCCGATTCTCCTTGGAGAACGTGACGCTGGGGAACGTGCCGTCGATCATACCCTGGTGGTGCAGGTGCCGGTTGACCACCTTCTCCCAGAAACTAAGCGCGTTCACCTTCACCTCCCAGTGGAGGTCGGCCGTGGCCGCGTGCGTCATCACGTCATATATTTTGGGATGGGCGTGGTCAGCGACTGCGTGCTCTTCGTAGATTTTGCACACGAGCAGGGCGGCCTCCTTCCGAACCACGCCCTCGGTTTCGTCGCGGAAAATGCCGAGGATTTTTTCGTAAAAGTCGCCCAGCTCATTGAAAACGCCCCATATGGTCGGCACCAGGATCGATTCCTGCAGGCACCTCAACGCCGTCGCCCTAACGAACGATTCGCCGTCTTTAAGTGCCATTTCGAGTATTAACTGAGGCAGACCGGCGTCTAACAGGATTTTCTGAAACGACGGATATCCTGGAAACAAAAGTTAGTCGCGTTCGTTGCGTTTGCTGACGGCACACTCACTCGTGTGGGCGTTGGAGCATAGGGTGTAGATGACTTCGAGGGCGCTGTCCCTAATCTCCCAGTTGGGGTTGTGACATTTCGCGTACAGCACGGGCCCGATGTGGCCCAATATCGAATCCCTCGGGGTGTCGATGAGCAATACCATATTGGGCGACATGTACTTTGAGATCGCGGTGTTGAGCAGCTTCAAGCCCTGCACCACCAGCTGCGAGAGAAGAACCATGCAATAGGTGGTGAGGGCGATGAAGATAACTCACCCTCGGCTCTAAGAGCAATTCCGAAATATTTAGAAACTCATAGGCGAGGTTCATGACGCATATGGTTTCGATGCTGTCCTTCCACGTCAAACTGAACGTTTCGATGTACACGACGATCGCTTCCAATAAGGAATCCAACAGCAGTTTCGATTTGGGCGAAGACAGCTGCCGATTTTTGCTGCAGTACTGCAGGCAATCCTGCAGGCAGTAAATCAGCGGCTGGAAAACGAGGGCGCCCGTTTCCCGAGAGTAAAACTGCTTGGATCTGAGGAGAAACTGGAGGGCGTAGACGGCGTGGTCGATGACGTTCGGTAGCGCCAGCAAACGGTTCTTGAAAGAGTACGCTAAAAACGACGTCCCTTATTTTTTTCTGACAACAAGAGGACATGGCCGATCCAAAGATCTATTGGCATAAAGCGAGCTAAAGAAAGCATAGAAAAACATTCTCCCAGAGAGAGGGAAAAATAAAATGGCGGACCCATAGCGCTCCTTTACTGAGAAGAATTTGACCACAACGGGTAGCATCTCAATGGTGGTATGGAAGCAAGATAGAACAAAAAAACGGGTTCTAGGGCTTCAGGGATGAAAAGGAATGGTATAGTTTTCCAAAATACATACCGTTTTTGCATCCTGTTATGGTTTTGACTTTGGAATGAATTTAAGACCCGCCTGTTGTAAAGCGGAAACGACCACAAGCCAGGGCCGTATTTAAGATGTGAGTCGACAAGAACGGTGCCGTGCGGACTGTTGTGTTTTAAGGGTAGGATTTAAAAGTAAGAATAGATTTTGCACTGCATGGCCTGATAATAATCGAGGTATCGCACCGATAAAACTCTATACAAATCCGTCGGCTTTCGGCATTTGTATGCACCAAGTACCGAAGTACGGTTCTGTCATTGTGGAATTGCGAATCTATTTATTGGGTGTTCCAAAGAGAAACCCAAGCGAGGTAGGCCTGCGGTTAGATCTTGACCAAAGTTAAATACCGGATTGTCGAAAAAACGAGATTTAGTTTGGAGAACTCTACCGTGCGTTCAGTTTATCGTGGTAACATTTTAATTGGCTGTAATTTTTTGGTCTTTAGAAATATCAAGATAAACAAAACAGAATGTAGGGATAGTAGCCAAGTGTATTTCCGAGTGACGTATAAAACAAAACACTACCAATTTTCTGACATATAAGCCTATATCATATTTTTTAAATGGAACACCCTGTATATTATAGGTGTTTAATAGAATAACTTATTTCGATTACAATGATGTGACACTTGCTATTTTAGTCCACTCGTTTTTGACAAATCGACAAAAATTGGAAATTTTTATATATGAGACTGACTGCAAAAACAATAATTATTTACAAATTGAAGTAGAACAAAAACACTAAAAATGACACACTAAAATAAAAAATCTTTAACTATTCTAAATACCGCTGTATGTGACTATAATTTTCCTGAATAAATTTCTCATTTAATAACGTTTCTTATTTCTTAACTGATTGATTGCCTCTGAAATCCTTTGCCGAAGTTTCACGACATTATTACAAGGAGTTCTGTGCAGAAAAAATCCATTAAAGTTAAGTCGGAGCTGTTGGCTGGCCAATCCATAGTTTCACCGTTTCCTATCCAACTCCTGGGATATTCCGAGTTAAGAAAATTTTTAACTTGCACAACATTGGTAGAAGAGAAACGCTGGATGGTGTGAACGGCCAAAGTTCTCCTTCGTATTCTGTAGTAAAAGAACGGACAAAACGTTTTCGAATGGGGCAGGAGTCCTTTGAAGATGATTCAAGAACTGGTCGACCAGTGGAGATCATAACGGATGATATTGTTGCGATTGTGGAAGAGGTGGTATTGAGTGATCCACGTTTAAAGGTCAAGTAAATCTCAGAAATTACTAAGCTTTTGATACAAGTGCTTGTCGAATCCTGCATGATCATTTAGATATGCATAAGGTTAGTGCAAGATGGCTTCCTAAAAACCCTGCGGCTATTCAAAAACAGTCGTGTGTGCGCTGTCTTTTTTGGAACTGTGGGTCGGAACCGAAGCCTGTGATAGAAACTATTGTGACGAAACTATGGTTCTCTATTATGACCCTCTATCGAAAAAAGAGTCAATGGAGTGGCGTCGTAAGGGTGAAGCACCTCCAAAAAAATTCAGAGTCTGCCAGTCAACAAAAAAGGTGATGGCCACGATCTTTTGGTATTGTGAAGGAATTCTTTTGATAGATTTTAAAGAAACTAATACCACCAAATATTACGCAATATTATTATATAAATTGCGAGACTGTATACGTGTAAAACGTCTAGGAAAACTGACCAGAGACGTGCGACTTTTGCACGCTAATGCGCCTGTCCATACTGCTGCTGTTACACAAGCTGTCATTTTAGAGTGTGGGTTCCAACAGATAGATCACCCTCGCTGCAGTCCAGATATGCCCCCCAGCGACTATTACTTGTTTGGATATTTGAAAGAGGACTTACGTGGCCGGCGGTTTAACGACGAAGTTGAGTTAAAAGAGAGTGTTTTAGCTCATTTTGCAGACAAACCAAAAGAATATTTTTTTAAAGGGATTGAGTTGTTAATAAAGATAATAAGTGTATTAAAGTTAAGGGGGATTATATTGAAAAATAATAAAAAATTGTTACTCTACTTTGTTTCTTTCATATTCAGGCCGGCAAAGAGTTGCAAATAATGTTCTCTTTTGATCTATAAATATATGATCCAGAATATGCCCTTCTATGACACCACACCATAAATTAATTGATCCCCTGGTTTGTATTTCGTGTATTTGTCTTGGAAGACGAATATCACGTATTTTATCTATTACAACCCTTGTAGAGAACGAACTTTCAATCCATATAATGTTTTTCAAAAAAATTTTCTCATTATATTTAAAAAATCCAAACAAAACTGCAACCTCCCTGGATATTGTTCTGCACTTAGTTTTTGAGTTTTACGAAGTTTCAAAACTGAGTAAAAATACAAATACTCTAGTAATAGAGGAAACTGGATGTGCTTCATATCCTATTATGTTTGCCTCATTTCCTTCATTTAAAACATTATGATCCCGGCATACCTTTTTAGCATTTTATACGTTACCGTTTTCTACAAATCTTTTTGCCGGCATTGGAAATATCTGTTTTGAAGGAGCTCTAGTTGAAGCACATCATTCCTTTCACGAATGCTAAAACATAATTTTAATTGCCAGTCATAAAAATTTCCTATTTTTGCCGATTTGCCAAAAACGAATGAACTAAAATATAAAGTGTGTTACGTCATTGTAATCGGGATAAGATATTCTATTAAACACATATATAATATACAGGGTGTTCCGTTTAATTAAATATGATGTCGGCTTATATGTTAGAAAGTTGATAGCGTTTTGTTTTATACGACACTTGGAAAAAACTTGGCGACTAACCCTACATTTTGGTTTTTTGTTTACCTTGATATCTCTAAAAACAACAAAGTTACAGCCAACGCATGGTACACCTGTACGAGCAAAGAACAAGGGTTTTTTTTGCACCTCCACCATTCAGACTCACCGAGCTGGACAGTTTGCGCGGCACTTTTTTTCAACAACTTAATCATGTATTCTCTCTTGAAGTCGTCGTCGTTCAGGCTGTTGGCCGAATACTGCTCGCCGATCGTATTAAAGCTGAACACCATAATAGGCAACAACTGAAATATCACCATTTGGTTTTCGAATTCGATGAGTTCGCCTTGGCGGAAGCAAACAGGCATGTTTTTGTCGATCTGCTTCCAGTAATAGACTCCCTGATGGCATAACTTTATTACGGTCCTCGGGTGATCTGAAAAACTTCCGTACTTAGAAGGTATTTAGACCCAGACCGATTTGAATACCTTTCACGATTTCCGACGATAACAAATTGAAAATTCCCATCACCTCTTGGCTGGCCTTCGTTTCCTGGATAACTTTTAACCCCCTCAAGTCTACGTGCAGCTGGTAAAACATCAGCAAAAGTTTAATTTTTAATAACTCAAACGAGAACTCCTCGTTTTGAGACAACAGAAGAACACTATTGATCAACTCTTTTATTTCCTGTTCGACGAACAATTTGAGGACGTCCATGTTGAGGTTGCGGAACAGCACCTCAAGCACTTCCGTAACGAACGCCAATGCCGGGTGTAGGGTGTCATACGTAGGCTGGCTTTGTATTTCCAAGTCCTGACTCGATTTCGGTAAATTTTTTATGAATTCTTTTATCGGATTCAACATGGAGCCGACGATACACAAGCCAAAATGCCGATTGAAGGAGATGGTTTTCTCCAAGAGCTTAATGAAAAATTGATACCTGGAATGTGTTGCCCTCTTATACCTATCGTTATGACGTAATTTCCGCTTACCCCTGTTTCCTAATATACAGAGTCTGGGGCTTCAGAATAAGACTTAGGATGTCCATCCAGTAACTGGTGGCTACTACCCATTGCACCCCTGACTTGTGTTCCAACAAAGAGTACAACAAATTTATAAATCCTAGTTTAACGATAGCTTCCCCGTCCAGTCGCACGACACTGATAAGGTTTTCGTAAGTGTTGGTGGTATTAAACTTAACGAATATTTGCTCGTCCTTGGACAGGCTTCCGGCAAGGTTCAAGGCGAACGAAAGAATGGAGGGCTGGGGTTTCACTTTTTTTTCTTTCCAAAGAGTAACAGCTTTAGTAATCCAAGCGTGGAATATTTTGTGAGATGGGATTGTGACACTCGAGTCTTTTCCATCTATAAATGGTTGTTTTCTTGGAGCCCGTTAGACATTTCACTTCATTTCATAATCGATTACCTGGAGTTCCAGTCAGATGAGTGAGCAGTAAATTCAAATATACATCGCTATTTATTTTAAAGCCCGGGTCAAGAAACCTCTCGAGTACCTGGTTAATTTTACCGCTGTAGGATGGCGTCTCGACATCCATTACTTCAGGGTCACAGCTGAGAGTAACGAGTAGGTAAACATTACGGAAAAATTAGACGCGAGTAAAAAAGAACACGGATGCACTTACCTTGTTATCGCCTGTGTGGTATTCACATTTTAACGTTGTTACAAATTTATGTATACCATTTTGTCACACAAAACTACAACATATGTCGATGCATTTCTTGTATATTTCCAATTCAATTAAAAAATTACTTATAAATAAAGTTAATAAATATGTACCACGAGAAAGAGACACACTTATCATAAAAACATTCATACGCCAGACGCATGGACCATTGAATGATAATACGTAAACAAGTAAGGCAGTTGTTAATTGTATCAATATTTTTAAGAAGAAGATAGATTGAGAAAGAGTGGTGAATCTAACCTCTACTAGCGTTTTAAAAAATCGAACAAAAATGTATTTGAATAAACGGTTCACGAGAGTTATTTATTGTTTAGTGGTATCATTATTCGCATTGGTGATCAAATACGTCCACGTTTTGAACGATTTGTATTCTTACTGGGCCCCGGAGGAAAATTCCCTTATTTTCGACTACATTGTGGGTGCGTAAATTGTTTATTGCGTTAACTGGGGTCAACGTTAATCGTAATCAGTCGGAGGTGGCTCGGCCGGATCTATAGTTGCCAGAAGGCTCTCGGACAACAAACAAAACAAAGTCTTAGTTCTGGAAGCGGGGCAAGACGCTTTCAGTATACTAAACGTCCCTTGTTTGGGTTTGTTGTTGCAAAAAACATCGTACGATTGGCAACATAGCACTGTGCCGCAGTACAACGCTTGTCTGGCGTTAGACAACAACGAAAGTCAGTGGCCCATGGGAAAAATTGTCGGGGGAACGGGCATGTTTAACAATCTAATATACGTCAGAGGTCACCGGGAAGATTTCGACGAGTGGTTCGAGTTTAAAGAGTGTTACGATTACGACGCGGACGTTTTGCCCTATTTCGAGAGACTCGAAAAACAAGGTAAATTAAAGACAGGCAGAAATTCGCCAACCTGTTTTAATTTTTTCTTAATCCAGTTTGTTTCCTCACGCAGTTGAATCTGGCGGATCTGTTTACGTAAGTAGCTTACCATTTATCACAGTGTTGCCGAGGTTTATCGCGAGGGCCGCGAAAACTTTGGGATGGCCGATCGTTGACAATACCGCTGAATCAACTATTGGTCAGTTTTAGTCGGTATAAGCGAACGTCGTTTTTTTTCCATTGCGTATTTTTAAAGGGATGGGTGTGCCGAGGGTAAACTTACGCAACGGCGCTAGGTGGACCACCTCTTCGACGTTAAAATCTCTCGGTAGATCGAATTTGATTTTGAAAACCAACAGGGTCGTGACAAAAGTTCTATTCAGCCACGATTTCGAAGCAGTGGGGGTAAAATACACTTACTCGGGCAGAAGCTATTTCGCGAGAGCCAGAAAGGGGGTGGTGTTATCCGCGGGCGTTGTCGGATCTCCGAAACTATTGATGTTATCGGGGATCGGCGATAAAAGCCATTTGGATACTATTAATGTTAGAACCAAAGTCGACTTGCCCGTCGGGGACAATCTGCAAGATCATGTTACTACAGGTGACCACGGCCAAAGCAATGTCTTTTTCCGTTATTCGTGGGGGGGGGAAAATTTGTAGGATTCGATCTAGTTTTGTTAAACCGATCGCTTGATCTCGGCATCGGGAGCATGTTTTCGCCAGTCTCCGCTCTCAGATATTTTTTCCATGGGTCCGGACCGTGGACCACTCTAGGATGCGAGGCTGTTGCTTTCCTCCGCACGGCTGTCGAAAATGCTACCTCCCAAAGGCCCGATTTGCAAATGATGGTGATGCCGTTAGCCATCAAGGAGGACGACGGGATCCATTTAAGAAGACTTATAGGTCAGTCGGTGTTTTCGTCATAACCTACGAGCGTTTGAGCACGGAAAACGCCAAGTTCGTTTTAAGGTCTGTGATTGTAATGGTTAACACTAATGGCCGATAAGTATGATAAAATATTGTTTATGTTCTCAATTTGGGTATCTGTAAGTATGAATTTATCGGTAAATAAGATAATCAACAATTCATATTCATATAAATGAGCAAAAGAAAGGGAATCCCCTGTCTAGCCTCACTTTTCTCGAGTTGAAAGGTGGCTGAGGTGTATTTTTTTTTATCTCGGCGACGTTTCTAGGCATATCCGACGAAACGTGGTCTCGCTATTTCGCGTTGAACAAAAGCCCCGCCCTGACGATCTTGCCTGTATTGCTCCACCCCAAGAGCAGGGGGAGGGTGCGGCTAGCTGATAAGAACCCCGCGTCGAGACCCCTTATCGACCCCCGATACCTGTCCAGCGACGAAGACGTCCGGACACTCGTTTTGGGCATAGAAAAAATCAAGCAGCTCACGCGTACTAAAGAAATGGCCGAATTGGGCGCCAAATTGAACTCCATACCTTTTCCGGGTAGGCTTACAGGCGTTTCACAACTCGTCAGATTAACCGGAGCCGGGTTTCAGGGTGCGAAAGTTACGAATTCGACTCCGCCCCCTACTGGGAGTGTTACATTCGTCGATTAACGGTGACCGCGTACCATCCGGTGGGCACGTGCAAGATGGGCGCACTGGAAGACCCGACGTCCGTGGTCGGCTACGATTTTCAAGTGAAACGGACCAACAACTTGTTTGTGGTCGACGGGTCGGTGTTGCCAACGTTACCGAGCGGGAACGTCAACGCGCCTATCATGCTGATGGCGGAAATCGCCAGCGACGTCATCAAACGCGTTGACCATTGGCGCGTGGGCAAGTGTCTGCGTGTTGACGCCTTGTTGCCAAAGAATATGTGTTAATTCCGTTCCACCAGTTCATTTGGTGGGGTGGTGGCGATCGCCAAGTATATAAAATTTATTTTAAAAAATGGATGATACTTTGGAACCTACTACATGTTATAATACTTTTCGGGTGGTACTGAAATAAACCTTTTTCAAATCCGATGTCCTGCCTTTGTTTTATTTTTCTATTAAATTTGTTTATTTATTAGATATGGCGGGTTTTATGTACACAATTAAATTGCCCGCGACGATAATGGATTACAAAAGTTGCCGCGGGGATGGGGAAACGGAAGAGTTATTGCCAAAAAAAAACGGTTCCTTAAAAACTAAAACACTGTACAAAACATTAAAATATAACGATATAGACACGAAAACAAGAGCCGGTCGCCGTTTATCAAGAAAGCACGCAAGAGTTTCGAGGCACGCAACTCGTTCGATCCTCCATGACGGTACCCGGAGAAGTAGGTGTGCTGGTGAACCTTAAAAAGTGAAAAGTTTCGTCACAACCCTATATATTTCAATCGTCAAAAATATCTAACAGTCCCTGTGACGTCGACTAAAGCACTTGCGTCAATACATTGACTTGAGAAGTGAAAAATTTTGAGAAGTGTCTTTAACGCAATATTTTCGCAAAACATGTCTAGATGTCATGAAAAGTAGTAGAACAACTATATTATTTTATTTAGATACACTGTTCAACAGGATAAACCCAACTACAGAACAGGAACGTAAGTGACAAATGAAAAAAAAAAAAAGAAAAAAAGAAAGGACAGCAAAATGCTAATACAACGTAAAATGGAACAAAAATAATTATATGCTATTTAAAAAAATATATTTTAACGTCGCATACAGAGGAACTAAACATATCAAGCTGGAAACTGTGTAACGGGGAAAATTTTAAAATATTCTTACGCGGCGTAGAAAGGTAAAAGGTTTGATCTACTCCTAAAGTTACCCTCGAAAACACCGAAGTTCAATTTTGATAAGAGGCCTGGATCCACAACCTGATTATGAATAATTTTATGCCTATTACGGAGCGAAGTATTGCTTATCAATTGGGGGATACTTATTATCATGCCTGAAAGACAAGAGTTTCGCGAATTTACATTGTACAGATTCCAGCTTCCTTGAATTGACTTGGTAAGACAGAATCCATATAATATCACCGTATTCTAATTTAGATCTAGCACACAATCTGTTAAGTCTCAGAGTTCCGCGCTATAAACGCGTACCTTTTATGCGCGTCTGACACAACGGCGTCAACATGTGGAATGAAAGAAAGTTTAGGGTCAAAAGTGACACCTAGATCATCAATAGTAGCTGGACGCTGAAGTACGATGTCATTGATGTAATCATATCGGATAATATTACTCTCAAGCGATTACGTCATGACATTACATTTGATGGGATTTAACAACAAGTTATTATGGGCACACCACGTTTCAATACTCTTTACATTCAACGATAGGTTTTCGCAGTCCTGAATACTATCAATTTTGCAGAACAACTTTAGAACGTCAGCGTATAACAAGCAATTAACATCAACCCTTTCGACAATGTCATTAAAAAAACATTAAATACAATCTAATCTCTATTTGAGATGTAGCAATCTGAGTAGGAATTTTAAAATAGTTAAAAATTACCCTTTTAAACAACCTATAAGGCAGTTTTTTGTGTTATGTCAGTGTCTGACTTTCATAAATCTAAAGCCTGGTACACAAGATGCAATTTCCGCGATTGCAAGAAATTTTGTATTTTTGCGAGTCAAATAAGTTAGATCCACTCTTTTTCAAAACTATGGGACGTGTTAAATATCAAGCGGAACGATCAGCAGCAGAGAACAAATGTAAAGAGGAATAATGCCGCAAAGAACCCGGCAAACTCTATCCACCCACCTCAGTTTCCTGTTACCATGGGCTTTCTTCTGACTCTGGGTGTACTTCAGCTGACCGGAGGTCGAGGTCAACGCGTACGACTTCAGGTGCGACTTTACGCACGTAGGTAGAGGGAGCTGCTCGATACTGTAGACTGTCGTGCGCGCAACTATCGCCCGACAACACAACTCCTGCAGGCTCAACACTTTGTTCGACCTCCAGAGTCGTTCCATGCCGTTCCGTTGCAACGCCATGCGCGACAACTCGCAAAAACTCTCGTGGATGTTGAAGTTGCACAACGGCGACACCTCGAAGAAAGCCATTCCGTGCTTGCTGGCGTAAGTTTCGGCGTCGCGCTGCCCCACTTTCCGCTTGAACGCGAGGTGCAGCCGATTGCCGACTAGGACTTTTGGTACGCCCGGGGCGTGGCTGTCCACCTCTTTGAGCCAACGATCGAGACCGTCGAACGACCACCTACCTCACGAGAAGTTCTTTTATGCGCCGGTTCAATTTACAATAGCGTTAAAACTACCTATTGGTTATGTCGTACACCAGCAACACTCCTTGAGCACCTCTCGAATAGGACCGAATAATTGTGCAGAAACGTCCCTGTCCAGAAGTGTCCCACAACTGCAGTTTCACCCGTTTGCCGTCCAGCAAAATAGTCGTCGTTTTGTACGCTACGAAATCAATCAAATAGTCGATAAACGCACCTTAAATAGAACTAACAACAATACCCGTTCGAACCACCGCAAAAGCGTTAGCTTGGGTCTAATAAAAATACGTACACTTACCGCTACCGCTACAAAAGGGGCTCTCGAGCGCCCCATCGTCTAGGTCCGATAATATCTCCTGTTTACCAACGTCGCTGTCTCCCACCAAGAGAAATTTCAACAAGTAATCGTATTGCTTTTGAGGTTTACAAACGTCCTCAGCCATAACAATGGAGATTGTCCAATTGTAACCATAATAACTTCGTAATTGGATACGCGCGAACGTTTACAGGATCTTCGTGATGTTAAATATTCGCCACCGTGGAGAGGAACCGTGTAAAAATAACTCGGCTAGTTTGTTTTAACGGCGATTCGCGTAAACGTTTTTCGCCAACTGGCAACACTTGCGGCGAAACCCGAACATTACGTTTCACTCGACTCGAAGTATTTGCGGGGAGGTTTTCCAATTGAACGCAACGTTTTTTGAAAAAAAAATAAACGTCAGTTGCAAAATGGCGTGAATTTTGTGGGCGCCACAGACCACACCAAGGTCGTATAAATATTTTGGCCACCCTCTCTACTCATTAAAATTGACGTGAAGTATATAACTTCCGAAGTAATAACTTTTCAAATAAGACGGAAATGTTAAAATAATTTCCTCAAGAATATTTGTGCTTTTTGTTCTATGCTTGCAATGCAATGATTTCGCTACGTTTTTTTCAATAATTTGAGACACTACTATTTTGCCTGTCATAAATTTAGGTTATGTCTGAAAACGAACGTTGTTCGACATGTTAAAGAAATTTTTAAACCTCAATATAATAATAAGACGGAACGCGGGACATTCCAAATGGCAAAATATCAGGCATACCAAAGGTGCCAAAGACGCCGAAAGGGCCACCATGTTTACGAAACTGTCCAGACAAATGAAAGTAGCTATACAGGGTAAAATAACTGGAAAGCTGTTTATGAATGTAACGTAAAAGAAAGTAATTTTGCAGAAGGTGGTTCTGCGGACCCACAACAAAACATAAAACTTTCTCACGTAATTGAACAAGCCAAGAGGTTTAATATGCCTGCTGCAAGCATACAAAATGTGCTGAAAACTACAGATAAGTCCAATGCCAAAACATTTCTTATCGAGATTAGAGGACCTGGAGGCTGTTTAATATTATGTGAAGTATTTACTAGCAACTTGCAGGGGTTAAGAATGACCGTGGCATCCATTCTAAAGAAACACCAGTAAGTTTATGATTGTGTTGTGCAGGTGCAAAATTTTGTTGGTTACATAATTCCGTTTGTTTAAGGGCAAAATTAAACGACAGTGGGATTGGAGCCCAGTTTACCGAAAAGGGCATAACCTACGTTGAGCCTAAAGACAAGGACAAATCTGAAGAAGAAATTTTGGAGGCCGCAACTGAGCATGCAATCGAGTGTAATGCCGAGGATGTACAATTTGTTGATAAAGATATTTTGCAATTCACCTGTGGTGCTACTCAATTCAGACCACTTCAGCAAAAACTGGAAGAGTTCGGATATAAGATTATTGACGCGAACATTGACTTTATTCCCACGAAACTACAAGAAATTAGCCCCTCTGAACAAGAGACTACTGAAAAATTATTAAGCAAATTAGAGACCTTGCCTGAAATAGTTCGCGTGTTTGATAATGTAAGCGCTTAAACAAGCCTGGCCTATATTTCTGTAAATATATTTTAAAGCGAATTAAAATAGATTGTTCGACTTGCATTTTTATACTACAAACTTTCAACCCAGCTTCTAATCACGTCAATCCTAAAAACAAAACCCATAGATAAAACATCCGTGAGTTTGAAGTCGTCGTATTAATTCACTCCAGATTTAATTTCCGAATATTTAAACTGTTCAACTTTTCAATTAGTCAAGTAATTATGTTAATTATATATTTCTCTTTGACACAAAATAAAAGATAAATAACTTAAGTTAATTAAATTAATATAGCGTTTCACAAAAAATGTTGGGCACAATTGCTAGGATCATTCGCCCATTGCCGACTTCCGTCGAGGATCTTCGCTTTTGATCATTGACCAACACGTACAAAGAAGGCATATAACCCATATTTGCTCAAATAGCAAAAAACAAATTTGACCGATACCAAAAAAACCGACACTCCCCGCTTCCGCTTAGGACGATCCGACCTCCATACCGGCGTGAACGGGGAAAAACGACGGGGCCGACGACGATTATCACTTTAAGACGTACACTGAACACTCAAAACACTAAATCCACACCGTGAAAACCGATATCAAACTTTTTGGGAGGAATACATGGGATTCTGTCAGGAGCGAACAGAGGTTAAACCGCCGCGTGCAATACTCCACCACAGAATCGATAAATAACTTTTACGCAGTGACTAAATATTCATTTCTTCATAATTTAAGCTGATTGGACTTGGTCGAATGGGTTTTACGCATTTTGCACAAAACGAGAATAAGAAGAATTATTCACTGCTTATAATACGGAATTTCACAATACCCTTCTTGACAGAACTCTGACTAGAGTCGTATCCCTGTGGCATTTTTCACGTAAGTTTGATGTTCCAATAATTCCAAAATATTGAAGACATCATATAAATTTTTGATGTTTTATATATTAATCACATGCCGCCGATGTTTTTTAACAACACACCAGTAAATATTTTTTTCATTTTGTGGTTATTTTGACCAATATTTCCAAGGTAGTGGTGTTCTTTGGGCAAAAAAGTTTTTAGATGGTTCAATTCAAATGTTTTTACAAAATAATCTTGCATTAACGTTTTTTTTATCAACAATTTCCGCTAGCGTGTCATTTTATTGAGAGCATGTTTTTTCAGGTAACTCGTTACGCAAATATACGTAAAGATGTCGGGAGGTTTAGAGGTCCTTAGCCTCAAAGGTGAGTGCCGACTACGAAAAACGATTTCGCCCTGTTTTGTAAGCGCGAATGATGACAAATTCAGCACTGGGTTATGAACCACCCTGATTACTTTTTGACATCTGATAGTATTTGCCGCGTAATCTGCCATAGAAGCGTAAAAAAAAGAGATTTCTGACGATTTCTTTTTCCACACAGAGGAGGATGTTACCAAAATGTTGGCCGCCTCCACCCATCTGGGTACCCCAAACATCGACTTCCAAATGGAGCAGTACATCTACAAGCGCCGTGCAGACGGAGTCCATATCATCAACCTGCGTAAAACCTGGGAGAAACTCCTGTTGGCCGCCCGCGCCATCGTCGCTATAGAACATCCCGCAGAAGTTTTCGTCATCTCATCTCGTCCGTTTGGACAGAGGGCGGTGTTGAAGTTTGCTGCACACACTGGCGCTACACCAATTGCTGGCAGATTTACTCCTGGTAAGTGATTGAAAGATTGTTCATCTTAATTTCAGCAGAGACCCTTATAATATAAAATAATGGCCTTTATTTATAAAAATTAAATAAATAAATTATTTCGTAATAAAATAGAAAAACACATAATTTAAAAAAAACAAGAAAAATAATAAAAACAATAGAAAAATGCATCAATGGTGAAGTTGATGTGCTATTCTTAATTATTTTGAGGTACTCACAACTAATTTCTAGTGAGGAAAACAAAACATGGTGGGAAAGTTGAAACTAAATACATACACGTTATATTATGGCATAAAAACTGTTTAATGAAAATGATGATTTAATAAGGTAAATCAATGATATGGAAAAGTTTTGGTTAGTTAGAAGTTACCATTCGTAAAAATACTTAGCCTTTTTCAAATATATGATGGTTCGAATTATAATTGAGAAACTTTAAGTACGCATTCAGCAGATAAAAATAAGTAAAAAAGTTCATATGAGCTTATGTTCAAAAATGCTTATTTAATAAAAATCTTCCCAATGTTTTGACATTTAACATAATGTGTTTATGATTTCGAGTTATTGCAGTACCATTTCTAGGTCTTAGATCTGTTTATTCTTACATGGTTATATGGTGTCGCTATGATCGTGCAGTTTGTTGAAAACTACCTCCGAAAGTGTATTTTCAGAGATCTGTTGGAATTTTGTGCCTGATGACAACCACTAAGGAACCTATGAGTGCCCGTGATTTCGTTTCAGTACTGATCGGTCGATCCGCCGCCATTTCCGTCTAGCGCGCTCGCTTCAGCCGCGTTTAATTTTATTTTTCTCCCGCAAGGCGCGTTCACGAATCAGATTCAGGCGGCGTTCCGTGAACCCCGCCTCCTGATCGTCACCGACCCGGCGTTCGATCACCAACCGATCACCGAAGCGTCTTACGTTAATATCCCCGTCATCGGGTTATGCAACACCGATTCGCCTCTGAGGTTCGTCGACATCGGTATCCCGTGCAACAACAAGGCGCCTCACAGCATCGGCCTGGTGTGGTGGCTGCTCGCTCGCGAGGTTAGTGTACCGAATCACGCCCATACCCTCGTTTTTATATGTTATCGGGACGCCAATGATGAGCCCGTTTAGTTCCCAATGTTTGTTGAACGACCGTGATTTGTCTAAAAAAAATTTTTCCACCTGACGCGTCTCGAGCGACGCGCGCTCGTCGACGCAAGTGACTAGGGGCGGTGCTAACTTTTTTTTTTTCCTGGAAGGTACTGCGGCTGCGCGGAATCATCCCGCGGGAGACCAAGTGGGACGTCGTGGTCGATCTGTTCTTCTACCGCGAGCCCGAGGAGGCGGAGAAGGAGGAGCAGGCCGCCAAGGAGGCGGTCGCGCCCGCCAAACCGGTCGAGGTGAGTGTAGCTACGCGCGCATGCGCCGAAGTCCTTTCTAATGCCGCGAAATGGTACGCCAAGCTTTGCGGTTTCGCTTAAGGACGAAATCATAGCGATACTTTACCATAGACTAACCACACCCCCGTTGGTAGTTTACAAAAGGGATCGCCACAGTTACATTCAAATGTCACGGGAATATATATATATATATATATATATATATATATATATATATATATATATATATATATATATATATATATATATATATATATATATATCCTTTTTTTTCGATGGTGTGGTATTTGTTGTTTGTTCAAATAATCTGTCGTCGTTCATACGCTGAACGGGGTGGCTTGTTTAAGAGAGTCTTTTCAAAAACAAATTCAAGCGATATATATGAGTATGGGTCTGTGATGCATCTTTTCGAACTTATCAGTCAGGTTATGTTTAAACCATCATTGTTGGGTTGCTTATTAACTTTTTTAACTATTTTCCACCTATTATTTTTACGAAAATAATGCTTTGCCTTAGGCAGTGATAAAATGTAAAATATTTTCTTAAAATGCGCGGTGTTGCCACGTTTCGCAAAATGATGCCTTTTTCAAATTTTCTTAAATGAGACACCCTGTAACTATTGGATTTTCGAATAGCCACTTTAATAGCAATTTCAATTAGATAATATAGTACGGGTCTCCGAAAACCTCGAACATAAAAGGGTGTATAAAAATAAGCCGGATTCTAACTATGCCATTCATTTAAATTCAGAAATGCACAACTTTGACGATAATTTTGATATTTTACATAATGAAACAAAAAGCAAAAAACTAAATTTGTTGGAAGCTAAATCTTCTAATACTTAATGACGAATTGGATTTAAGTGCGTATCCATTGTTAAATTTAAATTTATAACCCTTGAATGGTGATTAAAAATGTATTGCTACCGTTTTATATATATATATATATATATATATATATATATATATATATATATATATATATATATATATATATATATATATATATATATATATATATATATATATATATATATATATATATATATATATATATATATATATATATATATATATATTCTCACGTATTGATTCACGGATGGAAAAATATGATGACACTATATTCCGGGATATCATCCGTTCGCTCGTTGAACTCCGACTGGAATCCTGCATCCGACTAGAATCCTGCAAATCCTGCATCCGACTGGAATCCCGCAGACGTTTCGCCAAAATCTCACTTGGCATCTTCAATGCTCGCGCTCCGAGTGTTCGAAGTGTTTTCGCCCTCTTTTATATTTAGCGGATAGTTGTCATTAATGCTACACCGACTTCGTCATCAATCTCCGGTCCCGACGTGTTTTAAATATTTTGTTTGACGATAGGTGGCGCACGAAGCGCCCGACTTGGAATGGAGTGCCGGCAACGATCAGGATTGGGCGGAACCGGCGGCCGCGGCGGCGCCTGTAGCCGCGGCCCCGTTCGCGCCCGCCCCCGCCACCGAAGATTGGGCCACGGAAGTGGCGCAGGCGCAAGAACAGTGGACCGCCACGAATCAGGCGGCAGCACCCGCCGCACAACCCAACTGGGGCGGTGCCAGCGGCTGGGATTGATTTTGTTTTACGCGTTTTGACGAAATAAAGAACAGCCTTTACTTTGTCGCCTTTTAATTACCTCAATCCTCTGTACATATTTTTTTTAGTTAAACTCGCATCTGGAAAGGTGGCAGTATGGTTTTGGGATCGATTTATAAAGGTAACCAACCCATGGAATGTGTACCACGTGGTGTCTTGTGGTTCCCGGTTAGTCTTTGTTTTTTTTTTAACATCTCGTAGTTGCAGTGATTTGGCTTCTTTGATAATGACGTCATACGTAAGTACAACTAAAAACGTACAGGTACCACTTTCTTATTCTCATCTCAAGATTAATTTTCTGTTTTAAATTCTATTGATATAAAATAAGTAGAGCCGGAAGATTTTTTAAAATACAAGGGGTATTCACAAAATTGAGCAATACATTTGTAAGCAAAATTCGATATGCTCTTGCAATTATCAAATGCATTTAAAATATGCCTTAGAAAGACTTGTCCTAAATCTAAATTCGACAGGAACGGGGTTCCGAACAAAGAATTAGCGTGTATCCTTTTTTCTCGTAGATTTACCCATAAAATTAATGCCGGATTCAGAACTTAAACATAGAAAAAGAAACAAGAAATTTGGTTCTGAACTTCGCTATTAGTTTCTCGCATGGCACTAGATGGCGCTAGCGATGTTGTTTCTATTCTCCCAGTAAAGTTTCAAAAAATATCAAAGTATTTGTCAAAATTCGCACATTATCTGGACGTCATCAGCCTAAATTTGCGGTAGGGACATGTCTGTGTGCGAGTACATGCTTCGTGACGTGTCGGCGTCGAACTCCGACGATTCGAACCTGCGCAACGAACTGATTTGGGGTCGCAAGTACCGCAACCTGCGCGAGGCCGATAAAAGAAGACCGTTGGCGCCTTTGCGGGCTCCGGCGGACGTCCCCTTCCGCTTATGTCGCGCCCGAGCCACGAAGAAGCGTAAAAAGAAAACGAAATTACAGGGAAGCGCAGGTAAGCGACCACAGAATATAGATCGACGCTCGTTTTTCGGTCGGTTGCGTCGCCAGGCGGCAAGAAAGGCGCAAGCGACATCGAGAAACCGTCGTTGCTGGACAGAAGCATCATGTCCCAGAACGAATACATGGAATTTTTGTCGATACCGAGCCCGCGGTTCTGCGACAAGCCGGCGGTCAAAAAACCGCCGCCAAAATGCGAACTGGAACCGTGCCCGCCCAGATTGGTCAAGCTGGCTGTACCGAACAAGAGACGGGTTCGTAAGTTTTTACGTCACGCGCGCGCGCATTCACGATGGTCCTTTTACGACCGTTTCCAAGTGCAAACAACAACAACAACAACAAAACAAAAACAAACAGAAATGTCAAAGTTTGTTTATACCTTAATGCGTAAAAAAAAGATTGTGGTGTCATAGCCAACTACATTTTTAAATATTTCGATATTTCTTTATTGTTTCGATGCCAGACGAAACGAGCATTTTAAGAGGAACATTTTCAACGAAACTTTATGGATCGAATTAACGAACACTCTTTATTTAACTTTTTGTTTATTTATTTATTCAAATGTGTTACCTTGGTTAGTTAGCTTATAAACTCTAATTACTTATCTTTGTTATTTGTTATTTTCAATCAAGCCAGATAATTAACCATTAAATGTTTCTTTAAATTCTGAAGTTAACAATAGGTTTTATTCGTATATAAATAAGTAGGATTTTGTCTTTGCTATTTAAAAAATACCTAATATCTAAACTTCAAAAAAATGCAACAAGAATTTATACGGATGTTATCTTAAACCTCGAATATCTCAAAAGGTAAGTAAAATTTAAATATAACATAAATTACAAACTTACCTCGTTTTTTGTCCTAAAATTGATATCTGAATAAAAATATAGGGTGTTCCAATTGAAAATGTTAAGATTTTGTTAATTAGATTGGCCAAAACGGCACCACCTACTTGGGACATCCTGTATTAGCTGAGGCGCGTCTGTCAAACTGATCGAGTAGCGCATCATCTCCTTGGTCTGTGGTTAAATTTTCGTTGCAATACCTTAATCCGTAGCGTCACAAAACAATTTTATATGGGGCAATCAAAATATAAAAAAAAACATAACCTCAATTTCTGCCTAAACTATGCAAAATTCGAATAGGACTTTCTTAAGAAAGTGACCCTTATTTTAACCAAGGATTCAAAAAATATCGATATATACAGGGTGTTTCATTTAAAATAACATAGTTTATGTCGGAGGGGACACCCTGTATCAACAAAATTATAATATTTTAAATGTTCAGGAGAGTCCAAGAAACTTTATAGGTCGTGAACATATACAAGTTATCCTATTTTAGGGATTATTTTGTGTAGTGTAATTTCACAGATATAGAAAAATCTTAGATGGTTGATTAGGTATGATAACGAACAAGTTATTTTTCTCAATTGAAGCGACTTTAAGGTGCATCGGACGATATAAAATGACATCACTTGTGTATAACCGCGAGTTGAGTTTCTTCTTCTTTACTTATCTCGGCCAAAATCGCCACGACCGTCGGGTCGGTCGATTTCACATGTTTCGCCAATAAAAATATTGCGGTCTTTTTGATTCTCGGTATATTCCACGAAAAAAAAAAAAAGGTCTTCGCCAATTGGAAGGACTACCAGACACTATTGCCGGCCGAAATGCTCTTGAGGTACGAGCAAATACTGCACACTGACCACAATCTTGAACCCAGAGAGGCCCGGTACTACTACAAAACCCTAGACAGGTTACCAATGATGGTACCATAAATATTCGCGTGGTCCTCTTCGAACTCGGTTTCAGGCAACACCGTAAAAAAATGAAGGAAAAGAAACGCTCCGAAAAGACCAAAGAGCTGGAAAGGGGAAAACGCCCTAGCTGGACGACAACTCAAATCGACGCTCTGGCGTCGGCCGTCGTCGATTACGTCAGAGACGAGCCGCTGTTTGCTCTCAACTACAAACAAATGCTCATCTCGGATGGCGTTCTCGATGGACTAGACGCGTCCCGACTGTTGAAGAAACCGAGCAGGAAGACAGGCAACTGTTACAAGAAGACCGTCATCGAGATCGCGGATAAAATGGCGGTGTGGATCGACGCGATGACGCGTTTCGTCGACGTTCAGGCCGTCGAATCGGACGAGGACATTCCCCCACTGTCGATATCGTCGCTGTCCGAATACGAAGACGATGACGCAGAAGGGGAAGAGGAAGAAAGCGAAGAAGAATCGGAGAGTGAGATGACAAGAGAAGAATTGATGGAACGGGAGGAGGAGTTCGTGTTCAAAGAAGACGTGTGGATTGAGGAACACTTGGAAGGATTGGATTTGGAAGAGATGGTTGGCGAAGATAAACTGCCAGGTACTGGGGGGGTAGTCGGAACGACGTTATCTTCAAGTCATAAGTGGTCGCAATACTCTGCAGTGATCAAATTGTCATCCTTATGGAAACCACAATTTCAAATATATGGTTTAAGTTACAATGAAAAGATTGACGACAACAAAAACGCTAGTAATGCTATTGTTAAATGACCGCCATATGAGTTGAAATTAACGACTTTGATTGAAGAAAATGAGACTCACTCACTTAAATTGGGCCATGCTATGCAAAAAACTTCCGACCCTCAAATCGATAATATTGAGATATTTGTAAATGAAATTTTTTCTAAATAAGAAAATCTACGGCCAACGCATAAAAAACTGAATACAAAAAAACTGTAACAATAGTACAAGTACCATCTTACTTTGTAGTGTAATAAGGTATAATTTATTTTTTTTCAAAAATACCAAAAGTTTTGTGGCTTTGCAGGATTTTGCAAAATGAAAAACAGCAATAGGAAGTATCAACAAATTAGTACAATAAAGAATTTCTCTTCAGAGATTGGTTTACCATTTGGCCAGAAAGGCACTAGAGATGTGAAAGGTTGTGGACGGTCTTCCTCTTATATATTTTTTTTATATTTATTGCCTGGTGTTCATTTCCGAAATTATTTCCTAACATTATGAACGGGTCATTCTTTTGTAATTTAATCGACCTAATATGTAGGCAGTTTCTTTTCTTCCGCCTGTTTCGGTTTGTTGTCTCATTACAATATTTTTTCAATATTTGAAACGCCATAAAAATTATGGGGTATTTTGTAAAATATAAAGAATAAGATGTTTCGCTCCTTAGGAAATGTATGTTTGACTGTGCTTTAATATACATGATCCCCACTTCTTGAGACTGCCGTTTATAGAACACAATATTTGTGGGTATTCGTGGTAAAGGTAATTCTTTTCGAAGATCAAAAGTGAAGCACTCATATTCATCATTGCCTTTAGCTTTTTCAAAATCTTCTTTGCGCACTGTCCGAGCTTCATTGGTCAATTCTAAATGTTGATATTTAGAAATCTTCTAGATTCGAACTTGCTAACGTTTAGGCCATCATCCTGTTGGCTTCTTCAGAACTGAACTTAACAGATCGCGAAATTCAAATTGTATAATCTAGTGTGTCAACCAAGTGGATTGAAAGTTGAAAGAGTATGTATTGTTATTCCTCTTTTTTACGAATGGAAATTTTGAAGGTCTAGAGTCGACATTGGGTTGGAAAGATTTTGCAGAATAAAGAGGTATTAATTATTGACCACATACCCGTTCATCTAATTTTGTCATATAATGTTGGTCATCAACGTTTTATATCACGTAATTTCTTGTCCTTTGACGGTCAGCTAATAACGTCAGTTTGTTAGCTGAGCTAGAGCATGGTTTTGGTACTGAACGTGACGATCGGTTTGATGAGGAGGAGGTGTTTCTGGACGAAGAGCTGTTGGCTAAGCTCGTCCAGATACTCGCCCAAGGGCCGGAAGACTTCTTAGATAGTGAGGTCGACGCGGGGAAGATGCCGGGACTGAGGTACCGCGACATTTTGGCCAAGCTGGAGGAGTTGAGGCTCGGCGGTGAGGTGCCCAAGACGTTCCTGGAGGAGGTCGTGATGGAGTGGGCACTGAAGAACGACCCGGACAAGGTGGACCAGAAAATGATGGACAAAATCCGGGAGGTGTCGGCCATCTTGAACGATTGGGTGTCGGCGTTTCGAGGCGGGGTCGATGACGACGACGGTGCCGCGGAGGATACTGAAGGTGCAGTAGATCAAGACAAAAAAGAACGGGGAGAAGAAAAAGAGGAAGCGCCCGGCAACGTCGCCGGCGCAGAGGGCGAAGATGCAGAAGAAACTACAACGCAAGAAGCAAACGACGACACGACCGAAGATGTGACGGAAGAAACGAACCTCGGAACCATCGAAGAAGCGGCAAAAGGACCGGACCAGGAACCGATCGAGCAGGAAGATCTCGGGACCACGGAAGAGACGGAAGACGTGAAGCTGGTGGAAGGCGCGACCGACGAAGAAGTCGTTAAGAGCGTAGAAGAAGAGGAAGAACGAGATGACGACTACCGAATTTCAGAAGAAGACGATTTGTACGAGGCGGTTGCTACCGAAGAGGAGTTCGACGTTCAAACGGAAGAAGAAACGCCGAAAGTCGATGACTTGGCGGTACTGGATAAGGAACCGTCGCGGGTAACGCAGACGTTCGACTTCGTGGAAGATGTGCCGACCGTGGGCGACGACGTCCACCGCTTGCCGCCGTCGGTTCACGAAGAGACCGAGGAGGAACGGGAATCACCCCCCACGCAAAAACCAGAGATGGTGGCGCCCTCTAAAGTAGAGCCGGTAACGTCGCAAGACCGGAGGGGCGTGATCAGAGGTCATAGACCGGCGAAGGTGTACGAGCACTCCGCCGATGCGGTCTGCTGTCTGTCTCTGAAGACTTGGGCGGTTTGGTTGCTGGAAATCACCCACAACGCCCATAACTGGACCAGATGGGTAAGTTATCCGCCGATGAAATGGGCCTCCTTAACCTGGAACGTACCGAACGTTCTAGATGGGAAGCGTGATCGCCCACATCAAGGAGTTCGCGTTGACGTTGCGACGCGGAGGCGCCCTGAAGAAGTCCGAATGGCGGAGGTTCGCTAACGAAACGGAAGAGAACGTCGTCGCCTGGCGACAGTACAGCGCCCACGTCAAAGGTAAATTCCGATTGCGTAATAGTTTTATTTGTATTTATAAACATTCTCCGTTTTTCTGGTTATTTGTTTCTTTTTTTCTTATCTAGCTCCCCTTGTTTCTTATAATTTATTTTCGTTCATTTTATTTGTTCTACTTGTAGTTCCTAGTTTTTGTTTTCTGTGTCGTAATTAGTATTGGGGCTGGTCAATTGACCACTTCTTAATTGGTTAGTCAGATTCTTGCAATTGTAGAGTGTTATCTATCATTATTTAATAATATGTTCTTATAATAAATTGTTATGCGTTACACCCAGAAAGAAAAAATGATTTTAAAAAGAAAAGAGGGTCTGCTGTCGGGTGACTTCTACCAGCTAATAGAATAAAAGGGTGTAAGGTAATTTATTTTAAGTAATACTGTAAGTATTACAGGGTGCGTCCGGTATTTGAGGACATCCATATATGTGGCTGTAATTTATGGAGAACAATTTTTTTTGTTTTTTTTTTTTTCGGAGATCATCACTGGAGGACTATAAAGTAACGTAAGAAATGAAGAGACATGCAGTTATCGACGCTCGATACGCAAAAACCAACGATTTAGAAATCTCCAATTTTCTCAACTAACTAGCATCATCTAACGATGTAGAAACTATCGCGAAACGGAAAAGACATGAGGAACGTTGGGACACTACTAAAAATACCCAATTTGTTCAACAATTACAACAGATCGTCCATGAAATCCCTTCAAAGTCTCTGAGGGTCTAATCCGTCGAGTTGTCCACGAAGACGTCTCCTATAAGTCCTATGTTATGCACAGAGGACAGTTTATGTCTTCACAAACCCGGAGTTAGAGACAAGACACAAGATTGGATGGCCGAAAATTTGACGACGTCACCCCAAACTTATAGCCACCTAGCTCCCCAGATCTTAATCTTGATTATTACGTATAGGGTGCAGTTGAGCGACAGACCAATTAACATTCCCATAACACTATTTCATCGCAGAAGGATGCTATAACAGCCATGATTATATATAATGATTTCCAATAATATTTTGTTATGCTTATTTTATTATCTGCTCCTTTTCAATCCACATGCAGTCAATATTTTTGTTTTAATAAGAATAAGTACGGAATACCAGAACACGGTATTTAGCCATTCCATTTAGTTCTCAGAACAACGTGACGGCGACGTAACGCACGACATAAATATCAATTTAATTGTTTTTTTTTTAAACGATTTCACACAAAAAAACTTTCAAATAAATCTGCGGTGGTGTCTTCATGGTAATCTAAAGAAGAATCTTTAATATTTTTAGCAGACAGAGAAAATCCATTTGGAATCCAACCATCTTTAGAGCCAGCATGCAAAATAGTTATTCTTTTGCCTAGTTTTGATGGCGCGTTTTTTTTTACACTTATCAGTTTAGTCAACCCAACCCTTTTCTGGGGTATTACTTCACTTTCATCTACACTCGAGAAATTGTCAGCATCGCTTCTTTTTTTCCTGGCTGAAGTGGGATTATTCGCAATTTTCGATAGAGTAGATGTTGGAATTTTCGTCAATGTGGCCGTTATCTTCTAAAGATGCTTGCTTGCTGGCACCACGTTCAATGAGAGTCAAATAAACATTCTTTATAAGTTCCTTAGTCTCAATAGAATAGTGTTTTCTACATGTGGGCGGGAGCATCTCCTGAGATACACTAGATTCGCACATATTTTGCATAATTCGCACACGCTGTATTACAGCGAAATAAGAATGATTACTAATAAACTTAAACTAAGTAGTATACCAAACCAAAGAATATTAAACACAGGTAGGTATAAAATTATTTTTATTACGGACCACAATTTTACCTGAATTTAAATTCCGAAACTTTAGGTAATAATCTTGTTGCATTGTATGTTAATGCCAACCCTTGGTTAATCCCATTCAAAAGCAATTGGTCACTTATATCTATGAAGGAACCATACCGCTCCCTACTACTGCCCTCTCCACCTTATTCACACTTATTTTCGGGCAAATTAATGTAAATCTAATGCGAACAGAGCTGTCCCAGAGTATCGTCGACAACTTCCGCGGCCGCAGGGTAAGGTGCTGCCCCAAGTGCGTCGATGATCACCTGATCTCTAACGTGGCGACGGCGCACGAAACGTTGCGAGCTCTGACCGAGGCGATTAGCTGCGCGGAATATTGGCAACGGAGTCTGGACACTCTTGTGGAGAAAACTTCGCGTCTTGCCGGTACCGAAGCCCGCTACGATCCGGCTCGAAGGACCGTATCGTTGGAGGTCGTCCCGTCTCCCGAGCCATCCGGCTCGGCCAGTTTGGAGGCGCTTGCGGAGGAAGGAGAGTCGACAGGGGAGTCGGTTTACGAGATCGAGGCGATTTGAATAAATTAAAATGAAAAATAAACACAAAATGGCGTTTTTATTGAGTCCTCGCTTTGGAACCATAGACGGTGAATCGCCAGTCGTCGTTCAGGTGGTAATTTACAGTCAGACTGAAATCTTTACTTACGTAAGCACCGTCCGGTTCGTCGTCGGTGACGTAGAAGATGGTGGCGTCGTGTTTTTTCATAAGACTAGCGACGAGGCGGCTTGGCACCTCGCCCCGAGTTTTTGCGGACGCGGCGACCGCCGCCAGTTCTTCCAGGACGGAATTGATCATTTCCGCGTCCGGTTCGTTGTATTCTTCGTCCACCGAGGTCTACAAACGCGGACGCAAAACCCACGTAAACGTACGATTCACAAAAAAATATGTACGGACTTACCAGTAGTTCCGGTACCAACGTGGACGCGTCTTTTAAGAACTGACCGTCGGAGTCGTATCGTAAAACAGACAGAAGGGAAGAATCGATGGCCAATTCTTTTATGCGGTCCTCCAATACGCTTCCGTTAACCACTCTCACCGTTTTATTTACGAAATGAAGTCCATCCGCGTACTCGTACTGAAATGCCAAAGATATCGAGATTGGTTAGTTTAGATGTCGGTAAATGACGCACTGCAGCTTAGGCCTAGATCCACAGACCATAACAAGAAAAAACAGAAGTTGAACTGAGGTGGCTTTTACTTGATGAAAATCCATTTTTCAAAATAAATAAGAACTAAAAGTTCAGATTTTCACGAAATTTTAGTTCTTATTTATTTTGAAGAACAGAATTGTCTAACGTTTAAGGTCTATTATGATAAACTAACCACTAGGTTCTTATCAACGTAGACTTCTTCGATAACGTCGCCGCTTTTGCTCCACTCGTGGTGGCTGATTTCTGTCTCCAACCCAAGAACAGACAACACTTTTAGCAAATCCCTCAGTTGTGACGCCTTGTCGAAGTCGAGTTCGTCGTCGGGAAACAGAACTGTGGGTTTTTTCTGCGGGGAAACACTTAATTAAACAGACGACAGAGCAGGATATGGTTTCAGCAAATAATAAGTGAGATAAATAAATAAATAGTGATAGTACTGAGGATGTGGGAATAGACAGCTCAATTGTCCGAACTTCCGAAAGGGAACGGTCCAAGTCGTACACATTCTGTGAAGCTACAAACGACAGGTTGGTTTCTTCTTCTTTCGAAAATTTTTGGGCGTATTCATATATAAACTTTAGCCTGTTCTTCTCGTAACCACGTAGTAACTAAAATACCCCAAGGCCGAAATTAAAATTATGTCTTCGCAGTAGCTTAACTCACCATTGCGTGAAAATACTGAACCGAGTCTTGAATCTCCTTCTCCGTTAATGACGGAACTACCTGGTCGTTGCCGCCGGCGGAGGCTCCCGATAAAACGGTCATCGTCAGAATTAGAGATTTAGCCCAATTCATGTTGATTCCCACTCTTACGAATAGAAGATTTGTAATGGAAGCTTCTTATTCAAACTCGCTGCTAAATTATCACAGGCGTGAAGAGGTCATCGGACCCATTATGGGATTTATCTCTGTTTATAAAGTATGGAGTTAAAAATGTAGTCAAATGTTGTTTACTAACGCGCGAACTGAAAAATTATATAAGTGGGCATGATAAAGACTTGATTGGGGTTACCACTTACATGTGACCTTTCGTACAAATATATTTAAAACAATTATCGATAAATACTCTTATAACCCTACACAACTATAAGTTATTCAATATCGAATAACCTCTATAGTTTATATAAATCCGCCGTATTCTTTGTTTATTACAAAATTATGTCGAAATTTTGGATTAACGCTGTTTTGGGCATTTATTTGGCCGCGGTAATAAGAACTGCTCGTTCTATAGTAGAAAATAATAATTGCGTTTGCAGACAGTGTCGGCAAAGTCTGTATCGTCGGAAAGCAGCGAGGAAAGCAAACGCGACCCTCCGGAATCGTTGAAAGAGTTCGTCAAGATCGTCGAAAAATACAACCTAAATGTCACCCTCATCGGCTCCCAGAAAAAATACGCTCCCAAAGGATGGATTAAGGAACAGTTTGCCGTCACTCTGCATATGCCCACCAACGACGTAGACGTTTAAAGTGTTCATTTTTTTTAAACGTTCGCGTTACTTTTTATGTTTTAGGCATTCGTTACTCAGGCCACTTTAACCGACGAGAAACAAGCCAAGTACCTCGAAAAAATAAAAAAGATTACGAGAAAGGAAAAGGTGGGAGCCGTGGCGAGGGTGGTCGCAATCAAAGACGGCCGCGATGAAATTTTGAAAGACGACAGTGTCAATGAACAATACGTGAGGGAATTTAAAAGCGGCGTCTCCTAGCACAGACAATTTCTTTTCTAGCGCATTTCTTCCGCTAATTATAATTACTTTGTCGGCTATATAGGAGGCAAACGAGGTTTCCAGTTCCTGGAAAACGAAACCAACGCCGTGTTGCACAATTATTTGATTAAGGACGGGGACGTAGAGAGACAAGTCAAGGTTATTACTGGTCACGTCAAAGTACGATTTTTCTTGGGCGATGCTGTTGGATAAATAACTTTCCGATTCCATTCAGGTGAAAGTCATCGATAAGGGAGTCGATTTTCCAGAGGAAGAGTTGACGGAGGTGGATAACGTAATCCAGAAGCTTTGGATGTCGATCGACGACAACGTTCTGCTCGCCAGATTGTTGGTCCAGCATATGGATAAAAAGTTTCCTGCTAATAATCACCAAGCAATGATTGGCGTGAAAAATTTCGCGATCGGAACGGAAAAGTTTGCTAATTTTAAAGTGGCTGACAGCAATTTACTCTTATTCTCTTTGTAAAAAAAAAGTAAATAAACACTTGTTTGGAAGCCGTTTCTGTTAGTTTGCCTTATATTAAATAAGAAGAAGAGAGTTTCGGTCCCACCAATTTCATATCTGTGGTCGTCCTAACCTATATATTTTTCAAATGTTTTTTTGGTTATATTTTTCGCACGTTCTATATTTTTGGAGTGCCTTCAAGTCTTTTTGTTAATAAAATGGCCGTTAGGGCTGCAAAAAATGGTTCGCTGTACGAAAAATTGCACGTTTTTGCTAGCATAAACGAGCAGTTTAACGTCTGCTTCAAAGTAACATATAAACTCCACAATATTTCTCGTTTTCCGCAGTAACTAGTCTTGTTTTAGCAAGTAGACGTTCAGAAATTGAAGGAGTCTGCTAAATGCGACGTGCTTGTGGAGTACATCGCTAGAGAAATGCTCGTTATACCATATTACTTTGATATTATAATTGAACAGTTTCCGCGCGAGCTGCCAAGGATATTGCACGACGCTCTCACGTTCAATGATGAATACGAATTTAGTCATTCCAGACACTTGCTAAATTGCATTCTGTTGTCTAAAATCGTCCGACAGAGACGGGATTTGTCTAGGTTTAACCCAAGAGGTTCCTAACGCTTTGTAGATTATTTGCGTATTTTTCTTAGGTTTGCTTTAACGTATTTTACGTCGTATCCGGCTCCCTTCGAGACGGAAGACAAAGCGCCAGAAAAAGTTCGCAAAATTTCTTCGGGAAAGGTGCAGGTCGAATGCATCGATATCGTGGAGGCCACTTATTTCTTATTAAAAAGCAACCCCGAATTCTTCAGAGTGCGGTGGGAGTGGACTCGTTTCATCTCGGCGTTTATCAGTTCATCTAGAGATGTCCATGTTCGCTGGTAGTATTTTATATGGTCACTTTTATCCTTAACACTCACCGTTATTGTTTTATAGGTTAATGTATCAAACTCTAGCGCTTGCCTTGGGTTTTAACGAGCGCCGCCTGAAGCAACTGATCTTCAACCGAATTTCCGACGACATGAACCTAAATTTGACTTACCAGTTCCACGCAAATTCGGGTTTCTCCAAAAAAAAATGGGAAGCTCCTCCCGTCCATCCCGTTCCGCATTTGGCTCCAGGAAAACTAAGTAAAAACGCGCTCGTTCGCGTGGCCGACATTTATGTCCCGTCAGTCGGACGCGAAACAAAAGAGTTGCTAGTGGAAGTCCCCTCTACCCACCGCAATTTGCAAAAAATTGCTCTCGGACTCTTTTCCAACAGGGCGTTGTGCCTTCAAGGTGCGGTGGGGAGCGGCAAAACCTCGCTGGTGACCCACTTGGCGTTCAAGACGGGTAGAAAGTTGGGCGAAACCTTTATCAAGCTGCAGCTGGGTGATCAAACTGACAGCAAAACGCTGCTCGGCACTTATAAATGTACCGGTGCGCCCGGCGAGTTTGTGTGGCAGCCCGGAATTCTGACTCAAGTAAATTTTGTACATAAAGAAAATTCACAACGAACATTTGTTTTTTATTTAGGCGGTAACGGAGGGTCACTGGCTACTCCTCGAGGACATAGATCAAGCTAACGTGGACATAGCGTCGGTTCTCGGCAACCTACTAGAGAACCATGCCCTGACTGTGCCAGGGTACAGGGACGCCATCCCCGTCTCTCCCGGGTTCCAACTTTTCGTCACCCAAAGGTTCGTTTCTGTTTATATTTAGCAATGCATTATGTAGGTAACCTGTTACCAATCGCAATAAACAATTACATACCAAATAAACATTGGCTAGGATAAAACAAAAAGATGCAAAATTATGATATTACCCACAGACTGCCTGAACATTACATGTTACACACAATTACTAAACATGCATAATTCTTCTAGATAATTTTATTATAATTTTAACGATATCGCGATTTGAGTCTATGAAAATCACTGAAATAAGATAGCGGCTTATATATATATTATATATATATATATATATATATATATATATATATATATATATATATATATATATATATATATATATATATATATATATATATATATATATATATATATATATATATATATATATATATATATATATATATATATATATATATATATATATATATATATATATATATAATTTCACGTATTGATTCGCTTGTTGAACTCCGACTGCAATCCTGCATCCGACCGGAATCCTGCATCTGACTGGAATCCTGCAGACGTTTCGCCAAAATCTCACTTGGCATCTTCAATGCTCGCTCTCCGAAAACACTTCGCACACTTATGTTGCTATGATGTTACTGAGTTTAAGTGCGGACACGTACGAGTGACATGGACGCGCGGCCTCTGAAGATGCCAAGTGATATTTTGGCGAAACGTCAGGCGAATGATCCTACTCCAGGGTCAAACAACGAACGGATGAATACCCGGATTACCACCAATACACATAGTTCCATCCGTGAAGGACTAAAGCAAAACATATATATATATATATATATATATATATATATATATATATATATATATATATATATATATATATATATATATATATATATATATATATATATATATATATATAATTCTCTTGGGTATTCGGTCTCTCAAAAACAAATAACGTAATTCCTTTAAATATCTATTAACATTTCGATCGTGATTTCGATCTTTTTCAAAATATTCTAATTTTCTATAAGTGACATTTAAAAAAATTGATGCAATTTAACGTAGCGTTAATATATTACTTATTTAAAATAAACATAAGTTGTCAGCGAATATTTTATGCGAATTGGAATGGCATGCAAAGCAGGTACGGATGTTTTTTTTAAACAATATTGAATAATTTAATTTTGTTAGTTTAAAATTGAGTTATATATTTTGTTAAGGCGTTTAGAGTCGGGTTTGTAATTAATTTATTTTTTGGGTTTCTATACTTTCATAAAATTCTCTTTTTTTGGTGTTAGGTTCTGTTAGTAGGACTTTAACTTTTTGAAAATTAAATGTGTGTTTGGTGTTGTCACAATGGGTATGAAGAGCTGTTTTGTGTTTTTTGTTATACTTATGTCCTTTGATTCTATTTTTCAAATACTGACTTTGTCCTATATACATACTGTCATATACATATACCACATTACTTCTTTTTTCAACTGGAATTTTTGCTTTGAGTTTAGTGAAGAGATATGTTTTTCGTAAATTATAACTTTTGTGCCCTATTTGAAATTTGAAAATGGTTTGGAGTTTTTCTGATAAGTACATATAGTAGCGATATATATTTGCTTTGAGAATTTTGATGTTGGGTTTTTTAATTAAGTTATTATAAAATTTGTTGGTACGTGTACTAAAGATATTATTAATTAAGTTTTGGGATAATTATTTTCTAGAAGTGCGCGTTTTGCTTTTTCAATTGCGTCTGGTCTAGATTCTGGATCGGATAACATTATTGCTTTCTCTGACATAAAATTTAGATATGATGATTTTGTTTCCTTGGTATGGCAACACGTCATTTCATTTTGTAAGTCTAAAAAATTAATAGTATTTAGGTTTTCAATTTCAATCGTGAATTGTAATTTTTTGTGGAATTTATTGAAGGAGTTTAGTAATAAGTCTGTTTTTCCTTTTGAAACGTCAGCGCACGTGACGTCAATATTCTTCATATCTAGCCCTCGTTACTTATTCGGTTTAATATGCTCGTTAGCTCGACGTTAAAGTCAGCGTTGAACAACGGACGAATCCCGGGTTCGATCCTCGGTAGCAAAAAAAAAAAAGGTGAGTCATCACGGTTTCTTGAGGTTATGTTCGTCCGAACTTCCTACAACGGGGCCCCAGGGGCGGAGAACACAAGCATCGGTGGCGGAGCACACCCTACAAGCAATCGGGGGCGGAGCACCCCTTAGAAGGGGATTGTGTTTTGAGGTTATGTTTCATCTGAACTCTTGTTATTTATCTACTTATGATGTCGTGGACATATCGATAAAAAAACGATAAATTGAAATGAATGTTTTTAATACATTTCCTTCTAGATACTCCATAACAAGCTGTGCTACAAGCCTGTCTAAGAGTGAGCAATAATCATTACAATTGAATTATTGACAAGTTCTGACTTTTTTATGAAGAATTCGATCCAATTTTGAATTGTTTTCGTTGTGGTTTTTCAGACTTGTAACGACGTACAGCGGCCATCACAAGAAACAATCGAACACTATGGGCCTGCTGGAGAAGCACATCGTGCAGATAACCGTCGATCCTCTCCCCGACCACGAATTGAAACAGATCGTGACCGCCCGTCACCCGCAATTCGACACCATAGCGGATCGCCTCCTGAAGGTGTTTCGCTTATTTTCCGACGAAACGTCCTCCCCGGTCGCGTCTAAAGGCAGGCGCATATCGACCCGCGATTTTTTCAAGTGGTGCTCGCGCACCGCCGTCAATTTCGACGTCAAGAGCCAAGCGACCGCTCTCGGAGTGCTGCAGCACGCAATCGACGTGTTTTGTTGCTCCTATCCGAACCCCGTCGAAGCGCTCGACTTGGCCAAACAAATCAGCACTTATTTGGGGATCATTAACGAGAAGGCCGACTATTACTTCAACACGTACAAGCCCAGTCTTCAGCTTACGGCAACGGCGTTCGTCTCCGAACGGGTCTCGTTGCCCAGGGAGCACCGGGTCTTCAATAAGACCTCTAAGTTTTGTTTCACGAGACCCGCTTCGGTTTTGCTCGAACGCGTCATGTGTTGCGTCCGCCTTAAGGAGCCGGTACTGCTAGTAGGCGAGACCGGTACCGGCAAAACCTCCTCCGTACAGTATTTGGCCCAGGTCCTCGGCCAGAAGTTGGTCGTCATCAATATGAACCAGCAGTCGGACTCCACGGACCTTTTGGGCGGTTTCAAGCCCGTCGACCTGAAGCTCGTCATAGCGCCGGTACGTTTCTTTTTCGAGCCCGTCCAAAGTCGACGAAAATCCATTAAACGCAATTAAATTAGAACAAAAAAATTAATGATTTATGACAGCTAATTTTTCAAAGAAACTTGTGTAATACTATTTACGAAACTTCTGAATGCCTCCTGTTGCCTTACGAATTCGAATACTTTATTAATATTACTATCACAGGTGATTTACATACGTCGAACAAAAAGGAATAAAATAACATATACTTAAAATGCGCCCGGTACATTATAATTGAAATACAAATATTCATCAAAAGAATGAAAATGCTGATTAATCAAAAATCGTCTGACCGTTTGTTTATACATTTCAAATGGTAAATTACGAACAGTATTTGAAAGATAAATGACGAGGGCAATGTAAGAATTTCCAAGTCTCCAAAGGCATTTTTACAGTCCTCCCGATAACCAAGTCCACTAATAATTCGAATTGCTTTTGGTTCTAAGCAGCATGGCTCCATTATAAGGTCGCATATAGGAGGTGTGAATGAAAAAGTGCAAAATATGCAGTCCTTAACACAGGAGACACATTTTCCGTCAAGCGTCGAAGCTAATACAAATTTTTGGTCAGTTTCTGAGCAACAAAATCTATATGGGAGCCCCACTGAAGTTTTAGGTCAATATAGATACCACGAAATCTGGTATTTAAGTTATTAAAATTAACTGTACTTAAATTTCGCATGGAAAAAAAACCACTCTCTCCGTTTTATCACTATTTAAAACTAATTTATTTGCGCTAAAGCAGTGTTCAACCTTCAACGTGTCTTCTAATGAATCCCCAGAAACAGACACAGTGGTGTCATCATCAAAAAGTGTATAAACAGATGTCGGATCCACAAGGGGAATGTCATTTATATATATTGAAAATAGTATGGGTCCCAAAATTGAACCTTGGGGCACTCCAATGTTCACCTCACTCTTTGCTGTCACTCCAGAGCAGTTGATCACCTGGCATCTATTGCTAAGGTAAGATTGCATCAAACTAAGACTGCTATCTAAAAATTATAAGCATTTAACTTGCGAGTGCTTTAATGAAATCACAAAATTATACAGTGTTATATTGAGAATTCTGGAATGCATCTGTAATGTCTGAAACTAAATTGAGAATGCCTGAAAAAGTATTTTTATTTCTTCTAAAACCAAACTGATTATTATTAAAAATGCCATTAATTTCAAAATATTGAACTAATTGTTTGGCTATACATTTCTCTACAATTTTTGAAACAATTGGAAGTAGGTTGATAATTTTCAACGACATCAGGGTTACCTTCTTTAAAAACTGGGATTATTAGAGCTTTTTTTAAAATGTCTGGAAAAGTGTTGGCTCGAATTACTTAAGTTTATAAGTTTTGTGAGAGGCAGTAATATTTAATTCTGTCAAAAACGCACTAAAACCTTATATTTCTTATTACATCAACCTGAAGTCATGGCTAACTGGGACCGATTTTTTATGTCAAATATCGAGAAGGGATATTCGAGATTTCTTTAAGAATAAAACATAAATAAAAGTTAACTATACCAATTTCCATGGAGTTCTAATGCAGGGTGCTCGACATATCGCGGTCGCCTTGCTTAAGCATTACTCCTGTAGAACGTTTGTTTATGGCTCAATTGTGATAATTCTTTTTTGCTGGATAGATCGTAGTACAGAGAAATGAAACTGCTTTTTCATATCGTTTGACTAATATCATGGCTAACTGGCAGTTTTTCGAAGCGGAAAATCGAGAAGTAGTTTTAGAGATTTGTTCAAATTAAAAATGACCACCGATTCGCGTTCAGGACTACCTAAAAGTTGTTAATGTTTTAAAAAAATAAATATTGTAAGCCTTGTAAATAACGATTATTTTGTATGTGATTTTAAGATCTTGCAGATTTTAATTATACAAATTTTTAAAATAATGATAAAAAAGACTTTTTACCATTAATAAATGTCAGCATTCGAAAGATGTAAACAAAATTAAAATATAAATTAGCCAGCAAATTTGACTGGACTGACAAAGGAAACAGTATGGCGACGTCAATCAATTATTAATATTTCTGCTATTTTCATTATTAGATGAGAATCAAAAATCCTTTTTAATAAAAAAAAAATCAGCGTTGTAAAGACTGTTTAGTTCGTATCTAATCCTCTCTGATCTCTAAATTGTGAGTCTTGAATAAAAATTCGTTGACACTTCATTCTTAAAGAAATCCCTAATAGGTTTTAGTGCGTTTTTGAGAGATCTATCAAAGATTTTAGAACGATGTACAGCCTTAAGCTGGCCCAAACGATATTTCAAACATTATAAAAATTGGTATAATTAGGTTCTAAGTACTCCTGAATAAGAATTGGTTGCCAATTTGTTATTTAAAAAATCCCTAATAGTACTTCTCTCTTCTCTTTCGTGTGTTAAATAGTCTCAATTGGCAATGACTTTAAGTTGAAGCAATAAGAAAAACAAGGTTTTAGTGCATTTTTCAGAGACCTTTCCAGCAAAAAAAAAAATCAAAATCGAACCATAAACAAAAATTTTACAAGGGCGTACAGATTTTAAGCATATACATTTGGTTTTAATATTACTTTTAAAACTAAATCACGAAAAACTCAAAAATCTGGAATCTACAAGTTTCAATGTCGATCATGACCCAAAATTTATATAAAATTTATAACATAAACTGGCTTATAAAAATAAAAATGTACAAGTATGACGATAATTTTGATATTTTACATATCAATCAAAAAGAAAAAACTGAATTTGTTGGAAGGTATGGAGATTACGAAAGTGAGGTATTCGAATGTATTCCTTAAGGACCATTTGGATTTAAATGGGTCTCCGTTGTTAAATTTGTTGTGGTGTCGGAATATTATCATATCTTGCCATTTGAACAGCTGTCATAAATCTGGTCATTTTTTCTTCTAATTTAATCGTGTCAGTAGTTGTCGTAACGCGGTTCGGCGTACCCCGTCCCAAGCCACGCCCATTTTTCGTTTCAGATCCGGCAAGAGTTCGAGGAGGTATTCCGCGATTATTTCAACGTCGCGCCTAACAAGCAGTACCTGTCCAACGTAGCTCAATGCTTCAACAAGCAACGGTACTCGGACCTGGTGAAGCTGATGTTCAAGAGCACGAACGCGGCATTGCGTCGTCTCACTACGGAAACGGAAACGGAAACGGCCAAACCGCAAAGCGACGTCTTCCGCGAGCGTTGGCAGAGTATCAGGGACAAACTCTCCGCGATCGACGCTCAACTGAAGCAAAAGAACGCGATGGCTTTCGCGTTCGTCGAAGGCGGTCTGGTCAAGGCCGTACGCGAAGGCTATTGGATATTACTGGACGAGATCAATTTGGCGAACGCCGAAACCTTGGACTGCCTTTCCGGCCTGCTCGAGGACGCGGACGGCACGTTTTGCCTCCTGGAGCGCGGCGACAAGGTTCCGATTCCTCGACATCCCGGCTTTACCATGTTCGCTTGCATGAACCCGTCCACTGACGTGGGCAAACGCGATTTACCGCCCGGACTGAGGAACCGTTTCGCCGAGTTCTACGTCGACGAGCTCGTGTCCAAGTCGGATCTGCTGTTGCTGGTGCGCAGTTATCTGGAAGCGATGTCGCTGAAGGACAAGGACGTCGAGAATATCGTCGCGTTTTACACGAGGATCAGGCAGGAGGTGGCGACCACCCTGACGGACGGTTTGGGACACAGGCCGCATTTCTCGCTGAGGTCTTTGTGTCGCGCGTTGACCGTCGCATCGCGCAACCCCTGCGGCGCGTTCCGGAAGAGCCTCCACGAGGCTTTTTGTTTGAGTTTTTTGACGCAGCTCGACTCGGCGTCCTACGAAATCGTCGAAGCGTTGGTCTTTAGGTATTTGGTGGGGGATAAAAACAAAGCCGCGTTGGGACAACCGATCCCCAAACCGGACGGCAAGGAGTGTTTGCAATTCGAAGGGTACTGGGTGGAGGTGGGTACCGAGGAACCCCGTCCGCCATCCGACTACATCCTCACGCGTTCGGTGAGACGGAACTTGAGGGATCTCGTGCGCGTGGTATCCGTAGGGAAACTTCCCGTACTCTTACAGGTGAGCCCGCCTCCCGCACTTCTCCGCATTATCGACCTTTTCGAATCCATCGTAGGGCGACACTTCTGTGGGAAAAACGAGTCTCGTCACATATTTGGCGGCCGCGAGCGGAAACAAGTGCGTCCGCATTAACAATCACGAGCACACCGACCTGCAGGAGTACGTCGGTTCGTACGTCGCCGACCCACAGGGTAAACTCGTGTTCCGCGAGGGCGTCTTGGTCGAGGCGATGCGCAAAGGGCACTGGATCATTTTGGACGAGCTGAACCTGGCCCCGACGGACGTCCTCGAAGCCCTCAATCGCGTCCTCGACGATAACCGGGAGTTGTTCATCCCGGAGACGCAGGAAACGGTCCGCGCGCACCCCGGTTTCACGGTTTTCGCCACTCAGAATCCTCCGGGCGCGTACGGCGGCCGGAAGATGTTGTCCCGCGCGTTCCGTAACCGTTTCGTCGAGCTTCATTTCGGGGAAATCCCGGCGGACGAGCTCGAACACATCCTGCAGAAACGGTGCCAGATGGCGCAGAGCTACGCGAAGAAGATGATCGCGTGCATGAGCGACCTGCAACGTCGCAGGAGGGAGTCGGCCGCTTTTGCCGGCAAGCAGGGTTTCATCACTCTAAGGGATTTGTTCAGGTGGGGCGAGAGGTACAGGTTGGCGCCGAACCAAGAGGGTCTCTACGATTGGGACCAGCACATGGTCGACGAGGGATACCTGGTGCTCGCCGGGAAGGTCAGGAAGGAGAACGAGAAGAGGGAGATCGTGGACGTGTTGCAGAAACATTGGAAACGGGACGTGGTGCTGGAGAATTTGTTTACGCGTGAGTATATATAATTATAAATTTTGGTTATTGGTACATTTCTGCAATGCCAGGGGTAAAATGGACAGTTTAAAATTTCAAAAAAAAAGCTATTCCTTATTATTATTACCGAACGAGAGCTTCCGAAAATATTATAAATACCGATAGTTTTTTTTTATCTATAGAAAAATAGTTACTAATCAGAAACGTTTTTTTTTATTAAATACTTTTTAATAAATAATTATAATTATTATATACCGGGTGACACAAGAAAGTGGGAACGCTCTATAACTTTTAAACGGCTCGAGATAGCGATTTGAAATTTTGAAGGGTTAATATAGACCGAATGTCCATTTTTTCGACGATATGTACTCAATGGTTGCACTGCCGTTTTGAGCGGAAACGACAGTAATTTTTTTTGCATTTTTGGATTCGTAGGATAGGGCAGTTTTTTTTTGTTTTTTTAAATTTCAAAATTATTTAATTTTTGAAAATCGTGTTCAGCTGTCTGTGACCATCATAAAAATTGTAAATGAAACTTTTCTTTACTTGTCATTTAATGTAATGAACTATTATTTTTTTAGGATAACCTAGTTTTTTCAAATAGCACCCTAGTGGGAACAAAAACTTTTTTTTGCAAGATTTTGACATCAACATTTTCAAAATCCATTAAAAACTAAGCTCATAGGAAGGAAAAAACCAAATAAGTAATAGTATAATATGCAACAAGTGCGGTAAACGGCATTTGATAATAAACGAGTGAGTCAAAAAGTTCACCGAACGTGTTGCATACTATACTTTTTCTACGACCGTTAGTTTTTGCGTACATTTTCGCAAAAAAAATACATTCACTGACATGACCGTCAAAATTGACAAACGTCAAAATTCAAGGCGTGGGAAATATCTCCGAAAACATCCGATTGATCCCGAACCCGTGCGGTAAAATCCCGGAAATGTCCGAAGTGGCTCGGATCCGCGGGAAACGTAACTGACGTGGTAAAGTGCCGCTTCCCGCACGCTAGATCGGAGTGTAATTAGGTATTTATACATTTTTATAAAAACGAAATATTACTTAGGCGGCTTTGCGTCTATTCATCAAGTCGGCGCGATTGAAAATTCTGACAGTTTGTACATTTTGATCTGAATATCGATTTTGTCGTGTTATCGATTTGGATTATCATTGAACACAATAATCAATTTTAATATATTTCTGATATACGTGGAATGCAGAAAAAACTCTCGACAGGCCGAACGTCGCGTTCCTGCGCAATTCTCTCGTTAGAAAGCTTTAATTGAAAATGAGAAATCCACAAAATAATCGACATGATAATTTTATTATAAGTTGTGTGGCGTCAACCTAAATCCAGCTGAGACCCTAAAAGTGGCATTAGAATTAGACATCTCAAGAGAATCTTACGAGGAGAATTTTAAAATAATGTCATTCTTTTAAATATTACCTTCATCAACATCTTTATGAAGTTGACTTTGCAAGAAGACTTCGACATTGTAATTGGCTGTTAGATAAACATGACGAGAATAATAACCGACAGAACGACAGATACTGGTCTTTAAATAATCAAAGAATTATTCGTCCCGGACAGTTTCGAGAATGGTTCGGATTCAATGTTTGGGCAGGAGTGATAGGAAGGCGAATTATTGGACCTGTTCTTTTTTATGGTGCCTGAACTGGTGCACGATATTTACAATTTCTAACAAATGAAAATGAAGCCTCGTTAGATGATTTACCTCTTGTCGTGACATTAAATATGTATTTTCAGCAGGATGGGGTGCATCTCCATAATTTTAGAGATGTCACAGAACACCTATGTGATGTTTCTGGGGATAGACTAATTTAAACAAACGGTCCAGTCAATTGGCCCCCACGGTCACCGGACTTGACACCGTCAGATTTTTTGGTTAGGGGGCACGTGAAAGACCGTGTTTATGTAATTCCAATGTTCGACCTATAAGAATTACAGCAGATAATATCTGCTGCATTTGATAGTATAATCCCAGAAATGTTAGGAAAGTTTCCAGCTAATTTCTAGAGCCAGAGAATGTCGTACACAAGGAGGACATGTTGAAAACATTTTCACATCTTAAAATAAATTGTTTATTAAGCAAATATCTATCGCATTTATTTAATTCCAATAAATATAAAACTCCACTTCCAAAATAAATGAATGTGGTGTTTTGTATCAATGTAAAACTTGTCTTACAGTAAACACACGTTAATATACCACTTTCAAATCGATTCTACCGACATGTTGAGGTTTTATTTTCTGATTTTCAAAATATTATGTTGAATTATTCCAAAAAGTGACAGATTTGAAAAAAAAAATCCTATTGTCTTGTTCTTCTGAGTTTCCGGTAAAAAATGCTTGTAGCTTAAGATGTACATACAAATACATACAATACTTACGTTAGTGTTTGACTGTATCCCCGTATTCCAAACGCATATCAACTTTTTACCATAATAAAACACAAAAAAATTACAATCGTTGAATCCCAGAAGAAACTGTCTCTTGAATTTTTTTTAAAAAATACTAATCTGTTTTTTTCTTTTCACTGCATGAGCTTGTCGAGAGTTTCTTCTGCATTTAGCGACTTGACAATTAGTAATGAATATTTTTTAACGGATGATTGAAAATGTTGGTGTCAAAATGTTGCAAAAAAAAGTACCTGTTTTAAAAAGTTTTTGTAGCCACTAGGGCGCTATTTGAAAAAACTAGGTTATTCTAAAAAATTCATTACATTAAATGCTATTTGCCTTAGATGAGAAAGAAAAGTTTTATTTACAATTTTTCAAAAATGCAAAAAAATATAGGTAGTGCCAAGTGCAACTACATTTTGTTAAAAAATTGGACATTAACCCTTCCAAATTTCAAGCCGTTTAAAAGTTATAGAGTGTCCCCACTTTCTTGTGTCACCCGGTATAACATTATAAATAGGAGAGAGTGGGGAGATGGTTGAAAGTAACAAAATCCAATTAAAAACTTAAGTGGGCCGCCTTGCCCTACCCTAAGACGATTCAACCTCGATGCCTTTCTATTTCGTATGATTTGTTATCCCCCTGTATAAACCGCGTTTTTGCAGTGCACCAAAACACGTCGACCGTCACGCGGCACATTCTCGCTCAGCTAGAGCGAGGCGGCAACCGCTACCCCAACCTGGTGTGGACGTTTAATATGCGCCGTCTCGCCGTGCTCACTCAGAAAGCTTTCGAGTTCAAAGAGCCGGTCCTGCTGGTCGGCGAGACCGGCGGCGGTAAAACGACCGTCTGTCAAGTACTCGCCGACGTTCGCGGTCAGGAAATGCTCACCGTCAACTGTCACATGCACACCGAGAGCAGCGACTTCGTGGGCGGCCTCAGACCGGTCCGCGATCGTACCGCGGGCGCGCTATTCGAATGGGTCGACGGACCCCTCCTCGAGGCCGTCAGGCTCGGTCGCTTGTTCCTCGCCGACGAAATCTCTTTGGCCGACGACAGCGTGCTCGAGAGGCTCAATTCGTTGCTCGAACCCGACAGGTGTCTGCTGCTCGCCGAAAGGGGCGCCGACCTAAGCGTGCGGGACAACGCCGAGCTGGTCCGGGCCCATCCGGACTTCCTTTTCGTCGCGACCATGAATCCCGGCGGCGATTTCGGCAAGAAGGAGTTGTCGCCCGCGTTGCGTAACCGTTTCACCGAGATCTGGTGCGACCGGCATACCCGCAGGGAAGACATGGTGCGGATAATCGAACGGAGCGCGACGCGTCATCCGAACGCGGGGTTCGGGGACAAGATCGTCGATTTTTTGGAGTGGTTCGGGAGTACGCGGATCGGGCAGAGGTTCGTGGTGACCATACGCGACGTGTTGACGTGGGTGGAATTTATAAACAACGTGGACGCTTTGTCCGCCTCCGCGGCGTACTATCACGGCGCTCGCTTGGTGTTCCTCGACGGTTTCGGTTCCGGATTGACCGGTTCCGAAAGCGTCGAGACGCTGCGCGCGTTCGAGACTGCCTGCGAGAACTTTTTGGAGAAGCAGTTCGCGCCGGAAGCGTTCCCGCGCGTGCCCGACCCTCTCGACGTCACCGTTACAGAAACTACGTTCGGGGCGGGGCCTTTTTCCGTACCCTTCGGCTCCGAGAAACCCCAGGATGCGAAGTTTTCGTTCCGCGCGCCTACCACCCTCGCCAACGCCGTCGCCGTTCTGCGCGGTATGCAGCTCAATAAACCCATACTCCTCGAGGGCAGTCCGGGCGTGGGGAAAACGAGTCTCGTCACTGCCCTGGCTAAGATGTCGGGACATAAAGTGTTCCGGGTGAACTTGTCCGAACAAACGGTAAGCGTTAACTTTTTCTCCGGCTCGCAGGACCGTTTTATGTCGTTTCAAGGACATATCCGATCTGTTCGGCGCGGACCTTCCAGTCGAGGGCGGCGCCGGCCAGTTCGCGTGGCGCGACGGTCCGTTGCTACGGGCGCTGAGGGAGGGCAGTTGGGTGTTGCTGGACGAGTTGAATTTGGCATCGCAGTCTGTCCTCGAAGGGTTGAACGCGTGCCTGGACCATCGCGGCGAAGTCTTCGTCCCCGAACTGGGCAGAACGTTCCGCGTCGGCCGCGGCACCCGGTTCTTCGGGTGCCAGAACCCGATGAGGGAGGGCGGCGCGCGCAGGGGACTCCCCAAATCCTTCCTCAATCGATTCGTCCAGGTTTACGTACGATCGTTGACCGCCGACGACACGGAGGCGATCCTGACGGCGGAATTTCCCCTTCTGCCTCGCGCCACCATCGAGAAAATGGTCGACTTTGGTCGCAGACTAAACGACGAGCTCGACAAGAGAAGATTGGGTCACAAGGGGGCGCCGTGGGAGTGCAACTTGAGAGATTTGACCCGCTGGTGTCAAGCGCTCGAACACGGCGACGAAGCGGACTGCCGCGACACGTTGGAGATGATTTTCGCGAATCGGATGAGAGAGCCCGAAGACCGGCGAAAGGTAGTCGAGATTTTCGGTCGCGACGTAGTGAGGTACTCGAAATCGGTGGTCTACGTCGACGACGACCACGTGTACTTGGGCGGGGCGCGCCTCAAGAGGGCGGTCGACGGAGTCAACGAGCACGTGCTCCGAAACCCGAGGGAATCGTTGATCTTGAGACGGCAAGTGGACGCGTTGCGAAGTCTGACGTACTGCGTCAACCTCAATTGGATGGCGATCGTGGTGGGCGGGGCCGGTTCCGGCAAATCGCACCTGGTGCACACGTTGGCGGCCCTCGCGGGGAAAACACTGCGCACCCTTCCCGTAACCACCGCGATGGATACGACCGATATTCTCGGCGGATTCGAACAGGTAAAACCGTTTTACGTTCCAATTTCGACCTTAGGTCATATTTTCAGTAAAGCAAAGAATTACCTGTGTATTTGGGTTTTATTAGTTAAATCAACAACCAAAGTAAATTAAGTTGATCGGAGAGTAGGGGTGGATTATTGGGCGCCACTTGTCTGCGACGGAATGTACTAGAATTCCTCCTGTGTGGTATTGGGTATTTCGTTACACCCCTGAACCTTACTTACTGTAATCTCTAATAAAGAAAAAAAAAAAAAAAAATATATATATATATATATATATATATATATATATATATATATATATATATATATATATATATATATATATATATATATATATATATATATATATATATATATATATATATATATATATCTTTATTAGAGATTACAGTAAGGTTCAGGCGTGTAACGAAATACCCAATACCACACAGGAGGAATTCTGGTACATTCCGTCGCAGACCAGTGGCGCCCAATAATCCACCCCTACTCTCCGATCAACTTAATTTACTTTGGTTGTCGTCGAGCTAGGGCATAAATTTGTACACACCTAGACATCCGTAACGACCTGGTCGCTGCTTTACCGAGTGTTCCTTATATACATTTTTCTTTTTTTTTAATATTCCAATTTTCTAATTTAAATTTTCAAAAAAAACGTGGCAACCGTCCGTATGGTTTAGATTGGTTCCGATGCGTTCCGTTCGATTTGCAGACGGACTACGGCCGCCACCTGGTGGACATCGCCAAAGTTGCGGAGCGTCGAACGTTGGAAACGGTTCAGAACCTGCTGCTCGAGGAGAAGATCGGACGGGCGGGTCAGCTGCTCGGATTCTTGGAGGCGTATTTGACGGCGGACGCTCCAAGTAAGTCGAGAAGGTCGAACGTATTGCGGACATCGAATTTGTCCGTTGAATTTGTCAGATGTCGAAGCGAAAAAGGAGGTGGATTCGTTCCTGAATAAGTGCAGCAAGCTGGAGGCGCTGCTCAAGGAGCTTTATTTGAAGAGCGAGGATCCGGCGGAGGGCAAGCACATTCTGCACCTCATAGATCGTTGTGCGCAGATACAGAAGACAGTCGCCGCGGACGGATCAGTCAGCGCGGGGGGCAGGTTCGAATGGGTGCACTCCGTCCTGGTTAAGGTAAGGACGGAAGTCCTATAGGGATTGGAGGAAACCACCAAATTTGCAAGATTGCAATAACAATTCTTTTGAATTAACCAACAAAATTAAAGATATCAAAGTCCCTTCTAACGCCACATAAAACTTACTTCTCAGTATTCCACTTATGGATGTGATAGATTTAGTAGATTTCACCCAAATTCGGGAACAGGTTAACCCATTGGTGAAACAAGATTTATTAGATTGTTTAATAGTATTTTTAGACCAAAATTATTGTGAATTTAATGGACAGATTTACATCTCTAAGGAAAGTTTGATTATGGGAAACCCACTTAGTCCTTTGTTAGCCGAGATTTTTATGGATAATCTGGAAAATATCATACTAGAACATCCTTTAAGTGAAAGTTTTCTATGGTGGTATAGATACGTGGACGTTGTCTTTGCTTGCTTTGTTGGAAAGGACAGACAATTGAATTCTTTTTTAAATTACATTAACTCATTACATAATCGTATAAAATTCACTATCGAGATTGAAGAGGATAACTCTATTAATTTTTTAGACAACTATTACGAAAGCGCAAAACAAATTTATTTATCATAAACCTTCACACACGGACACAATCATACATAACAGCTCAAATCACCCTTATACACACAAAATGGCTGCATTTCACTCTTTTATATACAGACTTCTTAATACGCCACTTTCAACAGAAAATTACAACAAAGAAGTTAATATGATTAAACAAATTGCACTGAACAACGGCTACAATCCGTCTATTATAGATTAAATTATAAATAAAAAACAAATCGAGACAACAGTAAACTCTATTTATCCGAAACCTAATACAGAACACGAACAATTTAAATCAATTACATACATAGGAGAACCTGGTGAAAAAGTTTCAAAACATTTGTCAAAATGTGGTTTAAAAATAGCTTTCAGACCTAACAACACAATAGGAAATTTTTTAAAAAACAATAAAACGAAATGTCCAAAATCTCAAAAATCAGGTGTCTACAGGTTGAAATGCGGATCTTGTCCTAAAATTTATATTGGACAAACAGGTAGATCCTTCAAGAAACGCATTAATGAACATAAAAGAGCGTTTAAAAACAATAGCTTAGATTCTAATTATGCTACACACTTAAACACAGAAAAACACATTTTTGACGACAATTTTGATATTTTACATACAGCCACAAAAAGTAGAAAATTAAATTTATTGGAGGCCATAGAGATTAACAAAATGAGACATTCAATTGTATTGCTTAACGATCAATTAGATTTAAATACCTCTCCTTTATTGAAATTAAATTCTCACAATAACATTAATTAATGTTTTATGGTCATTTTTCGGTATATATAGTAGCACTTAGTTTGTAAATATTACATTTGATAAAGACACGGTGTTGTCGAAACAATTGTCATGTAAAAATATATAATTTCGTGAAAATCTGAACCTTTAGTTCATATTTACTTTTTTTTTTTTAGGTATTAATTCCCAAACAACTCAAAATGGCAAAATTCTCCTAAAAAGTATTAATTTTCTGAAATTCAAAAGAAAAGCGAAAAAGAATCAATGTATGTGCAAAAGGATGCCCACTATAAGACAAACGAAACATAACTCTACTTGGATGTTTCAAACAAGTGTTCAGAGTTTTGTCTAAGTCTAAGTTCTCCTCATCGAATTCTTCGTGGATTTCTTTGACTTCTTCCTGAGATTTAAAAACTCGTACATTCTTGGAAAATAGTTTAGGACTTTTTTTTAGACTGGATATTGTGCCGAATCTACAGCGATATTACGATATTTCGGGCTCCTTGAGCGTCCTCAGATAATTGCCAAATTGGAAATTCTACTTGGGAGATTATTTGGTGGCCGTGCATTAAAATTTTGGTAATTTTGGGGTGGGGTGAGCGACCTAATTTTCCGCTGTATTTATACAATATATACACGTTTACTTCAAGCACTTTAGCAAATGAACATTTTAAAGTTTTATAAATAAGATGGCGTTGAATTTCCTTTGTTCAAGTTTTACCGGACTGATGTCTTGTTCATAATTTTAGTTGAAATTATTTGAAATACGTTAACACTTAAGTGTACTTATTGTGAGATTTGTTTTTTATTATTCTAAGGAAATTTTAGTGACGGGTTACGACGAAAATGACGTTACTTCGACCTTGGGAAGATTTCGGAAACTTATTTTAACATATGTATATAATTACACATTTGCAAACATTGTTTGCTTAAAATTAGACTGCAGTCAAGCGCAGTTTTTTTTGTAGCCCCTTATTACGATCGAAATTGTTCGATATATTTAAATCACCATGTTGAGCATCAAAAGAGAGAGATAATAAATTTCGTTTTCATACCAAACTGACTTAAAAAGGGCGTGTTTACTATCTAAACAAAATAACAATCTAATACAGTAGTAGGTAAAGGTACCATCGCTAGTAGTGTAATATACAATTCGGGCGACCCCCGTAATGCCATTATGTTTATGCCCCGCCTCCGTTGCAGTGCGTGGAGGATGGCTCGTGGCTACTGATCGACAATGCGAACCTGTGCAACGCTGCGGTCCTCGATCGGCTCAACGCGTTGCTGGAGCCCGGCGGGATACTGACCGTGTGCGAAAAAGGCGCCGACGCCAACGGGAAAATGTTCGAGCTGAAGCCCCACCCCGAATTTCGCCTCTTCCTGACGATGGACCCGAAAAACGGCGAAATCTCGCGGTATAACAACAACACGGCGTTATTACTAACCTGCAATTCGTTCGTTTTCTAGGGCGATGCGCAACAGGGGCCTGGAGATTTACGTGGAGGAGACCGTCGACGAGTACGACGTTAAAAGTCTGCTACATTTGCGGGGGTTGTCGACGAACTCGCACCTCGAGCGCGTCCTCGACGTTCACCGCTTCGTTTCCGGGTTGATCCTTACCGAAAAACCGGGTTTGTCCGATCTGCTACGGTACGGGTCGCTCGTCGCCGCCCGTATCCTGCAAGGATTCCGCGTCCGCGACGCCCTCTACGAGTCCTTCGTCGAAGTGTACTTCAAGACGCGCTCTCGTGCGGAGTTCAACACCGCGGACGCGGAGCGGGAGGTCCGCGATCGGATCGAAAGATTTTCCGAAGGCGAAGTCAGTCGCTACGATCGTCACGTGACGTTGAACGTCGGAGATTTGGCTGGGCGGTCGACGTTGGCGCAGGTCATGCACCAGGCGGCCTTCTTCGAGCAGGCAATCGCGTCCTTAAATAGCCGTAAACGTCCGACGGCTCGGGTTCGCGCCAAATCGTCCCTGTTGATCTGGTCCGACCTGGAAAGACTCCGGGGCGTCGACACGGGCGAGTTTTACTTCGTCGCGAACCTGGTGGCGAACATTTTCACCGTCACGTCGAGGAACGACCTGCCTTACAGGCTAACACACCTGCGGTCGAAGGCGGGGTCCGACGATTGGCTCGCGTTCGTCGACCGCGTCGCCAAAGTGTTGAACGTTTTCGCCAGGGAGTGGGCGAACCTGCCCGTGGACTACAGGTGGTTGGAGGCGTGTCCGAGGACGGTAGCGGACGGCTCGATCGGCGACTCGCTCAATTTGGCCGTACAAATCGAGATACACAAGATGGCCGACGCGATGGAGGCGAAACGCGCCGGCAGAAACAGTCTGCTCGCGTACGTGGCGCAGAGGCAAATGAAGTCGGTGTCGAATGTTCTAGACGCGCCGATACTCGACCTTTATCCGACGTTGCAGAAGGAGTTTTACGTCTACCTCAGGCAGCTCGCGATCGATCTGGGGACGTTGTCGCCCGACGACTACGTCGACTTGGTGCTGTGCTTAAGTTGGCGCCAGTGTCTACACTCGTTCGTGGCGACCGTGGAGTTTCAGGTAGTACGATTTTCGGGAATTTTCGTTTCATTAGGTGACCGGGAAACAAAGAAGTAAGCGCCAAGTGTACTTGTTTTATAAAGCATTTAAACATTTTGAGATTCTGTGCGAAATGGCAAACATGCTTTATGTCTTCCAAGTTGGTTATTTTTTCGTGATTTTTGTATTTAATGTTTTCACAAATTTTACAGCGTGTTCGGTATATTTTGTTCTATATTAAAAAATGCGATAGGTGTCCTAAACTTGAACCTATCGACTTCAGATTTTTCAGGCAAGTACCCAGGCACCCAAACCTTTGAAGTGGTTCGCAATCATGCAAACATCGCAAAGTATTTCTTAAAAACGTCGAAAAAAATTTTTGGTTTATTTTGGCTTCCACAAAAATATTATTTTCTCCAAAACGATTAACCCGACCGGAAAAATTCTAGAAGCGCGGCAGATCTGGGACTAAATCTTTTATTTCATGCATTTTTCGGATTATCTGCAGGGTTTTTCAATTATAGAGACAAATCTAAAAGACTATGAAAATTAAGCTATTATCTTCATTCGGGTTTAAAGGCCGTCGTCGATTGGAATTACTTCCTAACGTTTCGCTAGCACGAGTGGCGAGCTTCTTCAAAGGTCCTTCCATCTCTGATGTTGGACGTAGACTGACCACATTGTGTGTCTACGACGACATTTTTAATGCTGACAAAATGACGCCAGATAAAACTCTTAAATTTCGAAACGAAAAGTGGAAAACTTTCTAAAGAACGTATAATAGTGTTAGTTGCTGCCAATATGAGTGGGAGAGAAAAAGGAAAGCTAGTCGTGATTGGAGAACCAACTAACCCACGATGTTTTAAGAACATCAAGCATTTGCCGGTCACTTACAAGGCCTGGATGACATCGCAAATTTTTAAAGAGGAGATACCGAAAAGAGATGCAGAATTAAAGTGGAGGAAAATATTACTTTTCTTAGATAACTGCCCTGCACATCCCATATTCCAAATCTACGGAATATTGAATTGGCATTTTTTCCAGCCAATACAACAAGTGTATTACAGCTGACGGACCAGAGCCTAATAAAAAGTCTTAAGAGTCAATGCAGGAAAAACGTTTTAATGGAAATGATCGAGTCTGAAGACAAATTTTCCATTAATATGCTAGATGCAGTCAACTTTATTAGTAAAGCTTGGAAAGAGGTGACAGCAGAAACAATTCAACACTCCTATCGTCATGCAGAACTTATTACTGAGACAGAATGCGAACAGGACTTGCCACTAAGCGAGTGGATAAAACAGTTTCAAATTACAATTACGTTTACAAGTGAGGAGTTACAAGATTTTATGGTGGTAGATCCAGGATTTGCCTACAACCGCAGACTTGACGGAGGAAGCCATATTACAACAAGCAAGAAAGGGTGAGGAAGAACACCAAGAGGAAGAAGGACATGAAGAAGTTGATCTGGGACCGCCACCAACATTAAACAAGCCCTATATTCAGTTAAACTGCTAGAGAAATTTTTTATGTATCATGGGGAAGAAGACCCTCTCGAAGAAATGCTGAAAATACAAGCCAAAGTATGAGATGCATGCTAAAAAACTCAAAATAAAATGACCGATTATTTGAAACATTAAATGTAGTTGTGCGAATTTGACTTATAATAAATATCTACTTAGAAACTTAAGTTACACTTTAGTATCAATAAGCTACTTAGTTAATTTTTTGTTTTTAAACGATTTAAATTTTATTTTATTTTTTAGTTCCAGAGGTAGTGCTTTATAAGTTTGTTGACCAGTATAAAAGTAATTTTTTTGTCCAACAGATAAATGCATCTCTTGTAAAATTACATTTTCTCCAAGTTTAAAGCGTGTTTCATACTCGTGAGTTTTTGAATTAACCAGTAAGTTATTTTTATCAAGAACAAATGGGATGATTTATAATATAATTTTTTTATGTGAAGTAGTTGAAATTGAGTAAAAATTAAGTCAGATGGAGTATCGGGCAGATTACAGCATTTACCTATGAATTTGTTATTCTTTCTTACGCTTTCGTACATTTAAATCGTACTCTTAAAATACAAAGTCGGAACGGCACAGTTCTTGTCGGCTAACATCTTAAATACGACCCTGGCTTGTGGTACACGTGCTGAAAAGAACGATCCCGTCCGCTTGACAACAGGCGGATTTTAAACTTATTCCGAAGTCTAAACCATAAAAGGTTGTAAAAGCGGTATATCGTTTGGAGAACTCTATCTATTCCTACCCATATTCGAAGTAATTAAGTTGTTTGATAGTATCGTGTTTTCTCGAATAAACATGTTGCCTTCACTATGGAAAAACAATTAATATTATACTATTATGATGATGATCAAGTTTTAAAAAACCCCACAAAATTTCCATTTTCAAAGTTCAAATATTAAAAAAATATATGTTGTGAATTTTACACAGGATCTCACAATGTAATAATATACGGGGTGTTCCATTTGAGATAGGCAAGTTGACGACAACTTCCGGTTAAACCGGATGTGACAGGACGTCGAAAATATTTAAAAAGGTAGTACACTTGGCACTTACTTGTTGGGTGAAAAAGTATTTAAATATCTTTTAATGGCAGTCATTTTGCGTCGATAAATAACCAATTTAACTCCGACTATATTAAACTGATTGAGACCAGTGGCGTCTCCACACATATGTTAACAGGTTTGATTATTTTTTGTCCCACAAAATTAAAGATACGAAGTTTTTGTTTTGTTGGTCGTTGCAGCCTGGCGGGTACGCGAACAAGTTAGTAGCGTCGAGCAAAACGAACGCCCTCGCTGTCGCCTACCGCTGGTTCTACAAGTACGCCGTGGTGCGCATGTCCGAAAAGATAGGCGGTCGTATCCCCGACTCCTTGACTAGCGTCTTGAAAGTTCTGAACCTAGCGGTTGACAAACATCGTCCGCTAATGCACAAAACAAGCAAAATTTACCGAAAATGCGACCACGTGCCCGCCCATTTTCAAAGCGAGGACTACAGGCACGGCTTGGAGCTGATTGACGGCTTCGAATCAGGGGCGCAGCCTCTGTCGTCGCATGCCAGAACCGAGCTGATCGAATTGCAGCGTCGGCTGCACTCGGAAGAGTTCGACGACTCGCGTTTAGAAACGCTGAAGTCGCTTCTGCGCGACGACGACGTCCCGTCGCTGCGAGAAACCCGAATCGCGCCTGTGCTGAAGGCGTCCACCCACCTGGTGCTGTTGAATGCTCTGGTCCGCATCGAACGCGGAGATCCGTTCGATTCGGAGCGCGTCGTAGCCGATCCCCAGGTGCCTGTCGCTCTGGGTGGCCTGCTAGCCCTTTACGGCCGAACTTTGGACCCGAGACTGCTTCACCAGATCAGGAAGTTGTATTTCGCGACGGGAGTGGGTGAAAAAGCTCCGCCCACAGGTCTGAACCCGACCGCTACGACTGCCGCGTGCACTCTACTGTCGTCCGATCGAATTACGACCTTGGAGAACTACGGAGCCGCCGTCGAAGAACACGGAAAGCTTTCGGCGTGTCTTTGGAAGAATTTCCGTGCGGCAGGAAACGAGTCGTTCGATTTCTTGTGAGTATATAAGTAATAATACAAGAGTGGCGATATTCGCAAATTGCGCTAAGGATATTTTCCAGAGAGTCAAGACATTCAAGTAAAGTTAAAAGTTGGAGGTCTATAAATTGTTCCTAGACACACCGTTTTTCTTTCGATCTTAATAGACAGCCCTATTTGTTCTAAACTATCATTATTAATATATTCCTATATATATATATATATATATATATATATATAGCTCTAACTGCGGTAATAAAAACTCACCCCTCCACCACGTGTTTCACGGTCACGCCTAATAATGCCATTTAGACCATCATTAGGTAGAAGAGTAGCAAGCTACGTTTCCGAAAGATCCACAAAATCAAGGTCCAGAATCCAAAATATATTGGGAAAAAAGATCAAAGATGCGTATACTAAACAACTAAATAGGGAATTTGCACGCAAAAAAGTACAAACAAGTTAGGAGACGCCCAAACAAAAGAGTAAACAAACATGACTGTTGGTTCAAGCAAATATAGTTCAGCATAAAAATGGAGGTCCTCATAAATCCTACAAAAAGAAAAGCACACAAATGAGAAAAAAATAATTAAACCTAGTTCCACAAATACCCAGTAGGGTTTTTATTAACAAATAAGCAAAATAATCTGCAAAAACGAGACGAGATCCCATATATTCCATACACCGAAAAGTATAGAACTCCGCAAGTCCCGTATTAGCAAATCAGTAATATAAATCGCAAAAATTATACCACCTGTTACAACATTAGAAATAAGTCAGTAGAGGAAGAGAGTCAGATCTAACATTAGCATGTTAAAATTTCATAAAAAAATTCCAAAGAAAAGTAGTATTTATAAGATAACTGAGATATCAGCGAATTTGTATGAAATAAGCCATAAGTTTACCGATAAAAAGTAAAATCAAGCGATAAGTTTTTCTCTAGATTTATACCAAGTGCAAACAAACATAGCACTACCGGAGTAATAAATGCGCCACCTGGATCTTCTGCTTCTTCTGGTTCAAAATATTTTACCGTTGACAGACCAGACCTGTCTATGCCCGTATTTAGTCGCTGTGAGTAGTTCATATCTTTAGGGAGACAGATCTGCGCAGACGGGAATAGCTGTACCTTTGAAGGCTCTTCTAACACTAAAAACTTCGTTCTTTTTAATATTTGATATAAACGTAACCAGCAATGTGGGAGATTTTTGGGAGTAATCTTTCCCCTCAAGTCGAAAAACAGAATATATCTCACAGAAACAAGAGATTTTCAGAGTATTCTTTATAAAACAAGTTATATCAGTCAGCAAATCCTCGTTCATACTTTACACCTACTATGCTGCTCCAAATTGTCAAGCCTCTCTTGCAGCTTAACAATTTGCTGAAATTTTGGTTAACGCGGTGTAAAGAGTTACCAGTTTGGGACAATTTGTTATCAAGTGCGGGTAAACTTCGAATCGATTTCTGTTTCGACGTGCGAGATAAAATTTGCACACACCGTGGACACAATCCTTTCCATGTTCTCGTGCTCCAATTACTATAAACTACTCACAACACGCTAATTAGATTTTCTAAGATTAGCCGCTAATTCCGGCACAAAAATCCTCAGGATTTGCAACAATGCATGCGCATATACACTAGCTATAACGGCGGAATAGGTAAAGAATTATTCACTGGCAACGGCCCTTGAAATAGTCTATAAGTCAATAAGCCTATATTAAGATTTAAGTTTAAATAATTAAATATTCAGAGCCCTCCACTTGGAAATATTGACCGCCCACGTACGCACGTTCTTCGATCGCCTGCAAAAGGCGCTAGATACCAAATTCTGTGACTTGGATGCGCCGCACTTCAGCGCCTCCGCGCTAAAAGTGGACGCGGACTTCGCGCTCTGCGCGCGCGACATCTATGACGCGTTTATATCGGTCGCAACCACCTTGGGTATGGATTCCAAGATGCGCGTCGTCGCCGACCTTCACATCGGCCTAGGCTACGCCCGAGCTTACTTGCATTCCCGCCTACCTTCCGTCGATCCACTAGCGAAAAAAGCGATGAAAACTGTACACCTATCCAAAGTCATCGGCATGTTCGGTCAGATGAAGAGGAGTTTCGAGGTGCAACGTGACGTACTGGGCGTGGCTCATCCATATTTGGACGCCCTCCACGCGGCAGCGACCAAACTGGAGCACAAGATTGACGAAATGACCGAGGGCGTGGCCGTCGGCCCGAAAGAGGTTCTCTACGACTACGTCGTCCAGGTAACGTTCGTAAAGTTGGTACTAAAGCAATGTGGGCATTCGGGAAATTGTTTCTTTATCTATCCGCAAGATGTCGGTTCCACCATCGAGACAATTAAACCCGCAAGGTATTATCAAAAGGAAGTTTCCATAAAAATAAAAAAATCCAAGCACAATTTAAGCTGCCTGAAAAATAAAGGCTTCAAATTTGAAAAGTTTTACCTGCTCTTAAAACGTCCTGGTTGTTTGCTTTATAAGTGACATCGTGGGTTAGTTGATTTTCCAGTCACGACTACCTTGCTACTAACACTGTTATACGTTATTTAGAAAGGAAGGTAAGAGACTCTGTTAATGGAGACTTAATAGTACAACAAATTTTGATCGTAATGTAGAGTTTTACGGTATACAGAGTTTCACTATAGGGAGTTTTCACACTTGTTGCATTATATACCATTTTCTTTTCATCAGAAAGTTATTCACTCACATCACATTACTACTACTACGAGCTTCACTCTTACCAAAAATTTACTGTCACCGTCATTTTCATTGAATCGATTTTCACTACTTTTTACACAAAAGAGTCTGCCGTACATATTTTTTAGAAGATTAATTTCTTGGTTTTTCGTGATATCTTATAAAATTTAATTGGAGAACGAAACCCTTATTTGTGGCAAACTGGCATCAACACATTCCACGTGGCCATGTCAGTTATTGGTTGGGGGTTGCTTTGAGGACTGACACTAGTTTGTAGTATTTCTGAGAGTGTTGTAGTAGAACACGAAGCTACTGCTTCATCAATAAGTCTTCTATTTGTCGTTTTAACAGCTGCTCTTGGAAGAACTGGAAATGATTACTTTAGCTTTACATATTTATCCATATCTTCCGCAATGTGATTTAAAAAAAAAACATACCTAATCAGATATTTAGTATAAATAATGGGTTCCTAAGTAATACTTTTACTAGATAGTTAGTTACCTATATCTATTAAAATTAGTATCTAGATATTTTTTATATTTACGTAAGTGCATATGTAATAGTAGATATATATATATATATATATATATATATATATATATATATATATATATATATATATATATATATATATATATATATATATATATACATATGATCTTCACAAACCAGAATATTTGTGCTCTTCGTAGAATAAACCTCCTCTGCGTCCTTTCAGCCATTTTATTCTCGTAAAAAAAGGAACGAGACAGTATTTATAACGAGTAATTTCCACAAATTTCTTAAAATTTAACACATAAAAATCGCGACTGACGATGCAACTTTGGTAAGAAATCAATGCGAAACGCTTGAAATGGCTGTCATACTCGTAACGTGCCGTGTACTTTCCTGCGGTGTGACGTCACACCGGCTGCCGCGCATTTTGCTTCATATTTGGTATAATGTGTTTATGTTTATATTAAAAAAAAAGTGGGTAAGTTTCCTGTTATGTAAACGTTTGCAGCAAATTCGACACGCGTTCGACAACATCTTGAACGCGACGCTGCTGAAAAATAACCGAGAAATCAACGAGTTACTAAACGGGATCGACGATGAGGAGACGAGGAACGGCTTGAAGACGCACATCGGCAAAATGGAGGCTTTGATACCGTGCGTCGAGACCATCGTCAACGATTGGAAGCCGTATCGGTACTCGTATCCGGATGTGTTCGAACCGTTGCTGAGCAACGTCGCTCAGCTTCTCTACGGCTTGAAAATCAAACTGTTCGTTTGCAAGCGTCGCATCCACCGAGCGGTACAGTTCGAAGAGCTCGCGATTGCTTCGTTGCAATTCCCGTCGCCGAATCCGGACGATTCTAGTAGGCGTGGACACGTGTTCGACGGCCCGCAGACCGACGCTTACATCAAAAGAAGACGAATAGGGTAGGTAAAGTCTGTTCATAGATATAAGAAAGTGACTAACTGATACGAATTAAGGAAAGACCCGGGCAAGCTGTAAGAATGAAATATGGCCGAACAGGTCCGTACTTTGCTTAGAATTTAATTATTTGGAGTTTTGTTAGGAAAGATACTAAATAATATTTATTTATTTATGTATGTATTTATATTTACATCTAAAATAAAATTACAAATTATTGGGTTGTTCGGAAAGTCATTTCGTTTTTTTTGGGGAACGTGAAAGACAGTTTTCGTATAATGAATAAATATTTTATTAAATTATATATTGGCCATTCTGGTCCAACACCTTTTGCCATCTTTCTGGCCGTAACATAATTCCCCTCTCATAAAAGTTTTGGTCCTTGCTGGCAAATAACTGGTTCAGGTGGTTTTTGACATCTTCATTTGAGGTAAAGGTTTTGCCATCCAAAAAATTTTTGCAGGGACCGGAACAAATAGTCGGAAGGCGCCAGATCTGGAGAATATGGTGGATGTTGCGGTTCGTCCCATTCAAGCTGTAAAAGTTTTTGGCCAGTGACCAAACTTGTGTGAGGTCCCGCATTATCCTGGTGGAACACTACACCCTTCCTGTTGATTAATTCGGGCCTCTTCTCTTTAAGTGAATCATTCAATTTGTCCAGTTGATGACAATAGACTTCTGAATTAATCGTTGTATTGTCCGGCAAAAGCTCAAAAAAAACGATTCCTTTGACATCCCACCAAACGGAGAGCATCACCTTTTTTTGGTGAATGTTGGCTTTTGACACGCTTTGAGCCGGTTCATCTTTTCTGCTCCATGACCTCTTGCGTTTAACATTGTTGTATACAACCCATTTTTCGCCCCCAGTAATAATCCGCTTCAAAAATGGATCATTTTCTTGACGTTTGAGGAGCGAATCACACACGTCAACGCGACGACACAAATTTCGCTCCGTAAGGACATGGGGCACCCACACATCGAGCTTCAAGGTTAAGCCCGTGCCTTTCAAATGACCATAAACAGTCGAATTCGACAAATTTAATCTCTCATCGATCTCTCGTGTGGTTATTCGCCGATTTGCATCAACTAATGCTTTTATCGCATCTTTGTCAGCTTCGACCGGCCTTCCAGACCGTGGTGCATCTTCGACATCAAAATTGCCGGATGGAAATTTTTCAAACCAGTTCTGGCACTGGCGTACTGTTAACACGCCTTCTCCATACACATCCGTAAATTTTTTTCTCGCTTGGACAGCATTTTTACCTTTTCTGAAGTAAAAAAGTAAAATATGACGAAAATGCTGCTCATTGCTCTCCATATTTAAAAGGGCACCAACCAAAAACTACTGCGTAGAATTAATAGAACTTTTTCACACACAAGCCTTGCAATATCAGCTCTCAAGACATATAATGGTTATGCGGCTTAAGTGTGAAGTTGGTTTCGAAAAAACGTAATTAAGTCCTCTGACGGGAAAAAACGAAATGACTTTCCGAACAACCTTATATTTTTATTTTTCCATTTTCCATACAGTTGATGTTGGAATTTTCGTCAATGTCGCCGTCAAATAAACATTGTTTATAACTTCCTTGGTCTCGTTTATAACTTTATAAGGGTGAGAATCAACTGATTAAAGGAACTTAGTGCTGTGGTATTCATATTTCTTCAAATTCAAATATTAACAAGTGAAGCCAATATAATATTTTGATTTGCTTATATTTGACGTATTATTAAAGCATATGGCGATTTTTCTTTCTTCTTCTTACCAAGAGATAAAAAAAGCAAAATAGTTTATAAAACACCTAAACAATTTCAACAGACACAAAATAAGATAATTTGCTAAAAAAATAACTTTGTTTCTAAAGGAAGATTATTTACTTTGTGTGTTTGCCCTGGGATGCCATATTCAATATAATTTGAGGAACGGATTGGATTGCCAAATTCAAGCCTTCGTTAAAAAAAATCGTCTACGTGCTTGTTTGAAATTGTAATTTTGGAAGCCTCTATTAGATTGTGGTTTGTGTTAAAATTTCTCATGCTTTAGATAAAAAGGAACATATTTTGCCTCGTTATGACGCGAAATTTCCATAGTTTTGTGAATTTGGTCTGTATTAAGGCAGTCTTAGTAAAAAAAAATAAAAAATTGAATTTGTTACGACATTTTTAGTAACTTTAATTATTAATATACGTATTTGGACCATATATTAAAACCCACCGTAACTTACGTCCGCTCTATAGAGGAGAGCTGTAAGAGTTATTGCTCATCTAAGGTATAGGGACGATTGTAGCGAATTATTCCAAACCCCGCGCCTTCTGACAGCCCCATAGTTGCCTATTGCACATGAAAGACAATCTCAGTTATTATACTACGCATGAAAACACACATCCTCATTTTACTCGGAAACGGAATTGATCGCATGAAATGTGGGATAACCTTTTATGGTCCTAAAAATGTTTTGCCACCTGATCTAAACGTATACTAGGTATATCAAATCTGTGAATCACCAACCTGTGTGTATGAATTGGCTATATATTTGTATATATTGACATGTGTAAACATTTCTATGTAGTAACACCAATGAAGTTTGTGTCTACGTTCTCAGACTGTTAAAATGCGCAATCTACGAGAGCTTCAATCTCTGTACGATCGACGCGCGCACTCACGGCGTGTTGACGGATCGCTTGATGACGCACTTCAACCGTCTCGTGGACGAGTTCGTCAGTTCGTGGAACGCGCAGAAAGATGAGGAGGAACGCAAGCAAAAGGAGGCGGAGTCATTGTACAAGACGAGGACCAGGTGCGACGAGAAGTCCGAAGAGGCGGAGTCGCACGAGGAGTTCCTCCAACTGTTCCCCACCACTTTCGAGGAGGATTTTCCGGACTTTCGCAAGTCCGAAGAGCCCGCGGACGAGTCACCCCCGCGGGAAACTAATCACCCATCGTCGGCCATGACCGAAGACGACCTCGCCTGCGTGGTCGACCTTCACGCGAAGCTAGTGAGAAATTTCACGCGGACCGAGTGGTTGGCGCCCGATACGACCGATAAAAAACTCATTCCGGACGTTTTGACGCCTTTAGTTGAGAAATACAAACTGCTACAGGAGTCGTTGACCGATAAGACGTCCCTGATGGGGTATTACGTAGACGAAGCCCTCGTAGGTGGGTTGATGGTAGTCACAAAAGCGTCGAAGGAGGTATACGGTGAAGTAGGACATTTAGGCGAGACAAACAAAGACTTCTACCATGATCCCAACGTCGGCGAAGTCGCTCAATGCCACGGCCTGCTCAAAGAGCTCCGGGCGAAGGTCGCCAACCTTTTGGAGCAGTGGCCCGGGCAACCGACTCTTCATTCCGTAAATGAGCGTCGGCGTTGATGTCGTCCTTCGACGATGACGGTTCGTATTTTCCAGATTCTCGTCATCGTGGATCGTATCTTGAACTTCGAGGTCACGAGCCCGGTGTCCAGGTACCTCGCCGGTCTCGAGCTGCTCCTCGACAAGTGCTACGAGTGGGAACAGGTGGCTCATTCGGGCGTCAGCGTTAGCGAGTTCTGCTCCGATCTCATCGGCCGGATCATCACCTGGAGGAAGCTCGAGCTGAACAAATGGAAAGATTTGCTTAACGGCGCTTACGAAAGGTAAACTGCCACTCATCTCTTGATCGTAACGATATATAAAAGCGACGCGAAATACCTTTTACAAAAGAAAAGAAAAAAAAGAAATAATTATGATAGGAAAGAGGGGAAAAAAGGTAAAAGTAGGTAGACAAAAATAAACTTAAAAGATTGAATTTCTTGCAAAACTGGGCCGCGTATTGCTCAGAATTCTGGAGCGATTGGGGAGGGAGGGCGAGAATAATAAAGAAAATATGGCACTATTTAACCTTAGGGCGCCAGGAAGTAGCAGACCTGAGGAACCCGTTGTTTTGCGATTAAAAAAAAATAAACGATGGAATCTACTATATACTACTACTATATATACTACGTTATTCCCTTAGGTAATCAACCACGGCTAACAAGGACAACATAAATAGCTGTTAATAACACGACAACGATCGTACTCAGTATTACAAGTACGTCAATTTCCCGCAAATAATTATATATACGAAGTATACGAAGTGTTCATACGGAAATAATATTTCGTCACTTCGTTTATTCCCGAGCAGTGCAGCCTACAAGGGGCTTCGTGCAGATCCATTAAGTGAGCCGATGGTGAGGCAATGATGCTCCAATATCCCGATAACACAGGAGGCCGTCTTAAAGGGGGTACGGCTGCTCCAAGGAGAGTATGGGTGCTCCGAAGAGAGTAAGGATGCTCCTAAGAGAGTGCGGGTGTTCCAAAGAGAGTACGGGTGCTCCAAGGAGAATACGGGTGCTCCAAGGAGACTACTGGTGCTCCAAGAAGAGTACGCGTGCTCCAAGGAGAGTACGGGTGCTTCAAGGAGAGTACGGGTGCTCCAAGAAGAGTACGGGTGCTCCAAGGAGAGTACGGGTGCCCCAAGGAGAGTACAGGTGCTCCAAGTTTCCGCTTATAAGCCGACAGCGGCAAAATTCCGAAAACGTGCCGTGAAATGTATTGACACTTTAAAGAGTGAATAGAACGGTAGAGGTAACAGAATCTAAATAAATAAATTATCTCGGTGGATGTTCTTGAGGATGAAAGCTTGATGGGCAGCAGGTAGTCGTCAAATACGAGAGTGATTGTGATTGTGTTCTCCAAAAGAACCAAAAATACGAACAGCAACGGAATTACCAAATAGCTAACCACACAGCTAAGTGAATTTAACCCTATATCCGCGAAAGATGGCTGAAAATACAGCCGGCAGGTTAATCATTTTTTGGCTAGCTACCAAATAACCAACCAACCAAATAACAGGAAAAGGATACGATACGACGCATGTCGCTCGGAGCCAGGAGTGGGAAAGGTTATTTACCTTTGCGAGCTCCTATTTTATTGTATGGATATTTTAAGCCTGAATTAAAGATTTATTTTGTTTGTCTAGATTACAGCGACCGTTGATAAAATGGTGGGTGTACTTGTACAACGTCACCGATCAGTACGCGGCTGGGAACCAGTCGAACACTAGCGAATTGATCGAAACGTTGAAATGTTTCGTGACCACGTCGTCGATTGCCGAATTCGAGGGTCGTGTGGAACTCTTGTTCGAATTCCATTGTCGCGCTGCCGTTTCGGGGCCAAGAGATTTGGCGAACGCGCTCTGGAACTTGTGGAACTACTACAAGCAATTCTACGCAGGCGTCAAGGCTAAACTCAAAGACATGAGGGCGCCGATCGAGAAGAAAATCAAAGATTACTTGAAGATCGTGAGGTGGAAGGACGTCAATTACTGGACCGTCAGGGATACTATTCAGAAGTCGCACAAGACGCTGCACAAGTTCGTCAGAGAGTATAGGGTGAGTGGCCGAAGAAAAAATATTAATTCGGATAAGGGAAAGGCCCTTGGAGCATTTATCAAAATAAATAAGAACTAAAAGTTCAGATTTTCACGAAATTATATATTATGACATGACAATTGTTTCGACAACACTTTGATGAAGAGACGGTGTTGTCGAAACAATTGTCATGTCATTATATATAATTTCGTGAAAATCTGAACTTTTAGTTCTTATTTATTTTTATAAATATATTACTTATACAATTAATTAGAACAAAAAATGTTATGTGAAATGAAAACTGGGCGTGGCTTGGGACAGGGAGCACCGAACCGCGTTACAATAACTACTTACACAATTAAATGAGAACAAAAAAAATGTTTTTATGCTTCCATGTGTAAAATAGCTACTCGCACACCGATTTAGCTTGCGGGAAGCGTCACTTTATCAAGTCAATTTCGTTTCCCACGAATCGGATCCACTTTGGACATTTCCGGGATTATACCGCACGGGTTTGGGTGCAATCGGATGTTTTCGGAAATATTTCCCACGCTTTCAATTTTGACGTTTGTCAATTCTGACGGTCATGTCAGTGTTGTTTTGCTTAAATGTATCCAAAAACTAACGTTCGTAGAAAAAGTATAGTATGCAACACGTTCGGTAACCTTTTTAACTCACTCGTTTATTAAACACTCGCTCCGCTCGTGCCAAACAAACTCGTGACTCAAATGCCGTTTAATATGCCATTAGCTTTTCACAGTTTTTAATGATTTATGACTGTTGTTTCGACGACACCGTGCCTCCATCAAATCAAAGCGAAGGTAACAAAATGCTTATATTCTATATATATACATATATATATATATATATATATATATATATATATATATATATATATATATATATATATATATATATATATATATATATATATATATATATATATATATATATATATATATATATATATTCTCACGTATTGATTCACGGATGGAAAAATGTGATGACACTGTATTCCGGGATATCATCCGTTCGCTCGTTGAACTCCGACTGGAATCCTGCATCCGACTGGAATCCTGCAGACGTTTCGCCAAAATCTCACTTGGCATCTTCGATGCTCGCGCTCCGAAAACACTTCGAACACTGTGTTCGAAGTGTTTTCGGAGCGCGAGCATCGAAGATGCCAAGTGAGATTTTGGCGAAACGTCTGCAGGATTCCAGTCGGATGCAGGATTCCAGTCGGAGTTCAACGAGCGAACGGATGATATCCCGGAATATAGTGTCATCATATATATATATATATATATATATATATATATATATATATATATATATATATATATATATATATATATATATATATATATATATATATATATATATATATATATATATATATATATATATATATATATATATATAATGCTTATATTAAACGGAATTTGACTCACGAGTTTATTGGACACGAGCGGAGCGAGTGTTTAATAAACGAGTGAGTGGGAGGCCCGTCTCAATCTTAAAGCAGCCGCTTTCGTTTCGGCTTCAAAAGTGAAGCACTAAAATTTCAGCAAATCCTGCTGAGGCCCGTTTCCCCGTACCTGGTGTCCGCCTTCGCGGACAGTTCGCCGGAAACGATCGGAATTTGGGACAGGCCGCTGCGTCAGAATCCAAAATTGTACCATTACCTATCAGACATGGACTCGTACTTGGTAAAATCGCCCCCCAAAGATCGCCTACTGACCACGTCGCGCAAACTGTGCAAGGATCTGATTTCCGGCGCTCAATATCCGACTCTTCTGCGTAATCTGGACGCGTTCGTTGGCCACGTGATCGACAACGCAGCACGTCTACGTAATTTAGAGGTTAGCCCCATTGCTCTTCGTCTTTTTGTCTTTGATTTCACGTCGCGTGCGTGTAGGTGGACGCCACCGCATCGCCCGACAAGCGCAAATCCCAAGCGAAGGCGATCCTGCGACAAAAGCAGCTTGCTCTCGCCGAACTGTTCAAGAGTCTGACCAAAATGGGGTTATCGTACAAGGCGGGGCTAGTCGAGGCGAATGCTCGAGACCCCGAAAACGATTTCGTCGCCGACCCCATCGACTTGGAAGCGTGTCTGAGCCACGTCGGTTACCATCGCGGCGACGAGAAGATTCTGACCATCTGGGAGCACTGTGAGACATACTACTACCGATGCCTCGTCCGGTTCGACGTTCTGGCGGAGGCGCTGAAGGCTCCGCTGTCGGAATTCGGGTTGGGGAACATCGAGCGGTGTCGCGGCTACGCCGCCCACCTCATGGTGAGTAAACCCGGAATTATTGCTACGTATTAGTAGGAGCGACTATTAGAACAGCCAAGTCCAACGGGGGCTAACTATTTATTATCTAAAAGTACGACATTGACGTACCACCTTAGTTGGACCTCCTAAAATAGTTTTGGGCTTGGTCCTTTATAACCATGTTTCTCTGTGGTGGCTTGGTTCTCACCACGCCCGTTAAGAATTGGTTCCTAGGGTTGACTAATCGACCGGTCAAATTTTTTTTTTTGTGTCAATTGAGCGAAATAATTTTAAAATTACGACGAAATTTATATTTATTTATTTATATTGTGCGTTACGTCGCCGTCGCGTCGTTCTGTATCGTAAAATGCTTTTTTTTTGCTCAATTGGTGCTTTTTAATAAATCAATCTAGATGTTTTCAAAAGAATCGTCCACTTCTAGAGATAGCCTTTTCAAATATTTCGCTATTATTTAGGGGTTAATAAATTAAATTTAATTAATTAATTAAAAAATAAATTAAAAATTAAAAGGTTGAATTAATTTTTACAAAACTTTTTACAAACATTTTGGCTTCTGAACCTGGCTCGCATTCTATTCTGCTTATTTATTGTTTCGAGGAGGGCGGAGCTAAATGAGACGTGGTTAAGATTGTTTGGCGGCTTATTTATTTCTATGGATTCTCGGATTTTTAGTTTTATCGAATAACACAAGTCGACTACCGAGAAGAGCACGCAGACTTTTTGGCTGGTAAAAATCACAGACCCCATTTTCTTTTTAAAATGTTGAAAAAATCGTTTAGAAGTAAACAACTGGCCCCTTAACATAAAAGTTTGATCAATGTAGTCATCTTAAGAGGGAATGAACAAGTAATAATTTGTTTTGAAACGAATACGCATTACATTAAATATAGGAAAAATGAAAATCGTCGATGTTTTAAAGTCACTAATAATTTATAAACAAATCAATAATCAAATATTTTGATTACTCCAATTGTAGAAAAGAGCTGATTTATTATAAGGTGTGCATCTTAAAACTCATTTTTTCCGAGCGCAGGTAAATAGGACACCACAAACACACAATAATTTATTATAAAATACACATTATTATTAAATAATGATAGATAACACTCTACAATTGTAAGACGTTATTTAAAACATTTTGATCGAATATGACTAGTCAATTAAGAAGTGGTCACGCGTTATTTCCGGCTCTTGGGCTTTTATTACCTTATAACCACGCCTCTTTTGGTAGAACTAACAATTTTTTCTGAATCCAGGCGTCGGTGCGCAAGCAAAAGAGACGACTGACCGCGTCGACCCGCCTCTACTATCGCCTGCGAGCGCGTTCTAAACAATTGAACCAGACGTACGACAAAGTAGAACGCGCCGACTCCGCCCACTTGTCCGACCTGAAAGCGGCGCTGACGCACGCAGCCGTTGCGGCGCGCGAAATAAAGCTCGTACTCGATTCGCGTCCATCGGACGACTGCCTAGCCGACATCGACGTCCCGGTACTGGACCCGAATGCTTGTCAGAACGACGCCTATTGGAAGGAGGCGGAGCGATGCGTGGACGGTATAACATCTTCCGTCGCGACCGTATCTAACTCCATCTCAAAAACTGACCCGGACGTACCCGGTGACGTCTCCGCGACTCGTCTCCGCGCTTTCGTCGACCGTGACGTTTTCGATCGTGAGATGACGTCACTTATCGACTACGTAGGCGAACTCGAACGACATCTGACGCCGTCGACCCCCGCGAGGGGCGTGGCCGTCTTAAAGGACCGATTAAAACGCGTCGTTGCCGATTGTCGACACGTGCCAGAGCCACAAGAGGCGGACCTGACGCGCCTCCACGCGGAACTCACGGCTACCATCCAGCTGGTGTTCCAGAAGTTGTACAAAAAGCACCGGGATGGGCATCCCGACGACTCCACCGATGCGGATCTCCGCGACGACCATCTCAAGACTCTGATCGTGGGCGAGTTGACCTCCGACGTGGCCGATCTCGATCTGGAACGCCTCCTCCGTACTGCGGATAAGCTGCTCGACGCGACCTCGAAGTCACCTACAAAAGGGGCGTGCCCGATGCTCGAGCAACTCCTGCTGCTCGCTCAGTATTTCATCACGCAGCAGGTGTCCGCGTACAGGATCACGTGCAAACTGACTTCGACGCTGCTGAACATTTTCGTCGAGCTCGTCTCCAAGGGATTCTGCGTGCCGCCCGAGCTGTCGTCGGAAAAGGACGGCGAGGGGCAGAGGAAACCGTCGGACGGACTGGGTTTGGGTGACGGTCAAGGCGAGAAGGACGTCTCCGACAGGATAGAGTCGGAGGATCAGCTGGAAGACGCGCGTCCTGCTGGAGAACGTGACGAAGGCGACGATTCCGACTGCGAGGAGGCCGGCGACGGCGTCGAAATGAGCGAAGATTTCGACGGGCGCATGCAAGATAAGCGACACGACGAAGACGACCAAAGTGAAGCCGATTCGGATAGGGAGGAGCAAATGGGCGAGACGGAGCGCGGCGCCGACGAATTGGACAAGGAGATCTGGGGATCGGACGAAGAGAACGAGGCGGACGGTGACGAGAATGAAGGGAGTGGCGACAGGGGTGAAGAAAAAGACAAGGGCAAGCTTGGTGCGAAAGAGGACAAATCGGGCAAAACCGGGGATCCGCAAGAAGACGACGAAGAGGCCGGCGGAGACGACGAGAGGGACGAGTTTCAAGACCAAGGATACGACGACCAGCAAGTGGATCCCTACCACGGGAACCAGCCCGAGCTACCCGAACCGGAAGCGATGGACCTGCCTGACGATCTTCAGTTGGACGACGGCGAAGGCAAGGAAGACGACGGAGAGGAAGTCGCGTTCGAAGAAGGCCCGGATAAGGAGCCGACCAATCCTGACGAACCGGCCGGTGACGACAAGGAGGAGAAACTCGACGACAGAGAGGTAGAATTTAGCAGCGACGACGAGGAGGTTAACGGGGACGAAAAGGACAACGCGGTCGAAGAAGAACGACCGGTCGACGAGGAAGGCGTGTCCGGTAACGAACCACAAGCGGAGGAAGGTGACGCGAACGGCGAGGAGAAAGATAACGGCCACGCCCCCGACCAAAACCCTTCGGGCGAGGACGGCGTCGAAGCTATGGACGCGGAAAATTCCGAAGCCGTCGATAAGGTACGCGCGTTTTAAAACGTCGATCGGACGGCGTTTCAACCACGCCCCTTTTCGCAGACGCAAGCGGCAGCGTCCGAGGATCTCCGGTCCGAAAAACCGGACGATAGGAGGGGCGAATCGAATGACGACGGTCTGGGACAGTCGGAAATGGAGGAGAACGCTGCCGGACATTCGGCGTCGGCGTCGAACGCGCGGCAGCTAAAGAACGCGGAATCCGGTCTCGACGAGGAGAAAAAGCGCAGACCCGGCAAGTCGGATTCGAAGAGGAGCCTGGGGGACGCGCGACACCCGGCGATGAAGAAACGGAAGACGTTGGAAGCGAAGCAGTCCGCGGAGGAGCAGGAGGAGGAGCCGACCCGAAACGACGATAAAACGGACCTTTTCGAGCATATGGCGGACGCGGGCGACGAGGCACCGGCTCAGGTACGGGCGTGGTCAAATGGGAGAGGAAAATAATTAATTACGAATTAGGTGGTAGACGCGGCGACCGACGAGCAAATCGAACAACGACGCGGAGTTTTGCACGACGAAGAAGACGACAAGGAGGAGAAGGACGAAAGCGAGGTGCGAGAAGATCGACCTATGGAAGTCGACGAAGAGGCGGAGACAAAACGCGGCGAGCCCAAAGATTCGAGGGACAAGGGCGGCAAGGCGAAGGACCATCGCGAGAGTAAGTCCCGGTTAACGCTTCCCGTAGCCTAATAATAATATACTTTATTTCCATACGACTTACATTGTAAGTATAGGATAATGTTTTTCAAGGAAACTTCCACAGGCTACTGTAATACTTTTTACAAAACTTCTGGATTATGGAAAATTATGGAACCGCTACGTCGATGATACTTTTGTTATTTGGCCTCACGGTCAAGAAACCCTAGTAGATTTTCTTAGACATTTAAATTTTATACACCCTAACATACGTTTTACCATTGAAATAGAAACTAATAACAACCTTCCATTCTTAGATATTTCAATCAATAGAAAATCAGACCTAACATTGGGTCATTGTGTTTACAGAAAACCTACGCACACAGACCTTAACGCATGGTCGCATCACCATCCGGCCCAAAAATTATCGGTTGTCAACTCTCTTGTTTACAGAGCCGTAAAACTATCTCAGCTCGAGTCACTGAAAACAGAATTAAAACACCTTACCTCTGCTCTTCTCTCTAATAATTTCCACATTAAAGATATTAAGCATGCCATAAAAAAATACACTTCACCACAACCTTCCAATTGCAATGAGACAAAAAGCCTTCCCTACATTCAAAACATCACGGACTACATATCAAAAGTTCTAAAGAAGTATAACGTCAAAACCAGATTTACCACTTGTCCAAAAATCTCTCAACATTTTCGAGAGACCGGACGAAAAATATCAACTAGGCTCAAAGAACACGAACGAGCCTTACGACTAAGACGTATAAACTCATCAGCTGTTGCCGAACACACTCATGAAACCGCCATAAAATTTTATTCTATAAAACTAAAATTCTTGCGCATGTAATCAGTTCTATAAACAACCTAACAATCTTAACCGCGACTCAGGTCTCTACCTGTCACCAATTTGGGAATCAGTCATCCGAGACGGTGTTTATGCCGCTCATTTAGCTCCGCCCCCCTCAAACAATATATAAGCAGGTACAGAGTAAAATACGAGCCAGTTTCAGTCAAGCTCTGAAGAAGCCAACAGTATGATTGGCGAAACGTCAGCAATTTCGACTCAGCAAAAACCGACGCACATACACCACCAATAAAGATACACAGCATTTTTAAAATAACACATAAGAATAATAAAAAACAAACACAAAGTGAAATGGACAAAAGTTGGTTAAAACACGAATTAAAAAGTGCCCTGCAGGTACTCTTGTACAGGATAAAATGCCTTTTGGATAAGCAATCGTTTCGCCTCAGCCTTAAACTGACCGCAGCCCGAAATCCGTCTCATCCCAGGTGGTAATTAATTAAAAAGTTTTATAGGAAGGACGACTGAGCTATTTGCTACCGTTATAATTATAATTCTGTCTGGAACCATAATATTCATTCATTCATAATTTTTGGAGAATTTAGTCCACCTGATGAGACCAATAAAGACAAGAATCGAAATAAACTCCCAGAAATTTCGCAACCCGCCTCTCCTCGATCCTTTTATTATTACACTTAACTAAGATGCTCTTATCTATGCCTCTTGGTGAGAAATGAATCAATTCAGTTTTATTATGATTTAATATAAGACTATTTCTGTTACAATAATCAACAATACCTGCCACCGCCTCATTAGAGTTCTTAGAGAGATCCTCCATGTCGGCACCGCAGGAAACCGCAGCTGTATCATCGGCAAATAGTAATAGATAATTATTATCTGATCCACAGGAAACTATGTCATTACTAAAGATAATAAATAATAGAGGCCCCAGTATCCTTCCCTGTCGAACGCCACTGGAGGTCATCTCATCACTAGAAAAAAAAATCTTATCGTTTTGTTTTAAGACAATTTTTGCACACGATCTTTTTGGAAACTCCCATCCTAGAGCGTTGCGACGAATACTATAATGATTTAACTTAAGAAGCAATAAATCAATGTTAATTACGCCAAAAGCTCGTTTTTGATCGAAAAGATGCCAAGTTGTTGGATTATTATAACCTAAATTACTAGTATTTTATTGTATAGAGCAACAATTGCATCATGTGTTGATACTCGCCTGAAAAAGTTTACTTTCTCTAAAAATTCCAACAGCCTATAGTTAGGGATTTCGTGTAAATTACCCTTTTTGTATATCGGTTGTACTATGGTTTTTTTTTTAATATAGCTGGAAATGTATCATCCGAGAAGGATTCATTAATAAGATAGGTTAATGGTTCGACAAGTAAATCAATAACGGACAACACAAGGAAGCGCGGTATTTCATCAAAAACTTGCTGAATGCTTTTTAGAAGATGGGTATTCCGCAAGGAACTGTGCTAGGGCCTTGATTATTTGATGTATATATAAATGAATCAGGAACGTTGGAAGTGGGGAGCAGGGTAGGGTGTCAAGGTAAAAGTTGAGAACGGTTTAAAAGTATTAAAAATGTATTAGTAAAATCGTAAAATCGTCCCAGCTTTTCAGAAATATATATTAGTAAAACCAATGAAAGAAACATACAAAATGCTATAATTAAAATTATGTTTAAGATATTTGCAGTGTTACCACATTGTCCATCTCGAGTGTGTATGTAGATATGTATGTACGAGGTGTGTTCAAAAACTAAGGTGTTGGTACACACGTTTACTTTTTTGCATAAAGTGTTGTGTAAAAAATGGAATACAGTGCTACAAAGAACTTGAAATGCTGAATCTACGTTCAATTTTTTCCGTGAAACGTGTAGCAGCAAAATTTGTTCCGAAACTGCTTAGTTTTGAACAAATTGAGCATCGGAGATGATCCATTTGTTCAATGTTCAATCAAGAGATGATATGCTCAATGCCCAAATGCTCAGAAAGGTCATAATTGGTGACAAATCATAGTTATAATATTGTTATGACGTCGTCCCCATGGAAGAACCCAGAATCGCGAAGACCGAAAAAAGCATGTCAAGTTCGATCAGATGTCATGGTTTTGCTTACTGTTTTCTTTGTAGTACATCAAGAGTTCTTACCACAAGGTCGTACGGTCAATAAAGACTATTTGAATTGAAGTTATGCGCCGTTTGCGTGGAGCAATACGAATAAAACGTCCGGAAATGTGGGAAAACGATAGTGCACCAGCTCACCCGTTGTTGCTTGTGTCTAACTTTTTGGTCAAAAACAAAACCAAAATTATGCCTCAGCCACTATAATCACCGGATATGCGCCCCTGCGACTTTTTCCTGTTCCCAAAACTCAAGAAACCCATGAATGATTGAGGAGGAATAACTGGAATAACTCAAGAAACTCAAATTTCTGGGAGGATTACTTTTATTAATTTAATTTAATTTAATTTAGCATGATTGCTTTCGAAAAATCATCAATGGGCATGGCAAGTTCGTAACGAGTAGCGCGGAGCAGCTTTTATTAAAAAGGAAAGAACTTCGCGGTTGCGTGTGGTAAAGGCACGCATTGTTTTTCTATCTTGCTCCTGCGGACCACTATGGAACTTTCGCAAAAGCGATGTAATCTAATTGTGCGTGCACCCTGTATAAAATGTCCTTCACATCTCGTCGAACTTCAAAGTTGCGGCATACTTCGGTAAATATTAAAATTTGTTCTGGTATTTACAATTTAAAATTATATTTTTTCAAATATTTGCGTCCCCTGCGACGAAACTTCAAACTCTCTCTCAACACAGTTTATGATACTGTTCATATTAGATACTATTAGAATTTTTTGCCCACAAACGACGTACACTGTATATAATTCCAGCAATGCTCGAAATAGAGGATATAGCTCGGGATCTCCTTAGTTTCCTGGTATCCGAATTTTTCCAATGGAGTAAATGGTTTTCAAAAAACTACTTGTTTTAACACTTGGGCTAGTTAAAAGCAGGTGCAGCCAAATTCATATCCGATATAGGTTTATTGTTATCAGTAAAAAATCGGGGCTCCCTCCTTATAGGTGACGTCACGGGTGAGTTTCAAGACGACGCCGCAATAGAGGGCGAGAGGGTGCGTACGACGACGGTGGCTCGCGGCACCGATTCGTACCATCACACGCGATACGACACCGAGAGAGATCCGGTGACCAGCGTCGATCCTCGGGAAGCGCTTCGGTTACGGTCGGAGGTCGAAGCTCAGCTCGCGGCGAAGGGCTGGTCGCCCACTTCGCCTGACGCCGATAGGGCGTGGCAAAAGATCGCGTCGTTGACGGCGAGCCTGGCGCAGGATTTGTCCGAGCAGTTGCGTCTGGTGCTCGAGCCGACGCAGGCGAGCCAACTGCGCGGCGATTTCAGGACCGGGCGCAGAATCAACATGCGCAAGATCATTCCTTACGTGGCGTCGCAGTTCCGCAAGGACAAGATCTGGCTGAGGCGGACCAAACCGTCGAAACGCGATTACCAGATCGTGCTAGCGATCGACGACTCGTCGAGCATGGACGACAGCCACTCGAAGGAGCTCGCGTTCGAGAGTGTCGCGTTGATATCGCGGGCGCTCTCGTTACTCGAGAGCGGACAGCTGGGCGTGGTCAGCTACGGCGAGAAAGCCAAGGTAAGTGAAAAAGCAAAGCGCGAGGGCAGCGCCAAAATTTCCCGGCCTGAATATGAAAGAAACAAAGTAGAGTAACAATTTTTTATTGTTTTATTAACAACTCAAAAAATATTCTTTTGGTTTGTCTGCAAGATGAGCTAAAACAGCCTCTTTTAACTCAACTTCGTCGTTAAACCGCCGTCCACGTAGGTCTTTTTTTCAAATATCCATACAAATAATAGTCGCTGGGGGCCATATCTGGACTATAGAGAGGATGATCTATCTGTTGGAACCCACACTCTAAAATGGCAGCTTGTGCGACACCAGCAATATGGTCAGGTGCATTATCGTGCAAAAGACGCACGCCTCTGATCAGTTTTCCTCGACGTTTTACACGTATGCAGTCTCGCAATTTATGTAATAATGTTACGTAATATTTACCATTGACAGTGGTATTAGTTTCTTTAAAATCTATCAAAAGAATTCCTTCACAATCTCAAAAGATCGTGCCCTTCGCCTTTTTTGTTGACCAGTTGACTCTGAATTTTCTTAGAGGTGCTTCACCCTTACGACGCCACTCCATTGACTCTTTTTTCGATAGTGGGTGATAATAGAGAACCATAGTTTCATCTCCCGTCACAATAGTTTCTATCACAGGCTTCGGTTCCATCCCACAGAGTTCCAAAAAAGACCGAGCACACTCGACACGGCATTGTTTTTGAATAGCCGAAAGGTTTTTAGAAACCCATCTTGCACTAACCTTATGCATACCTAAATGATCATGTAGGATTCGACGAACACTTGTATCAGAAAGCTTAGTAATTTCCATTCGTAAATACAAAAATTGTAGCCCTTGATACGGCCTATAACACTGTTTGAACGGATTATCTATTGTTTGTACGAATTTTGATTTACAGTTAATAATTTACTCTCTAAATGAACAATTTTCAGGGTCTTTTGTCCATAACTAAAAGACCTTGTATATAATCAAAAAAAATGCGTTATAAAAGTTATAGCCCCGGGTCTTCCACGTATTACGGATGTAAAATTTTTGTGATCGGATGAATGGCTTTGGAGGAAAATAGGTTTTTGTGGATGTCAAAATAACCACAAAAAAAAATCAAAAATAAAAAAAATACTTCGCGTTATTTTATTGCTCCCAATTTAAAGGGTCCAAATGCGGGTCCAGACTTCCACTTCTTTCCCAAGTCTGAAGTCGGTAGCTGAAGTTGGAGTACTTATTATGTTTTTTAATATTGCACGGAATATCGCGAACACCCTGTACAATACTTAAAAACCGTAAATACAAAAGTTTAAGCCGTCTATATGGGCTATATCGTCATGTACAGGAAACTGACATCTAAAACACAGATTTGAAATTATTGCCAATTTTCAATAATAGGGGGACCCATTTTTCAGTTTTTTTGAATTTGCGGCGCACCCTGTATATTTTTGAAAAATCGTCTTGTTACTTCCCGACCCCCCAGCCCACCCATTTTCACTGGATAAAGCTGCATATATGTGCCAAATATGAAGCCGATTGCCTCAAATTTCGGACACTTATCATGTTTCATAGCAGGGTCAAAAAAACAGTCGAAAATCGCGAAAAAAAGATGGATACCGGCTGTAATACACTTGTTTTGGCCGGACGAAATACCAATTCAATATTCCGTACATTTGGAATATGGGGATTTGCAGGGCAGATATCTAAGAGAAGTAATATTTTCCTCCCCTTTAATTCTGCATCCGATTTTCGTATCTCCTCTTCAAAAATTCGCGATGTCATCCGTGCAGACTTGTTTGCCTTGTAAGTGACCGGCAAATGCTTGATGTTCTTAAAACATCGTACTAGCTTTCTTTTTTCTCTTCCACTCATATTGGCAGCTACTAACACTGTGATACGTTCTTTAGAAAGTTTTCCACCCACACACCTTTCGCTTCGAAATTTAAGAGTTTTATCTGGCGTCATTATGTAAAAAATACCATTTTCGTCAGCATGGTGCTTTTCTGCTATTTTTGGCCACGTCTTCTCCAGCCAATCGTTAATGACATCACTTTTCTTTTCTCCCCGTTCTCTCTCCGGTATTAAAGCAACTATATTGAATTTATTAATTTTTTTTTTTAATTCATTAATTTTTTCTTTTACTTTTCTTTTATGTTACTTCTTGCTAGAACTCTTTACTGGCCCGGAAACCCACGATTTTTAAAGGAAAATTTTTGTTAAGCAACCACATGAAATTAGAGTAAAAAACATCAAATTTTTTATCAGTATCACCGGATGCACTGCAGACGTCTGACCAGGGTTCTTTAAATAAATCTAAAATAAAAACACTAAGATTGTTTTTTTTTAATTTCCGTCTAGAAACGAGCGCCTTTCTAGTGGTGCCCTGTGTTAAATAATACGGTATCGTATGTTTTTACGGTACGCTTGCAGGTGCATCACAGCCTCGCGGAGCCGTTTACTAACGAAAGTGGCGTCGAATTGCTACAGACGTTGAAGTTCGACCAGCAGCGGACGTGCGTCGGCAATATGGTGGAATTCGTGACGGAACTGTTCGAAGTGTCGCCATCTAGCGGGAGCGGTCGCAGCGCAAAGCTGTTGCTCATAGTTAGCGACGGAAGGGGTATATTTTCCGAAGGCGAGACATACGTCAGACGAGCTATAAGAAAGGCGAAGCTCGCCGGTATATTTATGGTGTTCGTGATAGTCGACAGTCCCAAAAATAATGACTCAATTTTGGACATAAGGCAGCCGGTGTTTAAGGACGGGAAACTCGTGGAGATGAGGTCCTACATGGACGCGTTCCCGTTCGGTTTTTACGTCGTTCTCAGGGACATCGACGCGTTGCCGAGCGTGCTGAGCGATGCGCTTCGTCAATGGTTCGAAATCGTGTCGAACGTCGACGCTTTACTTTGTTAATAAACGAATTTTTGCAAGTTACGCGTTCGTTTTATTCGCTTCGATACGAAAATAAATACGTGACGTCATAACGTCAACGGTGGATCTAAACATTCTGTGATGAAAAATTGGTACGGTACCATTTGATTACAAATGGACGCAAGTTGCTTTGCTTTTGCTGTCAATTTTTTGAGATTGGATTGGGAAAAATCTCAAATATTTACTTAGTGATTTGATAAATCCGAAATTTCCGACTTCTACACTAGTATGCGAAATTATAAAAGCATTTTTAAATTGTTTCGGCTGGCGTGCGCGACCTCCAAACATGACGTCAGAAATTCACAGACCAGACAATAAGCGGGTATTTTCGCCGGATCTTAAATAAAATCTTTTTGCGGAAATTTTTGCACAAACATTTCACTTATTAAACAAAATTGCCGCCTTTACCCATTTAAGAACAATTTGCGGTTTTCGCGTAAGGATCACTAGCGTATCCACGACAGCCATCTCGGCGACCATTGACCACAGTAACGTGACAGTTATCTCGTCGCGTTGAACACATCGGGTAATGGAAGACGTTCCAAAAATTCTCTCTGACGAAGGCGGTTCCGCTTTCTCCCTTAGGGGTTTCCGGTTCCAAAAAAAACCTCCGTTTTCACACACCGGTTACAGTTCCAACGATTCGCCGGACACCTGTACGTGTTAGTCCTGCCTAACGATTTAAATTTTGGCTAAACTGGCAATTTTAATTGTAGCGTCGGAAAACCCCAAAGTCCAGATGATGGAAGTTCGAAACCGGATCGTGAACCCCTTCAGCGACTCCGATTCCGAAGTGGAATTGCCAAGAAAGCATCCGATCGTGAACCACGAGACTACCGCTAGTACAGTAAGATTGAATGGGTTCCGGCCAAAAAACCCTTCAATTCTTGAGAAGGAGAAGCAAATGAAGTTCTTGTTGGAGATATTCCCCAAGTTGGAAACTATGGTACGTCAGTATTTAACCGAAATTAGTGGTTAGTAATAGCGCCTGTTGCAGAAAGTGCATGATGTGCTATCAAAACACAATTTCAACACGGACGCTGCCGCTGCCGAACTTTCGAGGACGTACAGTGAACAGCAACAGGCTATTTACGGCAGTTACAGCCAGTGGAAAGACAATTACGAGAAGAAGTTCGCCGCAAGACACCACTCAGATTTGATCAACGCACAGAAGATGAGTTTCAAGAGAAGAGCTGTCGGGGAACCGTCCAACCACAACAAGAAGAAGAAGGTTAGGAGGCGGAAATCGTACGACAGCGATGACAGCAACGGTAGTAACAATTACAGAGACACCAGAGTGTTTGATAGTAGGTAAGTGGGACGTGGTGAAATGTCCGATTGTTGTGCTTCTGTCAGCGGCACATTTAAATAACCGTTTCCTCCTAAGCGATGAAGATTCGGACGCTGAAATAAGCGATGAACTGACAGGCGACAAGAAAAAAGTGCTAGATTTTTTCACGACTGCCACACTGAACGAGTTGCAGCTCATGCAGTCGTGCTCTAAGAAGAAGGCGGAGGCGTTGGTCGAACTGCGCCCATTCCAAGGCTGGATCGATTTGGTAATATATTACATAAATTGTTTTAAAAAATGTATGATGAAATACATAAAAAATTAAGAAATATTCGCCTCTATGGCAAAGATAGAAAATTTAAAGTCGAACATGCTGAGAAAAATTATTAAATTTTTGTACATTTTTTATGTATTATTAATAACTGTTATACTGTTAATAACTTGGGAAAGTGTCATGGAAAATCTCAAAATATCAGGGAATTTTTTTGATAATTTGCTGTGCCCCCAACTCTGTAACAGAGCACAATGAAATATACCTGAAGAATTTGAAAATTTAAGTTTTTTATTCTTTTCAGTTTCTTGTTTTGACTATTTGGGATCTTAACGTCAAAAATTCTTGTTTTTTTTTTTTCGAAATGTATTTCCTATGGAATTTTCCCTGTGCTAAAGAAATTATTGTACAGATTGCACCATTTTATGGTACTACCAAGAATTCCATACTTAATTGAACTATAGAAACTAGATTGCTTTCAAAAATCTTAGCTGTGCGAATCGTCTGCTCCTTACTATGCACTACGTAGTCTACAAAGTCACTACGTAGCATTGTGCACTGCGAAATCGATGTAATTTTGCTGTGCATGCGTAAGTGACTTTACACATTTCGCTGAATTTCAAAGTCACGGTGATCTTTGATAAATGTCACTTTTAAACTGAATTGTTTGTCCCATATTTCATAGTTTTTTCATTCTCATATCCATGAAACGTTTATGCCTGTTAAAGATACATCCTGTATGTTATCGAAAAAATGCTGAGGGCAGGGGTAGTAGCCTTGGATCTCCCACATTTCCTGCTTCATGAATTTTTCCAATAGCGTAAATGGTTTTCAAGAAAATTGTTTTTTTCTGAAACCACGGAGTACATTGTAATAGTAAATAACATCATCATCGGCCCGAGGAATAGCGATTTTCATAATGATTTTTTCAAATATTTCGAGCAAATTGTAGCTCTTGATATGGTTTATAATACTGTTTGAAGAAACTGGCCATATTTTTTACAAATTTTGATTTACTCTGGAAAACGACAATTTTCAGGGGGTATATTCGAAAAAATGCTTAAAGTAAAAGTCATAACCCTGGATCTCCTGCGTTCCAGGATTCCAAAATATTGCCAATTTGTTGCATAGTGTTTGAGGAAACCATGTTGCTCTGAAAGCAAAAATAACCAAAAAATAATTTTCATTTTTTCTTTAAATTACTTGCTGTAATTTCATTACATCCAATTTGATGTGGATGCGAACTTCTACTATTCTGCCAAATTTGAAGTCTATAGCTGCTAATTTAAGACACTTATTACATTTCTAATATATGCGGAACACCCTGTACAATAGGTAAAACCTTGAATACAAAAGTTTTAGTTGTCTGTATATAAAATAAATGTCAGCACAGTTATTGCCAATTTTTATTAAAACAGGAACACAATTTTCAGTTTGTTGCGAATACCGAACACTCCCTGTATATTTTTGAAAGTTACCAAGAATAGCGGATCTTTTCGTCTAATAACGTTTTTCTTCGCTGTAACAGTTCTCGACAAATGATTTTTTTCTTAAATCCTTGCAAACGCTATTTTTTATTATTTAAAAATACTTCCCGACCCCCCAATCCGTCCAATTTCAAACTAACCAAAGACTCGCGATTCAATTTCGGCACTCAGCGATGAAAGAAGCGTTTTTTTTTATCTGTTTGTTCTCCGTTCTCTGTTCCAGGGGATTTCTACAATAACTTCCGAACGGTTTGAGCTACACGCTTCAAATTTTGCTCCTTTTTAGAAGTCCAAGATATGTAAAAATGGCTACGTTCAAGTTTCGGCGTCCATGTTTTTTTTTTTTTTTTTCGATTTTCGACTGTTTTTTGGACGTTGCTATGAAACACGATAAGTGTCCGAAATTTGAAATTATCAACTTTGCATAGACAGCTAAAACTTTTGTATTTAAGGTTTTGACCTATTGTACAGGGTGTTCGCGATATTCCGTGCAATATTAAAAAACGTAATAGGTGCACTAAATTTGCAGCTACCAACTTCAGATTTTGCGGAGAAGTAAAAGTTCAGACCCACATTTTAACTATTAAATTCGAGAGCAATTAAGTACCGCAAGGTTTTTTTTTGTTTTTTGGTAATTTTGGCTGCCAGAAAAAGATGTTTTTCTCCATAACCATTCACCCGATCGGTAAAATTCTTTAACTGGCAGACGCGGAGAATCCAGTGCTATAGCATTTATTTTAAGCATTTTTTCGATTATGTAATCGTAAAAAATATGGGTTCAAACAGTGTCATAGGCCGCATCAAGAGCTATAATTTTTGTATTTGCGGTTTTCGTCTATCACACTCACTGCTCAAGAAATTTGCAAAAATCCATATGAAAATCGCTATTGCGGGGGTTGTCAAGGCGCAATGACGTCATTGATTATTACGGCGCACTGCGTGGATTCAGAAAAATCTTATTTTCTCGAAAACTATTTACTATTTTAGAAAAATTCTTGCACTAGGAAACGTGGAAGATCCAGAGCTATAACCCCCATTTCCGGATTTTTTTCAGATATGTACAGGGTGTGTCGATTATGGTAAAAAAAAATCTAGAGAGAGAGAGAGTTTCAAGGTTCGTCTATCATACAGGGTCCGCGAGATACTTGGTATAATATAATTATCGTTATTAAAGTATGTTGTGACCTTGAACTTCGTCGATAAGTAAAAAACGCATTATACAATAAAATTACATCGATTTTGCCAAAGTTCCATAATGATCCGCTGGAACACGATAGAAAAACGATGCGTCCCTTTACCACAAGAAACCGAGAACACTTAAAAAAAAAAAGCTGCTTTGCGCCAGGCGCTACGAACTTGCCCCGCCCACCGACGATTTTTCGAAAGCAACCTTGTTGTTATGACGCAACAAGTCGTGTTTCGTAGGTCACCAAGTTGCAGAGCAACAAGAGTTTAAGTACCGACCTGTTGAATTCGGCGCAGCAGGTACTTGTCACGCGGAATAACATCCGTCATTTGATGAGGCGCTGCACGAACTTGGCGCAGCAAATGGAGCGCGCAGTGGCGGCGGGAGCGAGCGTCAAGGAGCAGCCTCGCAATTTATCGTCGTCGTAAGCAACGAAAATGATTTTCAGAACGTCGCCGGTTCACGTCGCCTTTATTTTTTAGGTTAAAACTGACCGGCTATCAAATGATCGGCCTCAATTGGCTGGTCGTGTTGCACTCGCAGGGCGTCAACGGCATACTGGCAGACGAAATGGGTCTGGGCAAAACGATCCAGATCATATCATTCCTCGCCTACTTAAAACTCACCAACCAGGCCCTGAATACTCATCTGGTGATCGTGCCTTCGTCCACCTTAGGTGGGTTCCCGTTTCGCGTTTTAAATCGACGACGATGCGTTTGAACTACTTCGGCGTTCGGCGCATCCGCCACGCGTTTAGTTTTATTTCGCGCGAGACTCGATTTTCACGCGAAATTGTGGTAATAATGTTGTAGTAATGGGTATATGTAATTTAACGTATACGAGGTGCGGCACAAATTTTAACAAATAAAAATTTAAAAATTACGAACACGAAAAACTTCAAAAACCTTTAATTCAATTTATCTTGATAAGATTAAGATATCGTGGTAAATAAAATAACGAAATGTAGGGTAGTAGCCAAGTTTTTTTTTCCAAGTGACGTATAAAGCAAAACATTTATAAAATTTCTGACATATAATATATTTTTTTAAATGGAACGCCCTGTATATTATCCATGTTTTTAATAGAGTATCTTATTCCGATTACGATGATGTAACACACTTTATATTTTAGTCCACTCGTTGTTGACAAATCGGCAAAAATAGGAAGCACCCTGACTGACTGCAACAATAATAATTATTTACAAATTAAAGTAAAACAAAAACATTAAAAATGACAAGACACACTAAAATAAAAAAAATGTAACTATTATAAATGCTGTTGTATGTGACCGCCATTTTTTGAACACATTTCTCATACACCCTAATTGCACGATGATTGATTGCCTCTGAAATCCTTTGCCGAAATTCCGCGACATTAATACAAGGAGTTCTGTGCACGTGATTTTTTATGTGTCCCCGTAAGAAAAAATCCATCCAAACCCTGGGATATTCCATGTCAAGAAAATTTTTAACTTGCACAATCTTGTAAGAAAGGGGCGGCATCTTGCTGCCATATAATCGGCGCTGATATATTTCGGGGTAAGTCTTCTATATATTGTTCTATTTGGTGCTCTAAGAGTTGCAAATAATGATCTCCAGTTAACTTTTGATCTATAAATATTGAACCCAAAATATGCCCATCACACCATACATTAATTGATTGGTACCTCTGGGTTGTTATTATGTGTATTTGTCTATTTGTCTATTCCCTTCCCCTTTCTTCATCTGCCCATAAAATGTTTCTACAAAAATTGTTATTCTCATTATGTCTAATCGGAATAGGATATTACATTAAACTAAATATAATATACAGTGTGTTTCATCTAAAAAAATATGATGTAGGCTTATATGTCAGAAAATTGGTAGTGTTTTATTGTTTTATACGTCAGTTGGAAAAAATACTTGGCTACTAACCGTACATTGTATTTTTTTGTTTACCTCGATATCTCTAAAAACAAAAAAGTTACAGCCAATTAAAATGTTATCAAGATAAATTGAACATCAAAAAATAGTCCTACCGTTACTGTTCCCTTCTTTAAATAATGCATTAAAATTTTATATAATAACGTGGCCTATAATGTACAATTGTATACAAAGTACGTCAAAAAAATTAAAAATTTGGGCATCGTGGCTGCACTTGGCAAACTTGCAATGAATCATATATTTTTTTAAATCCTATAAAAAAAAATAGAATTTTGTTGATTTACGGAGGGACTTTTATCTGCAAAATCCTTTTAAAAATACGAATACGTATGAAACATCGAATATACGATCAAAAAACCAATGAATAAAATGTTAGTACGAAAACAAGCCGTATTTTAATCCAGACAACTGGAAGAACGAGTTCGCGCGGTGGTGCCCGGAACTGAGGGTGTTTATGTACTACGGCGACTCGAAGGAGAGACGCTCGTTCCGGTTCGACCTCGCCAAGGGCATGCTGAAAGAGTTCGACGTCATCCTGACGACGTGAGTTCGCGGTATTCGAAAGGCGCGCGCCTAACCCCGCCCCTTTTTGCCCCAGGTACACGATGGTCGGCAACAGCCCGGAGGAGCGGAAAATGTTCAGAGTGACGCCGATGCACTACGTCATCTTCGACGAGGCGCACATGCTGAAGAACATGAACACGCAGCGCTACGAGAACCTGATCCGGATCAACGTAGGTGAGAGGCGCGCGCGTAACCTAGTTAATTTAAAACGGGGGTGGGCGGGGTCGTTTCCTACAGGCGAAGCACCGGATCCTGCTCACCGGCACGCCCCTCCAAAACAACCTGCTCGAACTCATGTCGCTGCTGATATTCGTCATGCCGAAGATGTTCGCGGAAAAGACCGACGATTTGCGTAACTTGTTTCAAAAGAACGCGAAAGCGAAAGACGACGAGATCGTGCCGGCGTTCGAGCGCGAGCAGATCGAGCAGGCGAAACGCATCATGAGACCGTTCGTGCTCAGACGCTTGAAACGCGACGTGCTCCAAGACCTGCCGAAAAAAATCGACCACGTGATCAGCGTCGCGATGGCGCCGACGCAGAAGGACCGCTATCGCTCGCTGGTGGCGGCCTACCAGAATATAGGCAACGTGAGTGAACCGGCGAGGTTTCGGGGCCCCATTTTTACGTCGCGTTCGCAGGAATCGAGCGAGCCGCAGTACAACGGCATGAGCATCATGACCGACCTGAGGAAACTCAGCAACCATCCGCTGCTGATGAGGTACCACTACGACCTGGACCAGCTCGGCGAGATGGCGAAGCTACTGGCTAAGGACCCGAATTACAAGGACACGGTGGTGCAGTACATCGTCGAAGATTTGAAGTTCATGTCGGATTTCGAGATACACACCATGTGCCAACAGTTTTCGGTGAGTTTGCTCCGGCGCGTACCCCGCACGTTTGTAGATTTCATGTGTCTATTACACTATTACAAACCTCCTGCGTCTGTTTTTGATGAATCTCGCTTGCCAACGTTTCAGAGCTTAGTTGAAACTACCACTTTATTCTGTATCTGCTTATATATCGTTATATTGTCATATATTGGCGTCTTCTCTATCAGGATCCTTGAAAAATCTGTCACCCCCCCATGAATTTGGCCTTGTCACCCCTTCGACCTATTGTCAGCACCATCAGTCCTCCGAATTATTCTCTAGCAAAATACCTAGCTTCTATACTATATTAAAAGCTATTACATTAGATCCAAAACGATATTCGGGTTGGTTTCTTTCTTTACTAAAGTCCTTGTTCCTGAAACTCTCTCAACATTATTTCAGATATATCAAAATCCGAGAATCTGGAACCAAATCATCTCGTTTTAATTGAAAAATACTTGTCTGGAACATATTTGTCTTATAACAATCAAATTGTTGGACAAACCACTAGTTATTGCTGTTACGAGGGCAGCGCCAAAATTTCCCGGCCTGAATATGAAAGAAACAAAGTAGAATAACAATTTTGTATTATTTTTCAATATAATCCCCATTAACTTCAATACGCTTATTACATCTCTTTATTAACAACTAAAAAAATATTCTTTTGGTTTGTCTGCAAAATGAGCTAAAACGGCCTCTTTTAAGTCAACTTGGTCGTTAAACCGCCGTCCACGTAAGTCCTTTTTCAAATAATAGTCGCCGGGGGCCATATCTGGACTATAGAGAGGATGATCTATCTGTGGAAGTTTCATTGAAAAATTAATGTTTTCGAACATTTGTAAAATTCGTTTAACGTTTGTACATTTTTACATATTTGCTGCAGATTTTAAAAAACTAATTCAAAGTAATTAAAAGCAATTATTTAAAATACATCACAAACATTTGTAAAATCGGCCAAAATATTTCATTAGGCGCTTAAATGTACATGGAAAACATTTGTAAAACCTTGTCCACAATTGTTAATTGAATAATTAATTGATAATTAATTAATTAATTGAATAATCCAAAGTAATTATTAGAAATGCATCTAACATTTGTAAACTCCTACAAGTGTAAGTAATAAATTTCATTAGGCGCTCATATTTATATTTTTATGTAATGCCAAAAATAATTATTACAGGAACGAACTTTATTTGACGTTTACGAAATTTCTGAAAATGGTTTATTTGCCAGTTAATAACTTTCCCGGTTTACCCTGTACATGAGTAAACTTCACTCAAAAGTAATTATTACAAAAGCGTCCCAAACATTTGTAAAATCGCAAAAAACATTAATAATACGTTTTACTCACCGGTTTACGTCGTCCGCAAATGAAAGAATAAAGTTCACGCAAAAGTAATCGTTACAAATGTATGCGGACCATTTTGTGTAAATGTGGCATTCGTTGCCAGTGCTTGGCCCGCTACCAACTTCCGGACAATCTGATCCTGACGTCTGGCAAGTTCCTCTACCTTGACCGATTGCTGCCCGAGTTGCAGCGCAACGGCCACAGGGTATTAGTGTTCAGCCAATATGTGATATTACTAAACGTATTAGAAGTGTACCTGAATTTGAGAAAGTACCGCTACCTAAGGTTAGATGGCAGCACCGCAGTAAGCATAAGGTCAGTACCTGATGACCCGCGGGCGGAGGTTTCACGGTTACTTTTCAGGCAAGATCTGATCAACGAGTACACAGAGGACAAGGGAATATTTATTTTCCTACTTTCGACTCGGGCCGGCGGTCTGGGCATCAATTTGACCAGCGCCGACACTGTCATCATCCACGATATCGACTTCAACCCTTACAATGATAAACAGGCGGAGGACCGGTGTCACCGGATGGGTCAGACGCGACCGGTGACGGTGTACCGGTTGATCTCGCAGGGTACCATCGAGGAAGGCATGCTTGCAATGAACAGGGAGAAGCTGAAGCTCGAGAGGGAGATCACTGCCGACGGTGAGCCTAGCGAGGCATCTACAATAAAAATACGGGGGGGGGGGGGGGCTGCAGCGGCGGCTATGGAATGAGACAATTTTTTTTTTGTGGCTCACGTCCAAAAAGACTAAAAGCAGTGGATTTAACATGATTTAAAATATATAAACTAACAAACTTTAATACTTACATAATAATTTTAAAAATGAACATCAAATCTTTTTTTAGATAGTATTGCCAATGCCGAAAGTCTTTCTTGGCCCATGGTATCTCTTGAAAATATTTTTATCCGTTTGAGTGTTATGATATCGCAATCTTCCTTTGCTTCCCGCCAATATTCCGCAGAGTCATCATTCACGATTTCTAATTTCTGTTAAGTTAGTTTCAGATGATAATATACGTTTTTTTGCGGTAACAGCGTCAATTTCTCTTTTTTGAAGCTTACGAAATAACAAGTCAACATGTGTAAAATCAGTTTAGCAAGAACAATAACCTGATGCTTGGGGCTGGAATTTTTCCATGTCCCAAAATCCTTCTACTGGCGTACCTTTATAATCTATGTAAAAATATAATTGCCATTTGGAATAGTTTCATCAGCAATTATAGATAAGTAATCGATTTGTTCCATTTAGAAATTTCCTCTTGACATACATAAAACATTGTCTGTAAAATTTCATGTTGGGTAGTTTTTAAGGTACCTTTGAATACCGTTGCTTTTTTTAAGTGCTGATTAACAGCACCATCCAACTCAGCACTAAAGTCAATTAGTCCTCGAAAAACCCCAGGATCTTGCAAGCTCCACAGAAACGCACACATTTAATATTCTCTGAGGACTTGTTCGTTGTGCAACTCAATATCACGCCGATAAGCGGTGCTCAACTGGTCAGCTACGTTTACAGTTAAAAAAAGTGTATGCTTCTTGATGCGGTCCCCTGAATGATTTAAGGCGGTAAAACCATTTTTTGTCCATGAATCTTCTCCGCCGAATAACAAACAAGGGAAACAAAAAAGGGCATTTTTAATTTCACAACCACATAAAGTTCTGGTAAAAGTTTGTTTTTAAATTTGGAATAGGCCTCCCAAGTCTCTTTATTTCGTCAGCCTTTTGGATTGATGATCGACTACAGAATGGCTTTGAAAGTAAACTTTCAACAGAATTCATATTTAAAATCACAAGCTAACAAAAAAAATGCGATTACGCAACACATGACAAACTAAAGTCCACCTAAAATCTGTAATCGGCGGGAAAACAAAGGACAAGTTTGCACTCGGTCTGCAACCTCATTGATTGATTGAAATAATTTCAATAATTGAGTATTTCTCGCGTATTGGCGTTAACAGAGAGAGAATTTTGGCATGACTAAGAATTAAAAAAATATGTAATTATTAGCATTATAATTACGGTTTTTGGAGGTTGCGCAAGCCTGCAAACCTAAGGAGAGCCGCCACTGGAAGCACCACCGGTCGTGAATGGGGCCCTTACACGCGTTTTTTTCTTTCAGAGTCAGACAATCCGGATGTGAAGAGCGTCGTGAGGCTTCTGTCTTCCGTGTTGGGCGTCGACGAGGCCAAGGCCACCATACTGGTGTCTCCCCGCAAGAAGGAATGAGGCGGAACGTTGCAGTTGAAATTTTCGTTAGTTTTGATAATGCAATCGCGCACCCACCCCCACTCCCATTTTTATATTTACTGATTACGTGTTGTGTACTTTATAATTAAACTTATTTTTTATTATGCCTCGTGTTTTCGTGGTTTCCCGGTGGGGTAATCGCCACCTTTTTTTTCTGTTGCCTCGACCAAAATTTGTTACTTACAAATAGGAAAACGGCCAAACAAATTAAAAATGCCTAACTAAAGAATACAGATTCACTTTCCCCGCTCAGCGCAACATACAGATTCTTAACCAAAGACGTTTCATCACCACAGACTTTCGAGATACGCTAGAACATACATCACGAAATCTTATCTGTGCTGCCATCTGTAGATGGATGGCTAAACAAAACCGGGTTAGAAATCTGTAATCTTTGTGCTGCCATCTACAAACGAGTAGCGAGACTAAATCCGAATCTTCGACTACTAGGGAATTTTTAATTTTCTTCCTGGGGCCGGAGGACGGTAAAGTAACAAATTCCCACTACTGTTGTTGCGTGTAATTTCGGAGAAAAGTGATCTCTGGAACCGCCGATTTGCCGAACTTCACAAATAACGGCTACATTTTTAAACAAGGGAGGAAGATAGGAGTTAAAACGCAACGCCCGTTGTTAAAAATATCGTTTTAATATTCTCTGAGCAGACACGTAACTGGAGCCATTTACAAAAGCCTGCGGGCAGGCATTAAAGTGCCACGAAAATTAAAAAAAAAACTATAACTATTATTTTTCTAGTATCCTTCGCGATACGACGCTGTTAAACGAGCACCCTGTATACGACCCATTCGTAAAATTGGCTACAACACTGTACACGGCTTAGATGTCTCGCAAAAAACACTTACCCTAGAACCTACGGTAGTAAGAAACGAATTCCGTATTCGGTAAGATCACATAAGTTTTCCTTAGCTATATTATATAAATATAAAGGTTCCTAAATACTTGTAATTATGTCGGAAAGCAAGACCGATTGTGCCTCATCACGCTCGCCGCCACTGGATTAGACCAAAGTCCGTTACGCGTCCACCAGCATGGCGAGGTAGAGCGCCTGTCAGTTAACCGAGCTGACCCTCTGCGATCTCGACCAGGATACCTCCTTAGCGCTAGCGAATGCCACGTAGAACAGGTTCGCGCCCATGTTGATACCGGCGGCCAGGTAAAACACCATCCGCCATTGGCCCAAAGTTTCCTGTAAAGCCACTCGCTCTCACAGTCTCTCATACAAAAAAATATCTCGCGAGGATTATAACTATCAGTAGTATCACATGCATTACCGAACGGAACATAGGAAATCCCACGTGAATTATTAGGTCCCGAAGTATGAGCGCCCCCGTACATTTTACAGCAAAGGGGTAACTCGTGTGCCGATATTGAATAAATTTTTATAAGCCAATCTTCGGTTATTGACTTAAATATGACGGCAAAATTGCAAAAGCTCGACACAACAAACACCAACGAAGGTTGGTTTGCCATAAAGACATACGCATTTAGTTTCGCACATTCAAAAAAAACCAAGGGTGTGGATTTAGGTGGGTAAAAAAACGAAAAAACGATTTTTTTTGGACCCGACACACAAAAACTAGTTGCCAGTTACATCTAGAAAGTACTTAAAATTAATGGGAAGTATCCTCATTATAGTTTTGTACTTTTTACAGAGCTTGACTGAAACTGGCTCGTATTTTACTCTGTACCTGCTTATATATTGTTTGAGGGGGGCGGAGCTAAATGATTGGCATAAACACCGTCTCGGACGACTGATGAGTTTATTTGTCTTAGTCGTGAGGCTCTTTCGTGTTCTTTGAGCCTAGTTGATATTTTTCGTCCGGTCTATCCAATGTATTCTTTGCCGCATATGCATGGAATGCTGTAAACCCTGGCATCTCAAATAAAATTTTGTCTTTGACGGACCGAAGATGTTGAGAGATTTTTGGACAAGTGGTAAATCTGGTTTTGACGTTATACTTCTTTAGAAATTTTGATATGTGGTCAGTGATATTGTGAAGTTAAAGAATGACCACAGTGGCAAGTTTAGGATTGCCTTCGTCCTCATTACTATTGGAAGGTTGTGGTGAAGTGTAATTTTATGATGGAACGCTTAGTATCTTTAATGTGGAAATTATTAGAGAGAAGAGCAGAGGTAATGTGTTTTAATTCTGTTTTCAGTGACTCGCGGGCTGAGATAGTTTCACGGCTCTGTAAACAAGAGAATTGATAACCGATGATTTAGTTTTGTATTTTCGATTTAGTCTCATATATAAATAATCATATCTTATCACCAGTGTGATCATTAAGCCAATGTTATTAATAATTTTTATAAGAAATTATATTTCGAACCATTTCAAAGACATTCGAGGTTAAAGATTGAAGAATTTAAAGAAAAATAACTTTTTGTTCTAAATTTTGTTATTGACTGAAAAATAATTATTGTGAAATATTTTCAATTATTCTTATATAAAATTTAATGATCTACAAAAAAGGACTCTTCTGATTTATCGAACTATTTTGAAGATAATTAAGAAATATTTTCAATTTATTCATTGAATTGTTCACATCATTAATAAAAATTAGATTTTACGTTGACAAGATGACGGTTTGTAAATTATTTTTTACCATTTGTTTGACAGTATACTTCTTTCTAAACAAACTTCAAACGTTATTTTCTTTTATAATTTTACTTTAATAACAACTGAGCATCATAATTGAAATTGAAATAAATAAAAAACCACAACATTCCTTGACCTCTAAAAAACAATAAAACGAAATATCCAAAATCTCAAAAATCAGGTGTCTACAGGTTGAAATAAGGATCTTGTCCTAAAATTTATATTGGACAAACAGGTAGATCCTTCAAGAAACGCATTAACGATCATAAAAGAGCGTTTAAAAACAATAGTCTGGATTCAAATTATGCTACACACTTAAACACAGAAAATCACACGTTTCTCTTTAAATAGAAAGTACGATGGAAAAGGTGGAGAAACAAAATGGTGTGCTGGATGAAAGGATTGAAGCAACCCAAAATAAAACCCAAATCAGAAGTAACACACTCACCCGGCCTTCAATTATGAGCCCTATGACGTAGGGTGCGATAAAACCGCACATATTGGAGGCGGCGTTAGTTATACCGTACATGGTGCCAGCGTACTTGGGACTCAGTGCGATGTGGTTCATCTGATTGCCGGCGTAGGTGGCGCCGCCGAAAGCGCCGGTTATGGCGAGCAATAGCTGCACGGCCAACTTGTCGCAGCCGACGTAAGCCACGCCCAGCAGACCCAGGGAGGGGATCACGGACGCTGGAAGGGGATCCTGTAGCCTTTGCGGGACGGAAGCCGGTCGAAAACTTACCGATCGAATTCCACAATTTGTACGACATAGAAAGTGAGACGTAGCCTTTGGTCAGCAGCCAATCGGCGACCATGCTGAACGCGATACCCGCCCACCAGCTGGTCAAATACGGGATGGCCGATAGGATCGCGTTCTGCAACGAAGAAAACGAGATTGCTTTCGAAAAATCGTCGCTGGGCGGGGCAAATTCGTCGCGAATAGCGCGAATCAGCTTTTTATTTTACAAAGGAGGCGCTTCGCGGATTCTTGTAGGGACGGCATATTTCGGTTAATATAAAAATTTGTACTGGTAATTCATATTAAATTATCACATCTTTAAAAGTTTTTGAAATATCACCAATAATTCACCCAGAAAAGCGGGAATTTCTAGGATCTATTCGAATTTTTTGCCCACAAACTACGTACCCTGTATATAATTCCAACAATATTCGAAATAGAGGATATACCTCTGGATCTCCTTGGTTGCCTGGTATCCGAATTTTTCCAATGGAGTAAATGGTTTTCAAAAAACTACACTTGTTTTCTAAAACCATGCAGTATGTGGTAATTGCAAATGACGACATCGCGTCTAGATTGAGGGCAAGAAATTGTGATTTTCATTTTGATTTTTTCAAATATCTCGAACAGCGTATGTGATAGACGAAAACCGTAAATACAAAAATTGTAGCTCTCGACGTGGCTTATTACACTGTTTAAACCAATTCGCCATATTTTTCACGAATTTTGATTTAAGGCTAATGATCAAGAATAATGTATTTTGATCCGGATCTTGCGCGTCGTTTGGTTAAAGAATTTTTTCAATGGAGAAATGATTTTTTCTCGATATCCTGCAAGTGCGGTTTTTAATTTTTAAAAAATACTTCTCGACCCCCCAGTTTCAATAGGCTTCGTTACGGAGTCAAGCCCTATATATTTGTCAAAATTCAAGGGGATGGCTTCAAATTTCGGACACTTATCGTGTTTAATAGAGAAAGTCCAAAAAACAGATGAAAATCTAAAAAAAAAGATGGGCACCTTGGTTTGATCAGACCCATTTTTTACTGGTTTATGTACCTCGTGCACAGCTTAAAAGGAGCCAAATTTGAAGGTCGTGCCGCAAACCGTTCAAAAGATATAGCCAATTAATGTCAGGTCAACAGAAAAACGGAGAACAAAAAAAAAAATTTTTTTCAACGCTGTTCATTTCTGTACAAATTCGATTTCATCGATTTTTCGAAAGTAACAAGGATAGGGCATTATATCGCTCATAATCTTACCGCTTGTATGTTGAAGTGGAGTATTTGAGCCATGTAGGTGGGCAACTCGGTGAGCTGGGTGTAGAATGCCCACGAGTTGCCGCACTGGGTGACCAAAATGGCCCAAAGCGGCAGGCAAGTGGCCATTTTGAGCCACGGGACGGATGATTTGTCGTCGTCTTGAGGTCCGATGCTCGCCAAAATATATGCTTGCTCTTGGCGGTCGATTCTCGGATGGGAGACGGGCGTATCGTAGACGAGACACATCCAGAACACGAACCAGACGATGCCCAGGGCGCCGAAGAGGTAAAACGCGAGCGGCCATCCCCCGTCCAGCTCTAACGTGCAGAGCCAACCGGAAAGGGGCAGGGAAATGATGGTGCCAAAGTTGGCGCCTGAAAAAAAAAAAGCCACGCCCCCGCCCCCTTAGGTCGACGACAACTAAATGTCGGAGAACATCTTACCCGCGTAGACGTAAGCACCGAATTTGCTCCTTTCCAGCGGAGGCACCCATTTCGCGAGCATGGCGTGCATCGAGGGAAACGTCACCCCCTACGAAATCTAACTTAGGAAACATACAGGGCGCGTCACCACAGACCAATTCCTTTGTAACTCCAGGGTGTTATCGAATTAACATTGTATCATTTGATGAGTTGCTCTTCGCGTGCATTTTAATTTTAGTTCTCACTTACGTATACTAAGCGTGTCGTCTTAGGATCACTGCGCGAGTTCTGGGGCACTTTAACATTCAATCCCAAAAAGTGACAAAATTGAGTCTAAATAAATAAGATTAATGTTGTTGTGAGAATTTAAGTTTTAGGACAAGATTCGCATTTCAACCTGTAGACACTTGATTTTTGAGATTTTGGACATTTCGTTTTGTTGTTTTTTTTTTTTAAATCCTATTGTGTTGTTAGTTCTGAAAGCTATTTTTAAACCACATTTTGACAAATGTTTTGAAATTTTTTCACAAGGTTCTTCTATGTATGTAATTGTTTTAAATTGTTCGCGTTCTGTATTAGGTTTCGGATAAATAGAGTTTACTGTTGTCTGGATTTGTATTTTATTTATAATTTTATCTATAATGAACGGATTGTAGCCATTATTCAGTGCAATATAATTTTCTGTTGAGAGTGGCGTATTAAGAAGTCTGTGTATAAAAGAGTGAAATGCGGCCATTTTGTGTGTATAAGGGTGATTTAAGCTGTTATGTATGACTGTGTCCGTGTGTGAAGGTTTATGATATATATTGAAAAATCTATTTTGTTTTGCGCTTTCGTAATAGTTAAGCCTAAAAAATTAATAGAGTTATCCTGTTCAATCTCGATAGTGGATTTTACACGATTATATAATGATTATATATATATATATATATATATATATATATATATATATATATATATATATATATATATATATATATATATATATATATATATATATATATATTTCTCACGTATTGATTCACGGATGGAAAAATGTGATGACACTATACTCCGGGATATCATCCGTTCGCTCGTTGAACTCCGACTGGAATCCTGCATCCGACTGGAATCCTGCAAATCCTGCATCCGACTGGAATCCTGCAAATCCTGCATCCGACTGGAATCCTGCAGACGTTTCGCCAAAATCTCACTTGGCATCTTCAATGCTCGCGCTCCGAAAACACTTCGAACACACTTGTTGTTTTCGGAGCGCGAGCATTGAAGATGCCAAGTGAGATTTTGGCGAAACGTCTGCAGGATTCCAGTCGGATGCAGGATTTGCAGGATTCCAGTCGGAGTTCAACGAGCGAACGGATGATATCCCGGAGTATAGTGTCATCACATTTTTCCATCCGTGAATCAATACGTGAGAATATATATATATATATATATATATATATATATATATATATATATATATATATATATATATATATATATATATATATATATATATATATATATATATATATATATATATATATATTTGTGAATTTTTGCCGTTTTTAGTTTTCAACTGAGTGGTTCGGGAACTAGTTTGGTCTCGACCGCAAGCAGGTGGATGTTCAGGTCTCACACATCTACTTGTGTCACGCAAAAAGATATTTTCAGCAAAAAGAATTTATGAAAAGCAATGAACAAGGACAGGTAAAGCAATACAAAAAGGCTGACCAAGACTGAGAAGAAAGGTCTAGACAACAAGTACTTTTGGACAATTTTTGAACAGTATGTAGCAAAATACTTATTTAATTTTTTTCCTTCTGAAAGCAATTCGAACGACAGCAATATTTTGCACTTAAGTCGGTGAATTCCATTAAATTCTGCGCGTTATCCGTGTTGAGTAGATTAAATCTGCCCAGTTCAGTTCCCATTAAAATTGAGACTACCGTAATGAACAAATACGAGGGTCACTTGAAAAGTTTCAGATCTTACCCTGAAGATGGCGGCACTTGTTACTGAAAGCTGTGCACCTCTTGATGGTTACTTACCAAAGTTTTGACCATTTGGAAGCGTGGTTTTTAGTTGAGAGTCGTTTAAGTGAGTCGATGTGAGCGTTTTCGCGCAAATGGAAAAAACTGAGTATAGCGCTGTTAAAAATTATTTGTTTTTTGAAACGCAGTTAAGTTGCACTCTGCGTATGGGGATTCTATACCACAGCGAACCTTTGGGCAGCTGAATTTAAACGTGGCCGTATGAGCTTAGGAGATGATGAAAAACTGTAACTACCGACGATAATATTGCTAAAATTCTGAGCAGAATGGATAAAGGTGTAGAAATCCTGCAGGAAGTGAAAAAGTGAAAGCTGCAATATGTCGGCGATGAGAGGTCCTAAATATATATGATATCCTGCAGCTCATAATCCAGGGAAAAATTTTAGGAAAAAGATCTGTTAGGTCGGAAACTATTCAACTGACCCTCGTATGTGTTTGCAATTTTATAATTAAAGTTTGAAATAATCAGGCGTAAAGGTACATTATGCGAGCACTTGACGACATGATTTTAGAAAAACTTTTTTATAAAATTGCGAAGGAAAAACGCTGTGGTGGTGCGAGCCCGATATAGCGCAATTAGTACCTCTCCCATTCCTTCCAAGACCCGCACCAAAATAAACAACGGGAAACTGGTGCGGGCAGCGACAGGACTCAGCAGCGTAAACACGGCCGTTATGAGTACCCCAACTCCGTAGACCAATTTGCCACCAAACAATTCCGCCAAGCGGCCGCCCGGTATTTGGGTGAGAACGTAGCCGTAGAAAAACGAGCCCAGGACGAGTCCCTGGGTTTGTTCGTCCCATGCGAAGGTACCGCTCTAAAAAAAAAAAAAAAACGCGTAGTACCGCAGGCAAGGTTACCGTTTTGAAGACGTACCGTTGGGGTTGTCGCGTTAGTTGCGCTGTTGTTCACCGGACAGTGGTCGTAACTGTTGTTGCTAGCAGGGGGAGGCGGGAACGCGGTGTTGTTTACCATAGCCACGATGGCTACCGACAGATTCACCCTCATCGCGTATACATTCGCGAACCCCAGGAACCCCAGTATTCCCAATATGTGCCTGGATTTGAGGCACTGTCTGCTATCTTCGACTGCAAATACGAACTCGTTTACGGTGGCGACTTTTTCGAATTCTGACGGCCCGTTTTTGGGCTTCGCCTTGTTACGACTGATAGTCACCATTTTGTGCAACACCGACCGCAGAAATAAGCGCGAAAACTGGCCGTCACCAGTCGCAAAATGTCGTTATCAGTTTTATCTAAATGCCCGAGAAACGGGCAGTATAATACTTTCATCGCAAACTGACAGCTGATAATATTTAATAATTTATTTAGTGTAATAATAAATAATAAATGTAATAATTTTTATTTCAATCAACTCCTGACGTCATCGACGGTTCTGTTTTAACCTCGAATCCAAATAATCATGCGCGGAGACCTTGCGCCCGAGTGTTAATACAGTTCTCTATCTTCGAAATCTACAATTTTTTTCATTGGTTAAAATATTTTCAGCGAGCTGCCGTCAAAGCCAACTATTTCCGCGAGAATAAAAATTAAGACGTCACCGCGTAACTTTTAAACGGCTTAAAATATTTTTAGGTCCCTTATAGTACCTGTTGGAGGTAAGATTTTCGTTGTTTCATCCTCGTCTTCGTCGATGTTATCGTCGTCACTCTCGGATTCTTCGATTTGGTCGATTGCGTCTATCCTAGGATCGTACATTGTCCGCACTAAAATCGGGTTAAAGTTCTTAAACGATACGCCTCCCAAAAAATCTTTTGTTCCTTTCCGGAGATGATTCACCAGTTTAAAGCGATGGACTACAATGGCATCTAAGTTCAAACACGGAAATGTTTTGTCTCCATGATGCAACGTGCAGCGCTGATACCAGTAGCAATAAGAAGGCAACCGCGAAAAATAAACAGATTGGATTATCGAATCTGACAAATCAGCTGTGTTTTTGTTTAGCACGTCAACGGCGAAGGTTAAGTTACGCGCGTCAACATGCCTGAACAATAGAAGGCACAGATCACAAACGCCTACCACCCACAGCAACGAAATATGGCCATGGGTGAATTCGGATCTGGCGACACTTCCATGATCAATGTGCATTGAGCATTTATCGACATCTTTTCTTCTGCTTTTTCTAACTCTTTTGTCACCTGCGACACGTATCATAGGTGAATTTATTTTAATTTAGTTAACTACCCATAGATAATAGATATTACCAACCAACTAAAAGCTAAAATTTATCTTTTTCTCTGCCAGTGTTCTAAGCTAAACGCAAACAATAGAACAAAACAAAGCAATTGTGGTGGTTCTAAATGTGGGTTTGTTTTTTTATGGATTAAAATAATAAGAATAAACTGTGTATGTATATTATAATTATGGACAAAAACTTAAATTCAAAAGGAGATGAGCGAGTAACCCTGATGACGTTACGTGATTCTGCTGCTTAAATGACCAGAAACATTTGAAATATGGAACAACTTGGGTAGTCTAAGAAAAAGATTTTTTTTTCCATAAAATGCCAAACTTGTATATTGCCATGTAAGAGTATAAATAAAACACGATTTCCATTCTTTTTTATATTACCAGCGTCATATTTATATATCTAATCTAATCATTAAAAAAAAAAAGAAACAATCTATTACAACTTTCGCAAGTCCAGGACGAATACACTGCCGTCGGAAGCGCTGGCGCCGACCTTGTCACCCCTCGAGTTCCAGCAGACTTCGAAAATGCCCCCCGTACCTTTATAGCTATGGACGAGTTGTCCGGACTGCGTGGACCAAATGTGCACGCACTTATCGAAACTTCCGCTTGCCAAAAACTTTCCGTCGGGACTAAAAGCTACCGAATAAACCGGCTCCGTGTGTTTCGTTAAGGTGTGAATACATGCGCCCCTTTCCACGTCCCAAAGTCTCACGGTCGAATCGAAACTCGCGGACGCTAATATCAGATTCATGTTGGGGTTCTGGGTACCGGGACCCGTCGGAGACCATTTTATCGTGTATATTTCTTTGCTGTGCGCCTGTAAGTCATGAACGCACGTGTCGTGTTTCATGGACCAAATTTTTAACGTCATGTCGTCCGAACACGAAGCCAAAAGGTTACCCTGAGGGTCCCACTTGATGGCGTTTACCTCGTTTGTGTGTCCCTGAAATGATTTTATCGGCTTGTCCATTGACAGTTTGCAAACGTGGATGCATTGATCTGTCGAACAGGACGCGAATGAGGTGTTGGTTTGCCAGTCAACGTCCAAAGCTGGGGCTGAGTGAAAACTAAACTGTTGGGTGCACTGACCGCTGGCCGCGTCCCATATTATGGTAGTTTTATCCACTCCCGCGGATAATATGTAATTCCCGCGTTTGTTCCATTTCAATGCGAAAATGGGGCCCTTATGTTGACCGAGTGTGCTCATAAGCATTCCGTCAGTGGTCCAAAGGCGAGCGTAACCGTCGTAACTACCAGTGGCCAGCAAACTGCCATCGCAATTCCAATCCAATGACGTAACATCTTTGTTACTCGGCACTTCGGTGCCTCCTTTTTGGATACAGTGTCGCAACACCAACTGGTTAGGACTCGCGCTACTATCAGACATATCCCAAATCCTGGCGGTGCTATCCCCAGACCCGCTCGCTAACAAATCCGTAGTAGGATTCCATGCACAGATAAACACTTCGGACTCGTGTCCTCGCAAAACAGTAGCCTTGGAAGGAGGTATTTCTATGGAAGTGTCGACCTCCATGTTCTCGTTCTGAGTAGACGCTACCACTTCCTCCCCGTTGGCCTCGGCACCTTCATTTTTGATGGCCTGTTTCTGTTGATTCTGTTGGTTCTGCCTGCTAGCGACAACGTCGGGCATGACAGCATCTATAAGGCTAAGACTTTCGACTAGTCTCTGCTCGGTACCATCTTCTCCTATGCTTATTTCCGCTTCAGTGTATTGCAGACCCTTTTGTAAGATACTAAGCAAAGCGGCGGGAGGGACGAGCGCCCCATTTATGTTGGATTGAGAGATGTGAGATTCAATGCCGAACGTATAGGCGGAATGCTGGAATCCGGACTCCTGGAGGTACCTATATACGAGAAAGTTAACTTCGTCGCTCGAGAAACTCATCTTTATTCAGTTTTATATCGCTGCCGCATAGGGCCAATGTGAAACGGGTTTAATCGCAAGTGCTCAGGTACTTTATTATTCGTCGGGTCCGCCTGCACCCTAATAAATCACATAAGGAGTTATTTCGCGTACTAAACGTCTCTAAATCACTAATAAGCTGGTAATCTCCGAACAAAACGATCCCGAAACACAAACTAACCATAAAAAAGGAGGTTTGGTCAGTTTCGATTAATATAACGGGAAACGAACGTACGTCCGGATTGCCTACCGACACCGACTGTCCATAGTCTGTGCTTTGACAAGTGTCAGCGTTGTCACCGTTAAACAGTCGTGTTTATCCATCGTAAAATGTGTTATTGGTTATAAAAAAATGGGCTGTTGTCATAACACAACCGTTGCCGTATATTGAAAAAATAGCGCGCGCGAAATCCGTCGTTTTTTCAAATATAACGTAGGTTCGGGTGGCAATTCGCATAAATGCGTACGCTCGGTCATCAAAAATTAAACGCGAAAAACGATGCGACGGAAATTCTGGTGGGTTTTCCAGTTGGCGCTTTGCAGCTACCTGGAAATCGTGGTCGCCGATCCGATCACCGAACTGGCGAAAGAAATTGACGACCGGCTCTTGATTTTTACGACCCTCGACGGCACGTTGGCTGCCGTCGAGAAGTACTCGGGAGAGATAAAATGGAAAATCAAGAACAGTACGTACGTCGAAACGATTGATTGTTTATCGATAAACGTACGCCTCGTTCACCTCCTCCCCTTCCCCCGTACCACGCTTTCTCTAATTTTACGCGAAATTGGTTAGTTTACCAACCATTACCAAAATTGTTAGTGTTACAAACTGGTTTTTTATCGCCTACATCTACCTTTTCATCTTTTAAGAACTTATTTATAAGACAAAAACCGGAAAAAATGCTTTCTTAACTTCTAACTTTTTTTCTGAAAATCTGACCCAAGTCAGAAATTTCTTATTTACTATCCAGTCCATACACATTTTATTTTATTCTATTACATTTTGAAGTTTTATACGGGGTGGCTCCAATTCCAATTTGGGACATTTTTTTTTAAATACGTTTGTTTTTTACTAGAACCCGTGATTCAAGTGCCGTTGGACACGTCCAATGCGGTAATCCCGATATTCCTACCGGATCCGAGGGACGGCTCCTTGTACCTAATGGGAAATATGGGCGATTCGTTAAAAAAGCTGCCCTTCAATATCCCTCAGCTGGTGTCTTCGTCGCCTTGTCGAAGTTCCGACGGAATTCTATACACAGGTTTTGAATTATTAACCATTCTAAAGTGGAGATATGCGAAGCCAGAGCTCTATTGATTTTTTCTATTTATTATTTAAATCGCAATAAACGATGGCGCGATTCAGGACTCCCGTTTTAGGTAAAAAAAAGGACACTTGGTACAAATTGGACCCCAAGACAGGCGACAAGGAACAGGTCCTCGGGTGGGGCGATTACAGCCCCACGTGTCCCGTCAAAGTTGATAATTTCGTGTATATCGGCCGAACCGAGTACAACATAATGATGGTGGACACCAGCAAGGCCCAGAGAAAGTGGAACGTCACTTTTTACGACTACACGGCCGCGTCGATGGCCCCCGACGAAATAAGCCGCTACGGTAAGTGTTTTTTCGGCGCAGAAAAAAAAACGTAACCTCAAATCGCCGTCGTCAGATTTGGTCCACTTCACATCGACTTCGAGTGGCAAAACGCTGACTTTGGACCGTAGGCGGGGTAATTTGCTGTGGGAAGGCGACCTCGGTAGTCCCGTGGTGGGCGTGTACGTTTTGACAGACGACGGATTGCTTAAGGTGCCGTTCACGAGTCTGTCAAATTCGACGCTATACCATTTGGCCCACGAGATCGCGTTGCACAGTAGCCTGGTGGACAATCCGAACCACATGAAACTCTAGTGGGTAAATTTTACGGTGGACGAAACAATCTGATACATTCGAGTTCCACCTTTTAGCCCGACCTTATACATAGGGGAGCACTGCCACGGTCTTTACGCGATCCCATCTCTCGTCGACCAAAACGCGATCACCATAACCGCGTCGGATTCCGGTCCGTTACTGTTAAGCGGCCCGAATGCCCCCAGACAGCCGACGCTGTATACGGAACACCCGCTCCCCGGGTACGACTACCAACTGCCCAAGGATTTGGTCAAAGATGGCGGTATCGATTATCAAAGTCTGCCCAATTTTGACAATCGCATCGTCATCTTCAAGGGGCACTATAACGTGCCCAACTATAGCAAGGCGAATTTCGTGGGGCCCAACAAGCCGACCGCTCACGTGCCCCTGATTACCGACGAGAGTACCGCCGCGCAGTACCCGGTACCCGATCGGCCGGGGGTCAAGTTCGTCAAAGTCAAAATACAGAACCGCGTGGGCAACATCACCGGCTGGTTCAAGCTGACCTACAAGGGGATGAAACAGTGGATCAACCAGCAGGACAACAAGGGGCTGAAGCTCGCGCTGATCGTCATGACCGGGATGGTGTTCGGCATGTTCTGGTACCTTTTGATGCAGGTACGGCGGTTTTTTTGGTTTTGCTAAATTCCCAAACTACTATTTAAGGAACAAGGTTGCTACATTGAAAGAAATAACCGAATCCGGGTGTGCTGAGGTCTAGTAAAAAATGTGATTTTTGCAAGATGAGAGAAATAGTAACAAGCATGTTTCTGTCACAGTACAATTATCCCCATAGGTTATGGTTTTCTAAATGCTCCTCATTTAGTGTTAGGAGGGATTGGGATTCTTAATTTCTAAGCGTATATCGTAATTTTATTGGGTATCGTGGAAGTGGGGCAGTTCTAAACAAATCGCAGCGGTTGTACAATTCCTTAATTAGTAAAGTATTTCTTAAAATATTATCTATTGCGTAGTTAGTCATAGTGTGACATCTTTATCTAGTTCATTACTGGATGTAATAAATTGATGCAGGAATTTTGTTTGTCAGTTTTGAAATCCAATTTTTTTTTTCGAAAATTAACAATATTTTTTAGATATGGCAACCTTATTTTGGATCACTAAACGTAGAAAAAATAAGAAAAATCTGTAAATTTATTCTGATTTATTTGAAATATAAGAGTTTATCGGTAACTTTTTTTGTGAAATTGCATTTTTGGCAAAATGTTCGTGGTTTTGCTGTGCAGTTCATCATTTGACATCTTCTTTGCTTTTTCCTCTTGAAAATAGAGTGGTTTCTTCTGTCAAATTTAATGTCATCTAGCGCAATTGTTTGCCATGGACTTGAAAGATCGAAGGGTCGTCGACGACCAATTTTCAACTCGTGGCCACTTTTCAAATGGGTATAGGCAGTATCCATACGAAATTCCTTGATTGACATCCCCTTTTGCCCATTGTGCATTGTGAAGTATGCAATCATTCACAATAGCTACATCCATCATTCTAGTGAAAAGGCACCAATACCATTTTTTCCCTTTCACAGAAATGTGATGTTTCTCTAGGTGGTCAACACCTTCTTTATAATTTCGAGATCGAAATTTTTACATATGACGCTTTTCACCATTTTTTGCACCATAGTTTGACTTAGCTTGAAAATAACACAAGATCCAGATTTTTTTTATTTATTGTGCCCTTCCATTAATGGTACTGGTTATTAAACGATCTTTTTACTGCGTCTTAATTAGGCTCACGTGAGATAATATTTTCTAGCATTGAGCGTTTGAATATGAAAATATATTCATGGTCGTCCTTTGAGGACTTACGTGGACGACGGTTTAACGACGAAGTTGAGTTAAAAGAGGCTGTTTTAGTTCATTTTGCAGACAAACCAACAGAGATGTAATAAGTGTATTGAAGTTAAGGGGGATTATATTGAAAAATAATAAAAAATTGTTACCCTACTTTATTGGTTTCATATTCAGGCCGGGAAATTTTGGAGCTGCCCTCGTAAATACGTACTTACTAGAAGGATCACAGTAAAATACCTCCTTAATATATACGAACATATTGCAATTTAGATAAAATTTTTGAGAACGGTACATATCACCTGATGTTAAAATAAACGCTTCTACTTATTCGAAAATACCCCGCAGCGCCAATGCTTAATCAAATTTAAAACGGTCCGTTTACGTTTTAAATACGTTACGGTCCATCTGATGCAAGACCTACTTAATACAGAATAAACATCTGTTGGGATGTTAAAGTACTGTAAAATACTTGAAACGTCAACGTAATAAATGCACTATATTTTTGGTCGTATTATAACACTGATTGTTCAGGCCACCCCCACGTATATATTTTGCAGTGAGGACGTTGGACATTAATGGGTTAATTGGCTACGGAATTGGGTAAACGTGTTTTAATATAGCGCATACGTTTACGATGAAGAGATGCGAATTAAAAATGCTTGGTTGGCCTTGGTTCCAAAATTATGAAAATCGGAGTTCATTAACTTTTCGTGGGAAGGGTGCCTAATTTACGTTTAACACGGTCGGTTTTCCGTCATCTTCAGGTACGGGAGGTGCAAAACATGTCGCAGAACGGGTCGAGGGGTAACGCGCAGGGCACGTTCGGTCGAAACGGCCAGGTGACCGCCTTCTCCGAGGAATTGCCCGGCGGCCTGGTCAAGGTGGGCAAAATCGTGTTCCATCCGGAGCAGTTACTCGGCAAGGGGTGCGAGGGCACGTTCGTCTACAGGGGCGAGTTCGACAATCGCAGGGTGGCGGTGAAACGGTTACTGCCCGAGTGTTTCACGTTCGCGGACCGCGAGGTGGCGCTGTTGCGCGAAAGCGACGCCCACCCGAACGTCATCCGGTATTACTGCATGGAACAGGACCGCATGTTCCGGTACATCGCGCTGGAACTGTGCCAGGCGACGCTGTCCGAGTACATGCAGGGCCAATGCGACGTGACGTCCATCACGCCCCTGGATATACTGAAGCAGGCCACTTCCGGATTGGCTCATCTGCACTCGCTCGATATCGGTGAGCTGGTTTTTCAACAATAGCGTTACCACTGACCTGGACAACTTGGAAGTCAGGCAACGGCCCCTAAGTCGCCCGATGTCGATTTTTATAAATGTGTAAATGATAATGGTGGAAAGTGGTTGAATTCGAGTTATAGAAAGCTGCCTAGTATCCCGTCAGTATAGAAAACGGACTTCCAAGTTCACTACAAAAATTTTATCATTACATTTTAAATAGATAAATTAAGCAAACTTGACTCGCTTTTTGGGGTTATGTAGAAATTTACAATAGATAATACTAAGCACTAATATATAAAACAAGAAAAAATAAGTGGTCCCCCTCATGAAACAAATATCGTCTTAGAAAATTGTTTTTTTACAGAGTAAATTATTAGCTGCAAATCAAAAATCGTAAAAAATATGGCTAATTGGGTCAAACGGTGTCATAGATCGCATTAAGACCTACAATTTTTGTATTTGCAGTTTTCGTCCATCACATACGCTGCTCGGGATATTTGAAAAAATCGATATTGAAATCGTTATTTCGGGCGCTGGCAAGACGCGATGACGTCATTGATTATTAAGGCGCATGGTTTCAGAAAAAACGTATTTTCTCGAAAACCATTTACTATTTTCAAAAAATTCTTGGAAATTCAAGGAAGCGTGGAAAATCCAGGGCTATAACTTCTACTTCGAACAATGATTGTGTCATATACAGGGTGTGTGTCGACTTGTCTAGACTTGCAATAACAAAGTTTTGTTTCGCAGATAAAAACAGTGGTGCATTCACGCACCAGTAAATATTTTCAAAAAATAAAGCATAATCAATATAGCATTTGCAATGTATGTTTTCTGCGTTGTAATCTACATGCTATAGGCTTAACAAAAATGACGATACAAATCCAAAATATTTTTTTTTACTAATTTGGATTTACTTGAAAATGTGATACCGCTTTTGTTAACTTTTTAGTAATATAAATAAGATCTTTCCTTCACCCATAAATTAGAGATTTCTACGGTTTTGTGTCCTTTAGTAGTGATAAAAAAATTCTAAATGGATGTGCAAAAATATAGCCTGGATGTGACAAAAAAAATCGTAGAATAGGTGGTGCACCACTGGGACAAAATGGGTTAAGCGTTCATATTTGGTATAACGTGTTTTCATACATAAACACAAACAACCGCATTGAACACAAAAAAATGAGCAAGTTCCCTATTGTCCAACTCAGGGAAAACCTGCAAGTCAGTGAATTATCAATTATTATATTTATCCCCCCTCCTTCAGTTCTTCCGGTTAAAGGTTTTGAATAACTTTTGAAGCCGGGCCTCTTCAGTCCACAGGGACATAAAGCCGCACAACGTGCTAATCTCTGTGCCGAATAGCCGCGGCGAAGTGAAAGCGATGATCTCCGACTTTGGTCTGTGCAAAAAGCTGCAGGTGGGCAGGGACTCATTCTCGAGACGCTCGGGAGTGACGGGCACGGACGGCTGGATCGCACCCGAAATGATGAACGGCGACGGCCGCACGGCAAGTCTTCAGTTTCTTTTTTTTATCTCTCTCTTTATCGGTCGTTTTGAATTTGTCTCTCGTCTCCTCCCACATTGCAGACGGCGGCGGTGGACTTGTTCTCGCTCGGTTGCCTCTACTATTACGTGCTATCGGACGGATCCCACCCGTTCGGTGACGTCCTACGACGTCAGGCCAACATCCTAATGGGCGAGTACGATCTGTGCGAGCTACGCGGCGAACACTGGGAAACGGAACTTCGCAAACCGCTACTAGAGGCGCTGCTATCTTCCGATCCGGAACAGAGACCCTCGTGCGGCACAGTGCTCGCCCACCCCATGTTCTGGACGAGCCAGAAGATTTTGGCGTTTTTCCAGGTGAGCGTGTTTTCACTTCAAATTACGAGGGCAGCGCCAAAATTTCCCGGCCTCAAGTTCAACACACTTATCACACAATCCCTTTACAGAATAAGAAGGAGAACTTTGGCAGTACACACCATCCAGCCTTTTTTTTAATAATTTTAGGTGCTAACCCTTCTTTTGTCAAAAACTTTATGACTGCTGTATACTCAATTTGGGTTATTTGCGACATTTTTTCGGACATCTCTTGTTTAAAATGCTGTCAATAAAAAACTATATCATACAAAAATGGCTCGTGCCAAGCTTTTTTGCCAAACTGTATAACCAAACTAATATCTAGGTCGCTCGCTTGCTCCCAGAACTCTAGTCAAGTCTTTCAGTTCTACAAGTACATTCGATTGCCTCCACCTCTGCCTACAGGTACATACTAAGTTGAAGGAAGTAAGGCACCTTCGGCATTTCTAAAATCACGTTAACATAATTGAAATTTATTAATACTTATGTACACATTTCTACAAATATTTTTATTACTAATAACTTCTTTACTTTGTCGCAAGTCTATTGCCTATATTCTTTTGGTCTCCTTTTTTACACATGTTTGCAACTCCTGTCTTGTATTTGGTCCTTCAAGTGTTCATGACTATTAATTAATTAACTTTTCCTGATGCTTGATATTTTGTTTCAGTGCTTTTGAGATATCTTTTTGCAATAACTCGAATATACATATATTTATTAACCTTTAATCCTATAAACTGAATAATGTTATAAAATACGACGTTTCTGCACTAAACATGCAAAATACCTTTTTTGTGAGCTACTATAATTTTACCTCGTTCCGTTACACCTTAATACATAAAGTCGTCGTGAAAAACTATTTGTTAAGGGGTTATGTTCCTGTTCTGCATTACCCTATGAATACCCTTCCACCCACAATTATCTGAATTCCTGTTTAAAAAAAAGTAATAAAATGTTAACTTAGTAAGATAAATCATTTTAAATAAGTTTCAAACTTGATATCCCTATAAAAATCGCTGGTTCTGACCTAAACATTCTGTCACTCGATCAGCCGTTGACGGATCGGCTTTTACAAACCGCCCTCCCGCCCGAACCCGAACGGCGTTCGGGATTTTCGATCATTTGAACATTCGTTCATTTGCTACCATCTCGGAGAAACGAGACACGTCGGGTTCATCCCTCGTCATATTTCGTCTCAGGACGTGAGCGACCGCGTCGAGAAGGCGGAGTCGGACGACAGGGTACTGCAGGCGCTGGAGGCGAACGGTGCGCCTGTCGTGAAACTCGATTGGCGCGCCCACATCCACGAGGAGGTGGCCAAAGACCTGCGCAAATACCGCACCTACAGGGGCGAATCGGTGCGCGATTTGCTGCGCGCGCTGCGCAACAAGAAGCACCACTTCCGGGAACTGACGCGCGAGGCGCAGCGATCGCTCGGCGAGATCCCGGACGCGTTCACCCGCTACTGGACCGGGAGATTTCCGTTGCTGCTCGCGCACGCGTGGGTCTCGATGCAGTGCGTCGCGAGGGAGAACGCGTTCGGGAATTATTACGACCCGACGTACCGGTACTCGTCGGACAGGTTCCGGCAGCAGGTTAACAGGTACGTGGGGGCGTACCCGTTGACGTCGCCCGGTGACGTCAACCTCAACCATTTCGAGAAGAAAAGAAACGACGCGGATACCTTCAAGGGTTACGGGACGAAGAACGAGGGAGGTTTGTACAGAAACTTGAGCCCCAGGACGGTGGACGCTGGAGATATACACGTCAACGTGGACGCGACGCAGCCCTCGAGGCAGGCGACGACGAGGCGGGGCGGGTTCGGCCTCGCGTACCGCCGTTTCGGCAAAAGGAAGAAGAAGGCGGACGAGCCGCTGCTGTGGGCCATTAGGGACGACAAGTAGCACCTCCGTACTCGTGTTTTTAGGTTAAGTTTCAACGCACTTTACTGTGATATGTGCCTTTTTAAATTTACACACGCGCACGCACGCATCGTGTATTTTTGTCTTTTTAAGTTTTTGGGTGAGCGGCATGGCGGACCAAATAAATTATTTTAAGTAAAAATGGCGTGTTTCGCGGCGAACTCCCCCCCCCCCGGAAAAATGTTTTTTTTTTTTTATGTACAAAATTTTGTAAACTACATATACCGAGTGTTTCAAATTCGACTCTCACCATTTGGATCTCGGTAACGTTAAAAGATACAGGGTGACTTAAATTAGGGCATAATTTCATAATATTCATTTCACGATCACAATAAGAATTACATTTTTTCTTGTTTCCTTCGCAAACTTCTTAAACATGGATGCCCCTCATATTTGTTGGAAAAACTGCTTGAATTGTGAGTATGAAATACCTGAAACCAAGAAGTCCATGACTAAAAGCTCTCATTGTGCTATTAAATTCCATTTAAAAAATATCTCTTACGGGAAACTACCTCGATTGATAATCAGTTTTTTATTGTTTTTCTTTTTTGATTTATTGCGTGATTCATATCTTTGTATGTAAAATTGGTATACTAAATTACATACTCGGTTAACAGCTCAGCTCACCTTCACCGAGCTTAAAATGAAAACGGTTTTATTTATTTATTTATTTAAAAAAATTAAACTTAAAACCAAAAGTTTCAGATTTTCTGTCGTATTTCCTTGAGTAACAAAAATAACTTGATTTTCAAAACAGAACATTTTTGAACTCTCCGATGCGCAACTCTGCCCTAATTTAAGTCACCCTGTATCTTACCGTTACCGAAAGTCGAATTTGAAACACCTGGTATAAAATATTGCATTTTAAAATTTTTAGAACCCCAAGGTCAACTGAAATTTAGAAAAATATTACTTTAGTCTACAATCAAAAAACGACTGGTTAATTTTTCAAAAAACAAAAACTTCCACAGGCTGCTGTAATACTATTTACAATATTTACAATCGAACTTTGTGACGTTCCGCCAATCATCTTGTTGGCTTCTTCAGAGTTTAACTGAAACTGGCTCACATTCCACGCTATATCTGCTTAAATATTGTCTCTGATGACTGATTCCCAAAATGGTGAAGGGTAAAGTCTACAGATTCTCGGATTTTTCGTTAATAGAATTGATTACATGCAAGAATTGTAGTTCTATCAAATAAAATTGGATGCTCGACGAGTTTATTAGTCATAGTCTTAAGGCTCTTTCATATTCTCTGAGCCTAATTGATATTTTTCGTCCGTTCTCTGTAATGTATTCTTTGCTGCATATACATGGAATGCTATAAACTCCTGGCATCTCATACAGAATTTTGTCTTTGAAGAATAGAAGATGTTGAGAGCCTTGAAGAAGGCAACAGGATGATCGGTAAAACGCCAGGAAGTTGGATTCATTAACAACGAACACAGGATAAATCCTGAAGATTTGTCAATACTACATTAGCCCGAGAAAGTTACTTTGAAAAAAAAAAAAAAAGTTAATTTTGATTTAAAATCGAACAAACGTTTCTGACTGATGCAATTTTAGGCAGAGACTTTCTTAAACTATTTTAATAAGAGATAAAAACAACTCAAATATAGTTATTCCTACTCAAAGTGGGTTGAAGGATAGCCGAAGAAACCTAGGTTGAGTTAAGATCTGAAGAAGCCAACGGGATGATTGACGAAACGTCAGCATATAAGCAACCGAGGCAAGAGAAATCCAGAAGTTTTGTACATAGTAATAAAAAAAGACGGTTTATTCTTTACCTGTTCCTCGAGTTTTTAAATTAAATTTCAGACATCCAGGCGACTGATATCTTTAACAGCATAATTGAAAACTTTCTTGAGTATAACTAAAATAAAATCGAAAAACATAGGAAAAAGAACCAAATAATTCACAAAGAACAAGAAATAATAAAAACATGTCTAAATTTTAACGGAAAAAAGCGAAACCCAATTTGAGACCTCAATATGAGGCGTTTCAAAAAAATTTAAAATTCAAGTAATTTTTTTCAGCACATTATAGGCGGGTACATATGAAATCATAATCCTGGTTCTCTGCCAGGTTCCTTGTAAAAAATAATTCTATCAAATAGAATATTTTTTCCATTTAGCAAAAAACGCTTATCTTGCAATTCGTAAAACAATTAAAAAGCGTGACAAATCAAGTTAAAACTTTTATTAAAATAAAACATGTGCTGGTACGTTTGGACAATTTTCTATCAAAAGCGAAACACCTTTAAATGGAATATATTACGTAACACTAATTTAATCACAAACGCTCGCGAATCGCGACAAATTTACACCTATATACAAAATAAATAAGGTACCCACAGACGCAATTACTTGACAAACGAGGGAAACGGGGGGATTGACTTTAGATCGCCAATATCGAAATTATCTACAGTCTTTTCCACCTTCTTAACCTTTAACTTTTCATATTTTTTTTCGACTTTTGCCTTCTCGAGGTACAGTTTCCTGTACTCTTCGCCGCTCTCGCGTATTTTGCCCTTGAGTGTATCGATCTCGGCCTGCTGCTTGACGACTTTCGAATTGATCTCCTCAACTAACCTTTTCAATTCTTTGATATCACTGTCGTGAGCTTTCCAGTGGCCGCCGTGTTCCTGGCCCAATATAGCCTTTAGAGACTGTTTCAGGATAGCATTTTCTTCCCTGAGCCTGCATATTTCCATATCTTTATCAACGTCGTTTCTATCGACGCATTGCGACGTATTTAGGCCGCTGGCGCTGCCGCATCCACAAAAACTAAACGGAGAACTGGCACCATGGACCTCGTTCTCCGCCCCGATGTAACACAGCTGGTAGATTTCCAAGGGGCTTTTCGGCAAATTGAGTTCTATAAACCACCGGCTTTAAACGAAACCCCGGCCGTTACGCCGCCCTACTTACGGTTAAAAGTGACGGAGCAAAGGTCGTCAACGGGCGATACGGGCGCCCACTCGAAAACGAGGTAGTCTTTGACGAAATTCCACCCTAGCTTAAATATGGCCACCCGATCGCCTTCCTGAGGACGGTAGTCGTTCAACTTGTATTTACAAAACAAATCTTTGTTGCAAGGATACTGGTCGGCAACGTTTACAAATTCGACCTGGGAAAAAGAAAGTGAACACCCCAGCCCCCACGTAAGGAAGCTCATTTACCGCTTGCCGCAGCGACGTGAATTTCGATTCCAGGCTTTCGGCAGCCATTACGTCGACACGACACTACACCAGGCCAGCGGAACGATTTCCGCCAATGTTCGCACCACGAAAATCGAACCTTTCTCAATCACACAAAGATGTTTATCAACAACGATAACAACGCAACATGGCCGCCGCACAGATCGAGCGGATACGAGCATACCGCGATTTCACGTTTTACTGTGCATGCGGCGCCATCTGGCACAAATATTTCGAATTATCCGTGCTGCACTGCTCGCACAGAATTGAGTAGCAGAATAAAAATTTAGTAAAAGATCTCGTACGCTGGAAAAAGTTATCTTAACAGTTTAGGATTCTGCCGGCAGTTGAAACATTTAAAAACGACAATTTTCCAAAACCGTTAAAACTAAGCAACCAGAATCGTGCCAGACGAAGTTACAAGCTTATTGGAACCGATATTTTTGTCGAGCAGCTTACACGCCGCGGGGGAAATCCAACCGTTCGAGCGGCGTCTTTAGAAAAGCGAAGAACGCGACAAGATGCAATCCTCGGTGCTGGGTACAGATTCGTACGGGCGACGGCGACCGCCAAGAAAACTATCGTCGCAATATATCCCTCATTCTTCGAAAGCCAGTTGATAAGGATAGGTCGCGCGCGCGCCGCTCGCGTATTTAAAGAAAGTGCGAACCGAAACTTGTTTTAATTCGTCGCGAAGTGTGCTGCGTAGCTTTTCCGTGTCCCGATTGTGCTTTGTCTCGCGCGCGCGCCGACATGTCGTTCTTCAAGACGATGCTGAAGGGAAACTCGAAGCACAAAAGTAAGCGAGTGCGATTTTTTTTTTATTTACGCGCGGTTAGAAACGCGACGGCCGAAATCGAATCGGGAGCGAATGAGGTCGCTTCCTATTCGCGACGTCGACGAAGGTTGAACGCGCGGTCCGACTCGATTGTTTCGTTACTTCATCTTTTTATTTAGAGATCGGCTATCCAAGCTCGTGTCGGACGATCCCGGAATTAATTTTATGCGCGTGTACATAGTACGGGACTTCTTGGAAACGGCGTGCGTTTCAAGTAAAAAAAATACACCCGCGGCTGTTGTCGCGAAAACCGCGGACGTCTCGACCAAAACGTTATTATCTGCGTTTTTAGTCGAATAAATTTACGAAAACATGAAATGTTTATTTGCAAACAGGACAGAGTTTATCAGTACAAGAAAATCGCATTAATATACAGTCGAAACTCGAAATTGAAGGGACTGCTTTTTTCGTTATAAGGTTAATTTGCCAATGCGCATCTCGTGCTTTGGCTTGTATTTTCACCATTTCTTCGAGAAGGGCACCTTCTCCATGATACATACATCTTCTTCTTCCTCTTGGTGGTCTTCCTCACCCTTTCTTGCTTGTTGTAATATGGCTTCCTCTGTCAAGTCTGCTGTTGTAGGCAAATCCTAATCCATCACCATAAAATCTTGCAACTCCTCACTTGTAAACGTAATTGTTGTTTGAAAGAGAAGTAATATTTTTCTCCCTTTTAATTCTTGTCCCAGATCAACTTCTTCATTTGCTTCTTCCTCTTGGTGCTTTTTCTCATCCGTTCTTGCTTCGCCACTTATCTGTCCATAATTTATGCAATGTCTCTATTTGAACTTCCCCAACCATTCTTCCGAAGACTTGAAATCGATAATGTCAAGCTGTTCAGCAAACTTTTCTGCTTTTAGTTTTACGATAGGTCCAGAGAGTGGTACATTTTTAAGACGTTGTTGCTGTTGGAACCACTGCAACATTGCCCGATCCACATCTCAAATTTTAGCGTTTTTCAGTTTTTTACTAGAACTGCCTGCCGCATCAGCCTAAATGATTTTTTCTTTGCACTTCTAAATCGTGGATACAGTCGACGGTGTAAGTCCGTATCGACGTCCCACATCACTTTTCTTTTCTCCCCGTTCTATGGGAATGGGAATCAGTCATCCGTGAATCTGAAAATTGCCGTTTTCGTGGACCAGTTTTTTTTTCATTTTAAATAATATCGTAAACAGTGTCGAGAGAGAGAGAGAGTTTCAAGTTTCGTCTATCAGTGGAAATCACAATTACTGGTGCAAATTTTTATATTGACTTCGAAGTTCGGCAAAACGAAAATTAAGTTTTATAGTGGTCCTCAGGAGCGAAGCGGCCTTTTTTAAAATATGAAAGCTGCCCGTCACTACGCAGATGCCCCGCTCAGCTATGAGATTTCAAAGCAATCTTATTTCGTTTTCAACGAAACTTCCACGGGCTACTGCAATACTATTTACAAATATTCACGTTGACACGTAGTGTTGCGACATCTATGACGCGAACCGCCAAGCTTCTACGCATTTCAGTTGTCCGTGACGATTGGAGACAAACGTCGTTGTTCTCGGAAGCGAAAACCCGAAACGTTTCGCTCGTGTCCATGGGCGAATCTCTGATTAATTTTAATAATTATCGTTTTTGTAATTACGAATGCTGAATGTGTAGAGACCGTGTCCGACCTTTAAACGATTTTATTGTTAGGCGCGGATTTTAATATGCACTTCCTTGAAAAAGGATCGGGTTCTGCTTGGTACCATTGTCTCGTGCGGGCGGCCGAAACTCCAGTGGCGTAGATTCTCCGAACGTTAAAAATGGCGACGAGAAAGGTAGCGTTTCGAAATCGCACGTCCCCGCAAACAAAAGTTTATTGTTATTAACTGAACAATATAATTACGCGCCGACAACGGCTTTTATCTGCGCCATAAAAAGAATCCCATTAAAAAAATATACTTATGGACGTAAACAATGTTCTTGCATAGAGTTTAAACAGATTCTAAAACATCTCGTGTCGCAGCTGAACGGATGACGTTTACAAGGCCAATAAACAAAATAAAAGTGAGGTTAGATTACTTCGTTGCTTAATAATTAGATTAAAAATGGTCTCGCTGCTTCGTTGTTTTTCTTCAACTGGCGGCCCAATAAAACTCGAGCTCAATCCAGTCAAAAAATGAAAAAAAAATTATATTGTGGGAACCTCCCAGATTATCAATTTCTACAACTTACCAATTAAAGTTTTCGGACGCTTTTATCTTTCGCTTGTTATTGCATCAAAACGCAAATAACAACTGTTGCTATTTACGAGCACACATTCGCGATTTGATGTGCAAACATAATGCCCGATGACGAACCAAAAGCTGACCTCGTGATACCCATTAGCAACTCGTTTCGCATTTGTTTGTTTTTGGACGAAACCGCTTGAATCCTATGAGCGATTTCGGCGCACGGTATGCAATGTCAAGAGGTTACGGTCTTCACAGATACTAAGATTATCCAGAGCACGGACCACGGAAACCAGTGGGTCTAACTGTCACCGCAAATGACAACTAAACAAAAGTCTATGACTTCATATTTTTGGTCTGCGATTACCAGATTTCTTCGGTCTGCGGCGAAGAACTATTGTCTTGCAATGGACGCCCGTTTATTAAAAAAAAAAGTTTAAAAAATATTAAAAAAAAAAAACACAAAAAAGACATACGTTTTTTGAGTTCACTGATAATTTTGAAATATTTGTAGGTATACAGGATGTTGGTATTTTCGTGGACAAGTAACCACTTTTGTATATTAAATGACACACCGTGTATATGAAGGTATTTTTAAAGTTTTCTTAATATTCATGGTTTTTGAAGGTTTTTATCCATTACGATAGTTTGGATCATATTTTTTTAAATGGAACACCATGTATATTATAAATGTGTTTACTGGGATATCTTATTCCTATTACAATGTTTTAACACACTTTATGTTTTAGTCCACTCGTTTTTGACAAATCGGCAAAAGTAGGAAATTTTTATATAACTTCAAAGAGTGCCCTGACTGACAAATAAAAATATGTTTATGTTTGATATATTAGTAAATAACGTTGGTGGTTGAATTATTTTAAGCATACGTAAAAGGAGTGATATGCTTCAAGTATACTTTCTGAATAATAAAAGTGTAACCGCAACACGTCGTCAGAATATTTTATGTCAGAAAATTGATAGTGTTCTGTTTTATACGTCACAAAAAAATTTGGCTACTAACCCTAGATTTTGTTTTTTGTTTGCCTTGATATCTTTAAAAACAAACAAATTACAGCCAATTAAAATGTACATGGGATTTAATGTGATTCGTTCGGCAGAATATATATATAAAATGCACCTAGATAGTTGTCTCTTAATATGCATATAAAAATTTTAAAAAAAGTTTGTTTGTGCAAGAGCTTTTAACTGTAAGTTTTTTCCTAACAGGTTTTTAATTTGTAGGGTTCCTTTTTTCTTTGGGAAAAAAAAACGTTGTTCTAAAAGCGACCATTAAATCACCTTCCGGGTCGTTTTCTGTCGCGAAAAACCCTTTTTCTCAACCCGATATCGATAAATACGAACCACGGCCAACTTTTCTGACGCAATCGCGAATCGGGTTGTCGCCAGGCCTCACTTACCTGCCCCAACGACTTAATAACCGAGCAATTTGGCGGACTTTTTCTTTTTTCGAAATGGGACCGGCTTACGCGCGGGCTCGGCTGTTGCGTCAGCCGGAATTTGGTGCGAAAACTGCTAATTTTAATTCAATTTGAATTTTCAATTGCAGAACTATCGGAGGAGCAGGCGCTGCAAAACGCGAAGGAGACGGCGGAAGCCGAACACGTGGCGGAAAACGACGAAGAAGTCGTCACATTCAAACTGAAATATTTGGGTAAGCCGCCGAAGGAATCTAATGGCGTAGTTTTCGTAGTTTTTTATTTGCTATAACAATTGTTTAGTTATGAAGCAAACATACATATTTCTTAAGCTTTTCGAAAATATATATTAGTATAAAGTTACTTTGAAAATTAAGCTGAATTTTTTTTTCATTTTTTACCGTATTTGCAACAGTAGGCTATAGTAAATCAACTAAATCAACTAACTATACCAGAGTGACCTAACTTAATTTCGAAAAAAGAGGATGAAAATATATATTTTTAAAATAATAATGTCTTATTAATATGGTACATATAAGTTGGCTCATCTATTAAAAACAAAAATGTGTCAAAAACTTAGGTGACTGTCAGTTTTTAATTATATTTTTATTACTTGTCTATGTGTTCTTTCTGTTTTAATTTAATTAATTTTCTGTAATAATGGCAGCGTGTGAACGTTCCGAAAAATATGACATGTTGGTATGTTCCAGCTGAGAACATGTAAGTTTTTTTTTCAAGGAAACTTTGACAGGCTACTGTAATACTTTTTACAAAATTTCTGGATTCCTCCTGAGTCGGTTTTTGCTTATACTTCTTTAGAACTTTTGATATGTGGTCAGTGATGTTTTGAATGTAAGGAAGGACCACAGTGGCAAGTGTAGGAATGATTTCGGCCTCATTGCTAAAAAAAAAGTACCACATGTAAGTTTTATAGTTAATATAATTTTTATATTATAGAAAAGTGTTTTGTCTATATTAGATAGTTTCCAGATATTGTCGGTATACAAGCGAAAGTGGCCATGTCCAAATTTTTATTTAATTTAAATTTAAAATATATTTTACAGAAATTATTGACCAGTCCCATTTTTTTATAAATGAATTCCATAAGTTGATATTTTGCAATTGTTCAAGTCCATATGTAAAAAAAAACTTACAAGAGAAAATGACCGAGTTCTCCTGATGTTATTACTTCGAAACTCCGAATACATAGCTGCCCTTTTTTATTTATCGTTCAAGTTTTTTCTATAGGAATTATAACACATAACTTTTTAAAAAAAGGCCATTCACACATGGAAGCAGATTCGATGCATAGTGCAATACAACCGACCAAAAGGTATATCCCTGTCTTTTATTTAAATGACTAGAAAAAAAAATAACCAGAGACGTAAAATCAATGCTGTATGACTCGCTGGTCCAGTTAAGGGTAGACCCAGTAGTACGGCAGATTTAAAAAAGTGCTACTCAGAACCATTGCCAATATCCAAAAAAGGATGACTGAGTTAAACTTTACCGAACTGTAGTTATTCCCAATGAGTATCATGGCTGGCACATGAACTTAAAACATAAAAGACAAAATGCCCCGAACCTGCACAAGATGAAAGCAATGATGATGATCGGTCCGGCCGATGTTACTTTTCAAGTTCGGGAATTTTTAATCTTCATAACACGTAGAATTTTAATTTAATTTTCGAAAAGACTCAACAAGGACCCTCTGGGGTTGGGATATCGTGTTTTATTTTTGGGGGCAACGAATAACCTACCGAATTTATGAACGAAGTCTTACAGCATGTAAGCATGACATTCTCGAGGAAGTCATTCCAGAATTACTCTCCCTTAGTATATTATAATTGCTTCAGCAAGATGGTGCCCCCAGTCATAACTCTGGACGATTTTTGGATGACAACTTCCTCAAAAATGGATAGGTACCAACGGACCTGTAAGATGGCCTCCACGATCCCTGGATCTTTCAGTTTTAGATTTTTTTTCTGGGAATAGATGCAAAATAAAGTATATAAAACAATAAGTCGAAAATTATTACAAATAGTGGTCCATAACGTATAAAACACATTTAAATAACGAATTTTAAAGTAGGGAGTTTCATGTGCTTAATTTTCAAAACAACTGTATACACTATTATATATATTTTTGAAAATATTTCCAATTAATGTAAAAAAATAATATACAGGGTGTTTCATCTAAAAACATATAGGTGTGCTTCAAAATTAATAAACGGTTAGGGCAAGTAAAAAACAACAAACTACGCCACTGGATTCTACGGAAAAGTTCTATAAGAACGTTTTTTAAACTCTTCGATAACTTAAAAGACAAAGGAGATACTATGGTGGTCCCAGTATCGATCGTTTTGGATTTCACCCTGTATCTCAAAAACCAAGACGGCCATGAGAATTTGGTTGACGGCATCTTTAATTTTACAACAAAATAGCACAGTGTCCGTTGACTTGAATGAATTGAATTAATATAATCATAGTTATATATGGTGTTTCACGGTTAATGGTACTTAGACCTTTGGATTGCTAAGATATTATATATTATATTATTACATATATGCTATAGAACCAATTTCGATATTAAGAAATAATGTATTAACCAAAAACTTTAACTTTCTTCTGGCTTCAGCGCCGTAGCAATAAAAATCAATTGTTTCGGTCGAAAAATGAAGAAAAAAATTAATTTCTCTAAAAATAAGTATAGGAAAACATTATTCAAAAACAATCATAAAGCGTTAAATAGCTGATCGAAAATTTGGATAATATATATGGTGTCCCATTTAAAATTTCAATGTTAATGCTACTTTTTCGGAGAAGCGGCAACGTCGCAGCGGCCAAAATATTTTAGATCGATGGAGCATCGCCGCTTATGAAACTCCCCGTACACAGTGTGCCATTTAAAAGTTCAATATTCAATTTCGATTCAAATTCGGAATCGCTGCGTCAAATCCGTCGAAAACTTATATACAGTGTTCGCATTTTTATGTTGAAATAATCAAAAAAGATATAAACTTTATTTTTCAGAGGTGCGATTCCTTGGGGGATTTTAAAAAACAACATTCGGTTTATTTGTGACACACAAAATACAAAAATAAATGTGGTTTTTAAAATCCCGATTCATTTCTTAAAACGATGATAAGAATGATCTCTTGACTTTGTTCCGTTCGACTCATTATAATTAAACTAAAAGTTAAATAATCGTCATTTACTATAAAATCTAAAAAACTAGCAAACCTAATCGACTGTTGAATGTGACCATTTCTTATCGAATCTTGTTCCCTTTGAAAAATCGCTTTTGTTTTTTTTTTACGTAAAATTGTTCCCTAATTATTATTTAAACCATTACAACATTATTAATTAAACTATTAGTAGGTATTCTACGTATACAAGATTTCCAATGTAAAAAAAGCCAAAATACAGCATTACCGATTAGTTTCCCAAACGATTTTGCCTCAAATACGCCCAAAAGATAGAAAAATTCAGATATAATATAAAAGAATCTTTTATGACAATCTGCACCTGCCAGTGCAGATTGCGTTCGCTGCTAATCCACCGTTTCCCATACGTTGCGGAATTTCTCGTAAATATGACAACGCTGTCCGAATCAGGTCGATATTTTCGTCGTTAATTTTTAGTTTTTCGAGTTTGCGAGGAATACGAGACGTTTTCTTTTCGCAGGGAGTACCGTGGTTGAGAAAGTGAGTGGTGATATCAGCACCGATGCGGTGAAAAATATCATCAAAACGGCGAAGGCGTCGAGGAAACAACAAAAAAAGTTGCAGAGGGTGGTCGTCGCCATATCCGGCAAGGGAATCGCGGTCTCGGACCTCCAAGGCAACGACATCTTCAAAGTTTCGATTTACCGGTAACCTATCACCTTCCAAAAAATTCAATTTTAGCGAAACCTAAGTAGTCCGGTCGAGAAGTGCATTTCCTGCGAAATTTAGTTGCCCGTCTCCTAAAAATATGGTTGGTGGTTCATTCGATCGGGAATATCATATAGAAAAAGACCTTTTTTGGATTTTTTTCGCCGATAAAAACTACAATTGTTATTAACAAAAAACTAAGAAAAGAAATAGGCGTTCAGCTTTTTGACAAAATCCCGAAAACTGTAAGTGATTGCTCAAATATTACAAACGATTCTGAAGGAGCAAGAAAATTCGGTAAGGAAGTTTCGGACACCCGAAATTGTGGGACGAATATTAATAATTTTTATTTATCGTTGAAAATCTTTAAATTAATTTTTGTATGCAATGAATTATTAATTTTAAAATGTGAAAAAATTCAGGTGCTACCTACAGACTTGAAAGAAAAAGATTCCGCGGTAATAAAAGTTGCATCGTTGTTTTTCAAAAAGTTATTCAATTGTTAATCACCGTTTTTTTTTTTTTGAGGGGTTTCTATCGTCATAAAAGACCGTATAAAAATTTAAATAATTTTTCTATAGATTTTTCCTTTCTTGGAGCCCTTTTCATTAATCTACTTAAGATGATGACATCATGAAACTTTTAAAAAATATTTTGTTTCATTAATTATTAATTTTTAAATGAAAAAAATTATGATTAATTAAGATTATGTTGATTAAATGATCTTTTTTTATTAATTTTAAACTATTGCTAGTTTCAACTTAGTGTTAGGCATCATATTATTATTTTTTTAATTTTTTCTTGCCCTTTGTTTAAAAATTGTTTATAAACAAATAGATTAATTTACTATTAAACTTTTTTTAGCATATTGTTCACATAAAGAAATAATGATTTAAAATAAAAAAATTCTTAACAATATCTTACTGTTTATAATCACTTTTATATTTTTATTTAAATAAATTAATAATAATAAACATAAAAAAAATTGTTGATAACAAATTGTTAAATGAATAAATTGTTGATTTTTTTTTTCTTTAATTATATTTAGAAATGCAAATAATGAATTAAAAAAAAAAGATTCCTTAAAAATTTATTTAAATAAAAAAATATAAAAAAGCAATTATAAACAATAAGATATTGTTATTAAGAAAAAAAGAATAAAAAAAAATCATTATTCCTTTTTGTTAACGATATGGTAATTTTTTTTAATAGTAAATTAATCTATTTGTTTAAAAACAATTTTTGAACAAAGAGCAAGAAAAAAATTAAAAAAATAATAATATGATGCCTAACACTAAGATGAAACTAGTAATAGTTTAAAAATTATAAAAAAATATTATTTAAGCAACATAATCTTATTTATTCATAATTTTTTAAAGTTAATGAAGTAAAATATTTTTTAAAAGTTTCATGATGTCATCATCTTAAGTAGATTAATGAAAAGGGCTCCAAGAAAGGAAAAATCTATAGAAAAATTATTTAAATTTTTATACGGTCTTTTATGATAATAGAAACAAAAAAAAAACGATTATTAACAATTAAATTTCTTGCTCTTTCAGAATCTTTTGTAATATTTGAGCTATCAATTATAGTTTTCGAGATTTTGTCAAAAAGTTCAACGCCTATTTTTTTTTCAGTTCTTTGTTAATAACAATTGTAAATTTTGTAGGCGGAAAAAATCCTAAAAATGTCTTTTTCTATATGATATTCCCGATCGAGTGAACCATCAACCATATTTTTAGGAGACGGGTAACTACTTTTCGCAAGAACTGAACTTCTCTACTAGATTAAAGGAGGACTAACCCCAAAAAAGCCAATAAAAAAATTCCAATCAATTAACGCACGCTTTTGCGTCTAACCCGACGCTTAAGGTTGCGACACCCAAGGCCGGTCCGCGTTGCGCGTTATACAAATTTTCGGGAGAATTTCGTCATTCGGCGACGAAAAAAATGACGCCGTAGAAAAAGCGGCCGCCGCGCCGTCGGCAGAACTTTTTGCGTCTCGGGGTTATCGTTCGCGCGATGTGGAAACGGCCCGAACTTTGCCCGCCGAGCGTTTCCAAATTAAATTTAAATGAAACATACGCACGCATCGCTAAAACTATAAATAGCGCGTCTCTACACTGTCCGATTATCGATAACTCGACCGAAAGTGTTTTAACGGAACCTTATCGGTAAAACAGAAACCTCTTTTACCTCATATCGCGGTTGCCTGGCAACGCGATCCGTGCCGCTTTTTTGAGGTTAGCGGTCGATCGTATTTTGCAGGATATCGAACTGTGCGTCAGACGGCACGCACCGGCAAGTGTTTTCCTTCATTTCCACCGACCAGAACGACATCAAGGAATGCCACGCGTTCCTCTGCTCCAAGAGGAAAATGGCGGAGACGGTGACGTTGGCGGTGGCGAAAGCGTTTAGCGCGGCTTACCAAGCGTGGCGAGTGTCGCCGGCCACGCAGGAGTTTCAAAACAACTTCAAGAACGCGCAACAAGCTCCGACGCACGCCGATCGCACCGACGAAAGTGGCAAGAACGCGATCGTCGAAGAGAAACTTATCAATTTCGATAGCGACGGTATCGACGATGACGAAGACGAGTTCGACCAGCTCTGCAAGAACCGAGCGGTGTCCAACAACTCTTGGGCGAGTATTATTTTGTTAAATAAAGTGTGTGTCGGCTTCATTACTTCGCGAATAAACTAAAACCAAATCCCACCTTGTTTGCCGCTTTAAGATTCCGATGCAGGCATAATATTATACTTCGACCAGAAATATAGTGCTTTTACAACCAACCCCGCGATTAACTTTGCCTACTGTTTATAACTCCGAAACCGCAGCACCCTGCCGAGCAGACCCTTACCCGTAACCATTACAGGACCGTCCAGGAAGTTCTTGTTTTTGTGTTCTTGGACTGTTCTGTATATGTTAAAATCAAGACTTTTTTCTTGGGTATATATTATGGTCCCTTACGTAAAACAAAAGAAAGTTTCAAATTCATAATAAATTTATTTAAGGTTTCGACCGGTGTATTCGGTCTTTTTCAAAAATATCTAAAAAATTGATAGGGTTTTATACCCTAATTTTGAAATCGATGTAGAAATAAAAACATTTAGATACAACACACGACGGCACGATTTAAAGTTGTAGAAATAAAACTGTAGATATAAAATTATAAAACAGAAATATAAACGGTGTAAATATTGACAATAACAATTTGTATGCGCGTGTCTGCGAATCTATCGTGGGATATCAATTGAGATTTAATTTTGTGTAACAGCTACCCTTATTTATTTAGTTTTTAGATTATACTTTATATTTAAATCAGAATTGTACGGTAAATTTTACTAAGGCCTTTTGCGTCGGTTTTAAAGTTTACGGATTTTTTGGCTTTTTGAATTTCTGTCGATTCGTAGAGTTCTCTTTTTTTAGTATTAGGCTCAGTATCTTTACATTTTTAAAATCGAATGAATGTTTAGTTTCACTACAGTGTGTATGAATAGCTGTTTTGTTGGTTTTGTCAAATTTGTGGCCATTCAAAAATATAAGAAGAAGAATGTCGTTAATCGATAGACACACAAGACAAAAATGATTATTTTCAAACTTACCTGTAAGTTAAATAGAGTGAAAACAGCCTCACACGGTCAAAGCTCGAGAATCATGTACATAAATACATACTTAATTATTGGAAGGATCGCAGTCGAATGCCTCCGTAATATGTTCAATATTGCAATTGAAATTAAATTCTTAAAAACGATACATATCATCTGATATTAAAATAAACGCTTCTACTTGCATCAATGCTTAATCAAATTTAAAATGGTCAGAATAAAAATTTCTCAGGCAACACCTACTTAATGCAAAATAAGCTTCTGTTGGGATGGGTGTTACCACGGTCATGGCAAGGACTGCGGTTAAGGTACTGCAAAATACTGAAAACGTCAAAGCAATAAATGCACTATATTTTTGGTCGTATCATACTACTTGAATGACATAACAAACGGTCAGCATTGAATGACAACGTTAGTGTTTGATCAGTTTCGTTTATCTGTGGGATCACAGAGAGAACTGTCCCGCCACAGCACAGAACAAGAGCGTTATAATAAATACACAAACTCGCAACTTTCATAACAAATTGTTTTCTTTTGCAGGTGTGTTTTGACGACGACTTCGTGAACGGCAACGCCAAACTAACTCATAGAAACGAACTGATACTAGTTTGAATATCTCTTTGGTCCGAGATTGAAATGCATTTAATAGCAATAAAACTGTAAATGTCTGTCGCGAAATCAACATTTATATTTGTATATAGGCGAAACTAAATTGGATACTTTTCGGGTGAAGAGTCCAAAAAAATATTTAACCCAAAAATAAATCCAGCCAAATAGGCGCTCGCACCGTTCGCTACAATGCTGGCGGACCCGTCGCTCATCTTAATACTCTAATTTTGGGACAGAATAAATAATTATTATGTTTAGTTGTTAATGTTTACAATAAATATACAAAAATGCCTCCTGTCTTTTTTTTATCTGCATTAATTGTATCTTAACATCAGCAAGTGTCATGTGGATTCTAATTACAACATGGATGGGATCTGGGGATTTTATTTGACTAGTTGTTCTCTTTTGTACCTCACATTACTACAATGGTTTCCACTGCAATGCAAATTTTAGGATTCGTAATAATTGCAGGCATTTTTGTAGTTCAGCTACTGTTAAATTGTTATTTAACTGACTATGACTCCCTGATATCGTCACCAATTTATAACTGCCACACTCAGTCCATTGAGAGTGTGCAGAGAAGGTTATTAAAGTATCTAATGTTCGGGGAGGACGGTTCCTATCCTGAGAGGGGAGTTGATCACGATCTTCTACTAAGAAGGTTCGCTATACTGCCTCTGAGCTTGCGCAGAGACTCGCAATCTGTTTCATTTCTCTATAAGTTAGTTCATTACGGAGTCGATTGTCCGTTTCTTCTGGAACAATTATGCTTTCATGTGCCGCGGCTGGAAGGGACACATCAATCAACTTTCTTACCTCAGTTACCCAGGTCCAATAGAACATAGAATCGTGATATTTGTATATAATCAAACGCTTTTGTTAGATCCACAAAACACAATTTATAATTATAATAACCAAATAAGAAATCAAACTTTTAAAAGCAATGTCAAAAGTTAGCGCGTATTTCCAGATACGGTTTTATACGTCCCTACATATCCGCCCATGCGGTTTAGGCTTGAAAAATCTGACCCAGTTTGTCGACCGTTTCGCGTAATCGTTTTATCGACGACGACGACCACTTGTCGTAATTCTCGCGGCCACCATAATTAATTAAAAGCTCGAAAGCCCTTTTTATACGCGGCGGCAATATTTCAGCGCTTTAAACAGCTCGCGCACACACACGCGCGCACACAACGCAACCCGATTAAAATGACAAACCGAAAGACGTGATCGTCACTAAATATCCGACGCGCGTAGCACGGACGTACGTCCGCCGGCTCTTCTTCGGTAGGGACAGCAGCAGCTGTTGCACGACAGGCACGTATTGATTAATTTTACCTGGCGGCTTGTTTCGGGAAAGCTCGTCTCGCCCGTGAGAAGAAATGACTTTTCCCGCGACGTAAACGATTCCGACGATATTTTCAAGTCGCCGTTGTAAACACGCGCCGTGAAGAAATAAAATAGTTCGGCGGTCGCAAGGCACGTAGGTCGCGATTTGGGTCGTGCCGCAGCGCGGCGCCAGTCGAGCTTGGCCGGCTTGCACACGCTGGAAGCTTCGCCTCGAAGGATCCAGTGAGCGGTGCGCGACTCTAGGGGTTGAATGTGTAGTTAATTCGCGAGAGTTTCGAAAGGTTCGGCGGCATGTAGCGCGTTCTCGATTCGTGCTTGTTTCGAAGCCTCCTGCCCTCTGGCGGAAACGACTGACCCAGGTAATTAAGGGATGTGCGGAAGGGGTGAACCCGGGAATAGCCGCAGTCGGGCGTCCCACGCGAAATTTGACGCCGACCGGCTCGAACGCGTATCGTTTATTTTGTTGCGGCATCGATAGTCGCATAGCCGGGGGATCGCGCAAAACCGAAAAACAGTGTCGGGAAGTCGATAAACTCGTTCGTAACGAATTCGATTATTACGATACTTGGAAGAACGTATTTTTTTAGGTTACGTTTGAAATTCGGAGTTTTCAATGCCGCCAGATTTTTTTTTCGCGTATCTGTCTACCCTGATGTCCGAGCCACGCGGTTGGTTTTCGTTTAACCTTGGCTGCCGGATTTCTTCGGGCAGCGAATTTGCGTTCACTATTTCGCCACGACAATTCGACCCGTTCGAAATGACTCGGAGAAATCAAAGTGTGATGTCGTTTAATGCTGAAACACTGATATTTCTCTCCGTTCGTTTTTTATATGGAAAACCGGCTCGAAATTTTGCACCGTTTTTTAATTAATTAGACTCTCCTTAAAATTAATTTATGAATTTCGTTTGGCAAATGTGACTTTTCTGACATCAAACGTCACACTATTTGTCAATAATTCGTTATTATTTTACTCGAGAATATTTTTTACGTTTTCCATATTAAGACACATACTAAGGGTTTCGTCTTCGTGTCACAGACCACAGACCTAATGTTACATGTAAACCGGTCGCAATGTGGCCAGTTTCCGTTATTTTGGTGTCTGGTCCATATTTATCACCAGTATTAGGGCAGAGATTGTTACTGGCGACAACTTCGTTATTTTTGGCATTTTGTACGCTTCATTTTCAATCAAGTTGAGATATTTCAGTTAAAAAAAAATATATTCGATTTCTGGACAATAGCCATATTGCTTAAAAATGGTCAAGTCTGCCTTGATAGCAACCACATGTTTGCAATTGTTTTAGCAATGTTGACAACTAATCCAAACCAAGGATCTGCAGCGTAAGTTAAATAACTTAAGATATTTGGGTTATACTGAGGAAGAAAAAGGCTAAATAATAAAATTATATTCAAACCGACATAATGTTGCAAGGGTTCAACGAGAATATCAAAAATAAATCCGGGTAGAAGAGTTCCTTCAATAAATACAATTAAAAATGTAATTAAAAAATTTGAGGACCGAAATACTGTCACACGGAAGACCAGGACAGTAAAAAGAAATTTTGGTAGACCTCAATATATTACTTTAATTTTACTTTACGACACTTGACATCATCACTTTGAGTTCTACTTTCTTAATTCATATTTTTTAGAAAATCCTGAATATTCTATACCTGACAATAAAAAATTACCCGCAAAGTCCTATAGTCAAATTAAAAGAACACTAAAATATCATAAGTTTAACTCATATAAGTCCCTTACAGTGCAAAATTTAACCGATGAACATAAAAGCCAGTGGCTCAAATTTTGTACTGAAATGTATAGAAGATACATGGAAATGTTCTAAACAAAATAATATTTACACATCCACATCCCCACAAAATTCAGGCAGTGAAAATCAATAAACAATATGGTGGTCGGACCAATTATGTACGAATGGCCAACGATATTTAAATTTCCTCGGCACAGAAATAAAACAGTTGTTCGAAAATGTGTTAGGAATTATTTAAATTTAAATTGGCATCAAGATGGCGCACCTCCACATAATATCCAACGGTTTACCGATTATCTAAATAATAAATTTGATAGGTAGGCAAGGAACTAACCAAATGGCCGGCCAACAGCCCCGAACTGAATCCTTGTGACATTTTTTTGTAGGGATACTTAAAAGATAAAATTTGTTATAATCGGCCTGAAAGTTTACAAGTGATGAGAGAAAGATTTAATATCTTTTATAAGATTTAAACAGAGAAAACCCTGATTTTATCACCTCTTGTATTAATAGAAAATTGAAAGCAAATATTGTCCGATGTATAGAAAATAATGGAGGTTATGTGGAAAATGTTTAGGATTAATTATTGATATTTTTATTGTTTGAATAATACAATTTTATTATTTGGCCTTTTTCTTCCTCAATATTAAGTTATTTAACTTACGCTGCAGATCTTTAGATTTGATTAGTTGTCAAAAATAGAACATTGTTAAAACAATTGCAATGCAGACTTCACCATTTTTAGACAAAGACAATTATTGTTCAGAGATCGAGTGATAATTATTTTTGAACTGAAATATCTCAAAAACAGCTAAATGAAAAGTCAGTAAACTATATGCTTTTGAAATCGGGAATCAGGAAAAAAAGACCTACGATTTAGGCTAATAACATTCTATTAAAGAAAAAGATGTTGCTGTCACTTTGACAACCTGCGATAGTCGTTTGTTTTTTCTGACATTTGCGTAAAAGTCAAGTTTTAATGGAATCTTTTGGAATTCGGAAATGGAGACTGGAATATTTAGAAAAAATTAAGATTTATAGAGAACAACAAGGGCCAATTATTTACTTGGATGAAACCTGGTTCGGCATTTATGATACCCCGGAAAAGGGTTAGGATGACTCAACTGATAAGTGTAAAATAAACGCGAGATCAAAAAGAGGTAAAAGAATAACTATAAGGTTGTTCGGAAAGTCATTTCGTTTTTTCCCGTCAGTGGACTTAATTGCGTTTTTTCAAAACCAACTTCACACTTAAGCCGCAAACCATTATATGTCCTGAGAGCTGATATTGTAAGGCTTGTGTGTGAAAAAGTTCTATTAATTCTACGCAGTAGTTTTTGGTTGGTGCCCTTTTAAATATGGAGAGCAATAAGCAGCATTTTCGTCATATTTTACTTTTTTACTTCAGAAAAGGTAAAAATGCTGTCCAAGCGAGAAAAAAATTGACGGATGTGTATGGAGAAGGCGCGTTAAAAGTACGCCGGTGCCAGAACTGGTTTGCAAAATTTCGATCCGGCAATTTTGATGTCGAAGATGCACCACGGTCTGGAAGGCCGGTCGAAGCTGACAAAGATGCGATAAAGGCATTAGTTGATGCAAATCGGCGAATAACCACACGAGAGATCGGTGAGAGATTAAATTTGTCGAATTCGACTGCTTATGACCATTTGAAAGGCATGGGCTTAACCTCGAAGCTCGATGTGTGGGTGCCCCATGTCCTTACGGAGCGAAATTTGTGTCGTCGTGTTGACGTGTGTGATTCGCTCCTCAAACGTCAAGAAAATGATCCATTTTTGAAGCGGATTATTACTGGGGACGAAAAATGGGTTGTATACAACAATGTTAAACGCAAGAGGTCATGGAGCAGAAAAGATGAACCGGCTCAAAGCGTGTCAAAAGCCAACATTCACCAAAAAAAGGTGACGCTCTCCGTTTGGTGGGATGTCAAAGGAATCGTTTTTTTTTTGAGCTTTTGCCGGACAATACAACGATTAATTCAGAAGTCTATTGTCATCAACTGGACAAATTGAATGATTTACTTAAAGAGAAGAGGCCCGAATTAATCAACAGGAAGGGTGTAGTGTTCCACCAGGATAATGCGAGACCTCGCACAAGTTTGGTCACTCGCCAAAAACTTTTACAGCTTGAATGGGACGTACTGCAACATCCA